ATCCCAACTTGTGTTTCAAAAGATTGATTTTTTTCTTTTTGCATAAAAAGATACTACCATATAGGGCCTATAAGATGATATTACCAAGCTGACATACATAATTTGCCTAATCCGTAATTTCTCTATCTAATTTTCTTGAAATTTTTAGGATATATCGGTTATTTTTATACTTCCTATATTTAAATTTTCTTATTTTCATATATGGTGAAGTTGCCATATAAAGATACAAAATGATACAAAAACAAAAACTTTTGATCGTTTACTAAGGGAGAAATTTATGCACATTTTACGGATTTTTGGCTCAAATCTGTACTTAGATTGGAAGCTTTTAAAAGCTGACATAATTCTAGTTTGTTTGAAAAATCATACTTATATGATATACTCAGTATTTTGAAACTTTTGTCCCTTAAATTAATTTAACTTACATTTGAAAATGTCTTCCATTGTGTAAAAATTATAACTAAATTCATTGTTCTATAAAATTTTGAAATTTCAAGGCCTTTTCTAATTCCTAAGGATATCAAGATGCTTAGAATTTTGTTGTAAAATTTATCAGAAAAAATTGGAACGAATCTATGCTTATGGTGCTCTTGTTAACATAACCAAGAGTATTGTTTTTAGCTCACCTGAGCTGAAAGCTCAAGTGAGCTTTTCTGATCACCCATTGTCCGTCTGTCTGTCTGTCTGTCTGTCCGTCCGTCCGTCTGTCTGTTAATTTTTCACATTTTCAACTTCTTCTCAAGAACCACTGGGCCAATTTTAACCAAACTTGGTACAAAGCATCCTTGGGTAAAGGGAAATTTAAATTGTTAAAATAAAGGGCCAGGTCCCCTTCCAAGGGGAGATAATCAAGAAAATACAAAAATAGGGTGGGGTCATTAAAAAATCTTCTCAAGAACTAGTGGGCCAGAAAAGCTGAAACTTATGTGGAAGCATCCTGAGGTAGTGCAGATTCTAAATTGTAAAAATCATGATCCCCAGGGTAGGGCGGGGCCACAATAAGGAATGCAAGTTTTACATAGAAATATATAGGAAAAATCTTTAAAAATCTTCTCAAGAACCAGTGGGCCAGGAAAGCTGAAACTTAGGTGGAAGCATCCTGGGGTAGTGTAAATTTTAAATTGTAAAAATCTTGACCCCCGGGGGTAGGACAGGGCCACAAAAGGGAATCCAAGTTTTACATAGAAATATATGGAAAAATTCTATAAAAAATTTCATCTCAAGCACCAGTGGGCCAGGAAAGCTGAAACTTAGGTGGAAGCATCCTGGGGTAGGGCGGGGCCACAATAGGGAATCCAAGTTTAACATAGAAATATATAGGAAAAATCTTTAAAAATCTTCTTCTCAAGAAACAGTGGGCCAGGAACGCTGAAACTTATGTGGAAGCATCCTGGGATAGTGTAGATTCTAAATTATAAAAATCATGACCCCCTGGGGTAGGACGTGGCCACAGTAGGGAATCCAAGTTTTACATAGAAATATATAGGAACAATCTTTAAAAATCTTCTTCTCAAGGACCACTGGGCCAGGAAAGGTGAAACTTATGTGGAAGCATCCTGAAGTAGTGTAGATTCTTAATTTTAAAATCATGACCCCTGGGGGTAGGGCGGGGCCACAATAGGAAATCCAAGTTTTACATAGAAATATATAGGAAAAATCTTTAAAAATCTTCTTCTCAAGAACCAGTGGTCCAGGAAAGCTGAAACTTATGTGGAAGCATCCTGGGGTAGTGTAAATTTTAAATTGGAAAAAATTTTGACCCCCGGGGGTAGGGCGGGGCCACAATAGGGAATTAAGTTTTACATAGAAATATATAGAAAAAATCTTTAAAAATCTTCTTCTCAAGAACCAGTGGTCCTGGAATCATCCTGGGGTAGTGTAGATTCTAAATTTTAAAAATCATGACCCTGGGGGGTCACATTAGGGAGTTATAGTTTTATATAGAAATATATTGAAAAAATCTTGTTCTCAAGCACCAGTGGGCCAGGAAAGCTGAAACTTAGGTGGAAGCATCCTGGGGTAATGTAGATTCTAAATTATTAAAATAAAGATGGGGGTTGGGAGGGGGTAGGGGCCACAATAGATGTAAGTAGAGGGGAAATCTGGTAAAGAACTGCATCACCAAAGCTACTCAGGTGAGCGATGTGGCCCATGGGCCTCTTGTTATGGTTTTGAACTTGTTCTAATGGATAAAGGATGGCAATCATTATCTTTCAGAGCAGTGAGCGTCACTGATTAATTGTCGGTACTATTGTTCCTTTACTATGAAGAAACATTTCCTTCAAAGGAATAAAAATAGTGATAGTGTACTCCAAAAGCAAATTAAAATTGTGACTCAGTTGATATCAGGAAGGATGTTCACATCTCTGGTTTATAATTTAGGAAAAAAACGCGCATGAAATATTTTAGTTGATGCAATAGTGTTTAATGGAGGGTAAGTAAAATCTTCATTCATTGGATTATTTTTGTTTCGCATATTTGAAGCATTATAATATGTTGAATTTATGGTCAATTTGAATGCTTATGTGCATTTTGGGACGCCGTATTGTCATGCCCGTAGCAGTGGTTTCAATCAGGACGGGGGGGGGGGGGGGGGGTTGGCTCCCCCCTCCCACCCCCCAAAAAATCTGACAATTCAAAAGAAAAAAACCCTAATTACTGTCCATATCTTGAATTTGCCAATTGTCGACCAAAATTAAAAGGGAGTCCCCCCCTTTCCCACATTCTACGGGCATGTTATCCATAAAAGTACTCTTAAATTATCATGATATTGTCGTAGACATTTTTGTTAATTAATATTCAGGCGCTTGGTTGGACGATCCGCATCTTTCTTTCCTCATTGCTGGAAGTCTTATAGAAGCTGTTGGAGATCCAGGAAATCAGCGACTGAGAAGACATATCATGGATGTTATGGATCGGTTAGTATCTTCCAACAATGACATAGAAATCATAAGATCAGGGGGCAATGCAGAAGGATTTCGAATGCGAGGATCAGATGTTGACCAAATGCATGTCACTAAAGGAATTAAAGTTGTAACAGATATTCCAAAATCTTTGGGAAAGTATTTGGCGGTTGTCAGAATGATTAAGAATGCTGATGATCCTCCAGGCTACGTTAAACTTATTGTTCTGACACCTCGAACACCCTTAGAACACATTAGAAATGCAATGAAAATGGTGGACGGGAAATATTATTTACTGAACGAAGCATTTTTAAGAACATTTCAAACATCTTCGAAAGATGGGGTTCGTCATGGTCCTTGTGTCTTGGAGACAACTGAGTACGGGACAGATCATGATAGAGCCTATTGTTTGGAGTACAAGGGCTGGCCAGTCTGCGCAGAGGAATGGGTCAGACGCAAACGAGAATATGGATGGCCCTCTAGAGAACTTATTAACAGAATAAAAAACACAGGATGCCACGTGATGGCGGTAGGATCCAAAAAATTAAATTTACAGATGGAAGATCTCGCTTCATCAGATGAATCGTGCTGGACAGAAGATGAATTGCAATGGCGAATATCGTTTTCCGTTGTTGAAAAGAAATTAGTTTACACCTTCAATGACACTCAGTTTTTGACGTACGGAATTTTCAAGCTTTTAAATCAAGAACTATTTTCCAAAGATCCTATTCTGAAAAAAGGTATTTGTTCTTATTTCCTCAAAACTGCATTATTTTGGACGATTGAAGAGACACCATCAGAATACTGGAAACCAGAGCGGCAAGTTTTTTGTGTTAGCCTCTGCTTTCGACGTTTAATTACATGGATGGAGAATGGATTTTGTCCAAATTACTTTGTTAAGGAAAATAACATGTTTTTAGGAAGACTACAAGAGTGGCAATTAGCATATATGGCGACTCGGGTTTCAGAGCTATATACAGAAGGTTGGAGGTGTTTGCTAAAATGTCATTCCTTGTATCATCTTAAAAAGGCGCTGGAAACCGCTCGAAAAACAATAACACCATATTCTTTTCCGATCTCTAACCCAGAAGAAGATTTCAGAATTCTTAAATCTAACCCTATCAGCGAGACTACAAGAGAACAGATTCTCGATCTAGGGTTGTTTAGTGAAATTCTTTCAATGCACGCAAAACTTCCATCTGTAAAAGAGCTAGAATTGGAACTTAGAAATTCTGCAACATTAGAGATTACAGAAAAGTACCTAGAGACTTTAGATATTGATATACTGAGACTTCGTCGCTACCAAAACCTCTGTTATCTTGCTCTTTTTTACTTTAATATCTCTGTGATGAAAAGCACACCACGTAGTCGTTATAAATACATCAGGAAAGCATTTTCGTACTTGAACCATGCTCGATTTGCGGATATCAGCAAAGGAAACTTAACTCTGGCTACAGCTCACTATTGTCTTGGAAACTTTAAAACAGCTCTTGAATATGTCAAACAATACGAGGACATTTTGGAACATTGTCTTGGATACATTTATATAAGCGTCCGCCACGGCTGTTATGCTGTTGGGAACTATGAAGAAAACTTCTGTGGACGACAAATGAGTGCACTGGAAAAAGCATCACTGGCAGTCTCGTATGAATTTGAAGTCCACAGGATGATGCCGCTTGTTCCTATTGAAATAGCTTTAGAAATTTTCTTAATGAAAAACACTGAATCGCGTCTTGTCATACCACCAAAAATGTACTCGGTGTTTCTAAAAATTCTTTGCCAATCAAATTTGTGCAATCTGAATGAGGTTGAAAAATTGTCACAATCATTGAAATACTGTCATCAAGAAATCAAAGGAGATTTTCAAAAATACAACACAGACCGTCTCTACTTGAGCTACACTATGCTTGCTGTGACAGCAATCAAACTAGGGAAGTATGAAGAAGCATTACGCTATTACTGTCTAGCCCACAACAGTAAGAGAAGATTGATGTGGCAGTCTTCACAGTGCCCGGAATGGCAAACCAGAACTTCTGGTCTATTTTACATTGCCCAACTTCTCAGAATTTTAATGTGAAAACGACTAAATTTACATTGAAACGCTTGATTCGATTTTCTGTCACTGACAGTAAAATTCTACCATTAACATGCTAAACTGATACATGTATCCTCTTCCCAAATACAAGTATGCTTTCTAAGCAAAGTGGTGTATTTTTCAAGGAATTTTAAAGGAAAAATCTCTCTTGGTAATTAAATGATTACCAGTCTGCAAACTTCTTTTGTTGTAATAACCTCTTGGCCAAAATCCTTTTAACCTTCACAATATTTAGATTAACCAAAAAAAATAATCAAACACGCTTCCATCAATATACAATTAAAATACAGATGTAAAGGGTTTGCAAATTCTTAATACATTTTTTATTATATTTCTAAAACACAGAATCCAATTTAACAAAGTTTTCAGGTCTTTTTTTCATCATTAAGTCAAAGGCTAACTGGTTTTTTTCATACACAGGTACCTGTGGACAGGAACCCCTTCCCCCACTATACATTCCTGGTCAAAATATTTTTCTCTTGATTTATTCTTCTAGTTCTTATTTACAATGCATTCCATATGAAAAATCCTAAATTCAGATTTAACGATTTCTTTAAAGTCATATCCGTGGTATTATGAGATTTAACAATTTCTTTAGAAAGTCATACTCGTGGTATTATAAAATAATAAAAATATAAGAAAAAATTTTTGGACCAGGGGTGTATATGGGGGGAGGGTATCCTGTCCACAAGTACCTGGTGCTTTCATACTGATTGTTAGGCCATTATTTTTTTTACACAGTGAATTGTCGACGAATTTTCCCATTTTTTGGAACATGACAAGGTGCACACGGTGGGTGTGACCGGTCGACAGGGGATGCTCACTCCTCCATGTCACCTGATCCCATCTCTGATGTTTTGGAGGTCCGTGTTTGCTCTGCTACTATCTTGTATTGTTTCATTGACTTTTGAGCTCGAATACTGCTTGCTATCACCGCATATTTTCTTTTGCCTAATGTCTGGCATAATCTTTTTCATAACTATAGTTGAACGAAGTTAAAGCAAGAACACTTTAGTTTTGTTCTAGATGTTCAATATCTAGGCACTGTAAAGTTTGTTCATGATTGAAATGGTTGGAAACAACAGTTCGGGAATATCCGTAGGAAATGCAGGGCGTTGACCAACTTGAAATTTAGTGATATGCAAGACTGAACTTATTTTTATGATGAAGAATGTTACTAACATTCAAAACATAATTATAAGTTTAAGGAGCTGACAAGTTGAGCCAGTATTGGTCCCAAACTCTAGTTTGTGTTCTGCAGTTAAAGAATCTCAGTATGGACTTGCTTTAGCTTCTTTAATTAATCCAATATAAATATACAGTTTTTTTCAATGGTTGGCACTGTAGCTCTCCGGTCTATCAGTATTTATAGTTTCGGAGAGCTACAGTTCTGCAGTTAAGTAAAAGATATTACAAGGTGCCTAGAAAATTGAATTAATGGCGAATAATGTTAATCAAATTAAAATTTTAGAAAAAAAAACCCTAAATCTTAATTGTAAGGAATGCTACCGGCCTTAAGATAAATTTCTGACGGATTATTTGAAGGTATACTAGGCTACTATATACAAAACAAATTTAATAAAAAATGAAGTGACTAAAAATTCAAATTCAGTTGATTATACCTACTTGCACTATCGAGATTATCAAATGTAAATATTATACATGGATTGTATTGTCCCAATGGACTTAGATTCTTTGCCATACGGTTAAACAGTTTCCTCAGTCACAGTCTTAGAATGCTATAAAGTTTTCCTTCGTGCTCATTATCTTAAACACAGACGACACGAAAAGTAAATATATCTACAAACACACACACACACCCTCACACACACACACACAGAGAGAGAGAGAGAGAGAGAGAGAGAGAGAGAGAGAGAGAGAGAGAGAGAGAGAGAGAGAGAGAGAAGCAATGCTTTCTAAAATACATCTCTTTGTTGACAGCTACAAATGTACATCCCTTTGTTTGTGACTCACTAATATTATATGTACCTAGGAGATAATTTTTTAGAACATATTCCTGGATTATATGTATATTTTTGAGTATGGGTGTTAACCTAGGTTGCTCGAATTTCCTGGTTATGTCATATACTCTAAAGCAATATGTATTTTTGGCCATATGAACATATATTGAGAACTTGTAAGGCAGCAATAGAAGTGTGCCTCAGAATTATTTCCTCATCTGTGTAGGAACTGTAAAATTGTGGTAATCAATGTTCAAGTCCTAATTAAATACATCATAATTAATCATAAAATTATGCCAATAACAAAATTAGATTTATGAATCTCATTCTCTTGCCTTTTCTAATATAATTCTTTTTATAACTCATTCTTTGAATCAGCTTGTAATAAATTTATACTGCGAAATAATAAGATGACATGAAAATTGTAAAAGTTATGTTTTGTTCATTTGTATACAAAACAAGTTTTTCTGGAATGTTTTTTCTTTTTTGTATTTTTTCAAATGTTTAGTCTAGAATAATTTGAGAATGTCGCTCTCGTCTAATGCATTTTCGGTATATGAAAAACTTTTTTTTAAAATAAAACATTTTACATGTTTACTGTTTTTGATCGTGCTGCAGCATGAAAATCAGAATATAAAGTCTTATCTTTGTACTTAGGTAAGTGAAAATGAAGGAAATATCAGAGTTTTAAAAAGATTATGTTCTAAGACCTTTTGGAGATAGCCCCCAGTAAGAATAAACTAATTTTTACATTTTTATATAATATGCTGATATTTTCCCCTGGAATCCATTTCCTGAAATTTATTTTGAATAAAACCCTGACATAACACCACAAAAAAGAGAAAAAATCAGGAAATTCTCCATTATATCTTTCTTTTTTTAGCCGGGCTTATTGCTCAAAGAGCAATTGCCGGCTTAAGTGATGCTGTTCAAGGCAGGATGTTAACCCCATAGTCGCCATTTTAAAGTTACGTGCAAAAATATAGTTCTTACTCTCAACCGCTTTTGAGATAATACAAACGCTAAATAAAGCAACAAAAATAAAACGAAGTTTTATGTATATAAAATAAACATTAGTAGTAATGACTTTGAAAACTTCATAAGTCAAAGTTCATCAGCGTAAGGATTTTTGATAATCGGTGTTACCGTAGTTCTCTACACATACGAGGTAAAGCAGGAGATGGAACCAGACTGGCCTGTTTGTTTACATTCAGCCGCGGTACCAGATTAATTCTGATTCTGTCAAAATCGGACCGTGGTATTAGGATTGAAAAACTCACTCTCAGTGTCTTATCATTTATATTAATAGTTTTAAAATAATTTTTTCATCAGAATATAAACGTGATTCATGTAAGAAATCCATTCTACTCTGTAAATGAGCCCGGTGTCGTATAGCGAGACTTCCCCCATAGTGAGGCTTCCCCCGAAAGGCTCACTATATAGTGAGTCTTCCCCCCGGAAGGCTGGCTATATAGTGAGCCTTCCCCCCGGAAGAATGGCTATATAGTGAGACTTCCCCCACGGAAGTTTCACTATATAGCCGTTCTTCCGGGGGGAAGGCTCACTTTATAGCCAGCCTTCCCCCATTCATAGCGAGACTTCCCCTCTTATTATAGTTTCCGGAACATTGTTTTATTATTTTAAAAAATTCTAACAGTGTTAATTTATGACGAAATTATTTTCCATATATATACATGTATTTATATATTTATTTTATATGCATGAACAGTTTGAATATCGTTTTAACTGTTTGATATCCATTATAACATATGCATGTACATAGAGATGATATATATAACATGTATACCCTAATCCTTTACATGTATTGATAACGAATAATTTTATTAGTTCACGAGTCACTTATTTGAAATGTTCTGATTGTTTTCAGCATTGGAATAAAAAAAAATTGGTAACAGTTTTGTTTGTTTGTTTTTCTGTTTGTGTACAAACATTAGCTATTTACACATTAGATATGGTTCAACCGATTTAATAAAAAATGTAGAGAAAAGAAGAAAAATTTATAGTACTTTAAGACTATGCGAGAAATAAAATAATTGTGCTCGAATGTGAAAAATAAAACATGCATTCCAAATCTCAATTATGATTTTCTTAGTTCCTAACTATATTTATCGAAAGTTTCATGTACATAAAGTTTAAATCTACTTTAAGGATAATTTTAAGCATCATTTAATAGATATGCTGAAATGTAACATAAGTGACAATTGCAATGCAGTATATATATTTTTTTAATTTTACATATTTTTTATACGTGTATTCAAACATCCAATCGTCCAAACCCAGTTTAATAAAATATCTTTAAATAATTTTTAAAACATGACCAAAATGAAAAAATAATTGTATGAATTGATGTATGGGTGTGATGAGCAGGGGATGCAAACATTTTCATACAATTTTTCCGGTCATAAATTTAAAAAAAAAAAGGGGGGTTAAGCCCTATCCATGCATCCGGTGCCTTTGCTAAAATATGCATGACAGTCAGAATTTGATTTAAAGTGTATTAGAACTCAGATCCATCTAATTTGATTTTATAGTGATGTAATTTCATTAATATCACGCAAATTTAATTTCAAAATGAAATACAAATCCTAAAAATACTTCATAAAGTTTATAAAAGTTAAAAGGTCCCTAAAGCATACAATAAATATTTAATTATGTCAATGTATATAAAATCCAAACCGAAAACCGAAGGGGGAAGACTCACTATGGTCAATATGGGGGGAAGTCTCACTATATAGCCATATTTCCCCCCAGGGGGAAGACTCACTATATAGCCAAACTTCCGGGGGGAAGTCTCACTATGGCGGAAGTCTCACTATATGACACCGGCTCTCTGTACTTCTGAGTACTTTGATTTTTATTTTTCAGATGAACAATTTCCATTGTAGTGGAAGGATAAGATTATGGCAGGTAGGTTACTAAACACTACATTAAAACAAAAGAAAAATAAAAAATCATCAGGAAGAAAGAAAATTTGAATACTTTGTATTATAGAAATGTCAGTTGATTGCATTGCAAGATTTGTATTAATTTTTTAATCTTCAAAGTGCATTAAATTTGGGACGAAAGAAACGCAGTTTGAAATATCTTTCAAAGTGCTTTAACAGTGAACATCAAGATTTATTTTTACCAAGGAAACGCTAAACACACTTTTAAAAAATCGTAAAAAACAAAAATTCTGGACTTAGGTTTGTCATATACAGCATTATCTTCTTATATTTCTTAGCAAAAATTTTTGAATTGATCTTCCCTTATAGAGAACGAGAAGCAGGCAGGTAGATTGTCCCTCAGCCCAACTTTTTAAATTATCTTTCCTAACCAAATATAATTTATTTACATATTTAAACTTGTATGACATTGATATACTTTCTCAATAACTTTGAGCTAACGTAAAATAGATGAATTTTTTCTCAGAAAAAGTAAAAGTTTTAAGTGCACGAGGTAAAAATCTCACTCGAGAGGGAAAAAGAGATTTTCATAGTATGGAAAAATCACTCCCTTTTCCCTACGAAAAATGTCACTTATCCACCCCTATATCTACCAAACTTGTTTACAGACAGCTGGATGGAATTAATGAAAAACAAAACAAGAGGCCCATGGGCAACATCACTCACCTGAGTAACTTTGTCCGTGCTGTTCTTTACCAGTTTACCCTCCCCCATAATCCTATTGTGATCCCGCCATACCCCTGGGGCCATGATTTAGACAACTTAGAATCGACACTACCCAGGATACTTCTACATTAGTTTCAGTTTTTCTCAGTGATTCTTGATAAGTGGATTTTTAAAGATTTTGCCTATGTATATTTCAATGTAAAACTTGGATTCCCTATTGTGACCAATCCCTACCCCCAGGGGCTATGAATTCAAAAATTTGTGATGCTACCACATAAGTTTCAGCTTTTCTGGCCAAATGGTTCTTAAGAAGATTTTTGAAGATTATTCTTAATGTAAAACTTGGTTTCTTATTGTGGCCCAGCTCTATCCCCGGGGTCATAATTTGAACAATTTAGAATCCTTACTACCCCAGGATGATTCCATTTAAGTTTCAGATCTTTTGGCCCAGTGGTTCTTGAGAAGAAGATTTTAAAACGACGTCACCCTTATTTGTCTTTTTCTGATTATTTCACCTTGTGAGGGACCTGACCCTTCATTTTGAAAATTCAAACTTCCCTTCACCCAATGTTTTGTACCAAGTTTGGTCAAAATTGACCCAGCAGTTTTTGAGAAGTTCATACGGACGAACAGACCGACAGACGGTCGGACGACGGACAACAGGTAATCAGCTTTCAGCTCAGGTGAGCTAAAAAGAACTAAATTGTGTTATTTATTAAACAATCATTCCTTCATTATTTTAAAAAGTTTTCACATTTATGAGAATTTCCTTTGGGAACAAGACAGCCCCTGAAATTCATTAAAAAACGACATACAGCGATTGCAGAGGCGTATATTGGATGTTATAGACAGAGTCAGCGAATTGGACAATCGAATCGAGTTTATACGGGCCGGTGGTAACGCAGAGGGTTTCCGTTGAGAGGTTCAGACATTGATCAAATGTACGTTGACAAATTAACAAAAGTTGTGAGCACTATTCCAAAAGATATTGGAAAGTTTGTAGCTCTCTTAAGAATGGTAAAACCCTTCGAAGTTCCAAAGGGGTATGTTAAACTTATTGTATTGACACCGTTTTCTCCTCTACAACATATTCGAGAAGCGGCAATAAAATTTTCTAACGAATATTACCTTTCAAATGAGGTTTTCCTGCGCTCTTTCCAAAGCGGGGTAAAACATGGACCCTGTATGTTGCAGAAAGATGATTTTGGTACGGAACACGATAGAGCATTCTGCTTGGAATATAAAGACTGGCCGATCTACGCCAATGAATGGATCAGCAGAAGAAGAGAATATGGATGGCCTTCAAGTGACCTTGTGAAAAAGATTTCGAGAAGTGGATGCCATTTGATGGCCATTGGATCCAAATCTCAAGATTACACTGCATTTACATGTTCTATGTCGAAGGATAATTACCAATGGAAACAGGACCCATTCCAGTGGCGGTTGTCTTTCTCAGTAGCAGAGAAAAAAACTCGTGTACTCATTTAATGACACACAGTTTCTCACATATGGAATTTTAAAACTTTTGAACAATGAGGTGTTCTCTAAAGATTCTATTATGAAAAACTGTTTATTTCTTATTTTTTAAAAACATTAATGTTCTGGACGATCGAAGAGACACCATCAAATTACTGGAAACCTGAACGACTTGTGTTTTGTGTCGGGGTTTGTTTCAAACGCTTACTTGAATGGTTGAATATTGGGTTTTGTCCCAATTATTTTATTAAAGAAAATAATATGTTTCAGGGTAGAGCTCAAGAAAGCGAATTAGAGTACACATTTGACAATCTCTCTGAAGTTTACAAAGAAGGTTGAAGGTGTTTACTTCGGTGTCATTCTTTACCGTATTTAAAAAAGTGTTTGGAGGATGCACGACGAACAATGCCGCCTACGTATCAAAATGAAGATTTCAGATCATTGGTATGTTCTAGAAGACACATTGAAAAGGAAGAAAAAGAAGAAACCCGCGACGTTGGAGTCTTCAGCGAAATTAATTCAATGATTGTAGCCATTCCAGGGATAGATCCATTAGAGAAAGAGCTCCGAAATTCTGTAACAATTGAAATGACTGAAGACTTAGACCAGGTGGATTTGGATATTTTGCGATTACGCAGGTATCAAAATCTTTGTCATCTAGCTCTAATATACCTAAACATGTCACTTAAGAAAACCACTACACGCAGCAAGTACAGGTTAATCAAACGAGCCCTTTCCTACTGGAACCAAGCTCGATTTGCCGACATCAGCAAAGGGAATTTAACACTTGCAAGAGCTCATTATTGCCAGGGAAGATTCTCACGAGCTTTGTATTATATCAGGGACTATGAAGAAATAATAGCTAAAAATCTTGGTTTCTTGTACTTAAGCATCCGATATGGTCTCCATACGGTTGGGAATTATCGGACAAGTTTTTGTGGACGCAGACTGAGTTCGCTAGAAAAAGCTTCACTCGCAGTTTCATATGATTTTGAAGTCTTTTCAGTGATGCCTCTTCTCCCAAATGAGCTAGCCCTTGAAGTATGCATGGTGAAAAAGACCGATTTTCGCCTATGTATTCCACCAAAAATGTACTCTTTATATTTGAAAATACTTTGTTATTCCCAGTTAGGCAATTATGGTAAGATTAAAGAAATATTCCCTCTGCTAAAAAGCCATCTCTCCACGACGAACAGAAGAAGTGAGCATTTGAACTGTATCATGATTGCAGACACAGCACTTAAAATTGGGAACTATGAAGAGGCTGTGCAATATTATGGTCTGGCTCATAACAGCAAGAGAAGATTAATCAGGGGACAAAGTGATATCTCCGAGTATCAATCAAGAATGTCCGTACTGTTTTACATTGCATTCATGCTTCGACTTCTATTGTGACATTTCCGGTAAACAAGAAAATAGTAAAATAATTTACAGACTAATAAGTGAATATATTATGTTTAACGAATCATTTTGATGAATTTTCTTGATTTTTTTTTTTTGTGTTTTTTGCTTGATCTGAGGGATCAAGATAAAACTGTATACTGCTTTTATAATTGTACATTATTTCGGGGAGTGGGGGGGTTCAATATCAATATTGCAACATTACAAAGTGAACTGAACACAAATGCAGCACGTTCAATAAAATAAAACGATATATAAAGGACTATGTATCACTCGTAGCAGCGACAAAAAGGAAGCGAAAGGTGTAACGAATGTAGAGGATTTATATACCACAGTGACGATAGAGGAAACGGGAAAATTAATATGGCGTATGTCTATATTCAAGATAAAGTCGTGGTCAGTATCCAGACTTGAATTGAAAAAAGTGTTTTCTGCACGTTGTTTGTTCATTAAAGACACTTGCTTTATTTAAATTTCTTCATCATCAAAAATAAATACTAACCCATACCAGAGGTACAGTGACCTCTCTTTTAATTGATGCATTCCTATTCAACACAATGTGGATCAAACCTCAAAAGAATCCTAGTTTAATTATTAAACACACGTACACATGTACAGCATCTTTAATTTGGATTACTGCTCAACATTTTCCTGGCTGCAAACGAACTTCATCCAAGAAGAAAGACGTATTCTTCTTCTTTATGTAATTCTTGTCGTGGGGCGGTACTATGTTGCAATGGTAGGGATTGCAGCATGAAAATTTTATTATAATCTGCAAAATTTCATGGAAATTGAGTTAATTGTCAAATTGAAAATTCAAAAATGACCGGGTGATAGTAAATGCAAAAATATTATTGTTGTAATTAATAAATTTTCTTACACCCTTTCAAACAATTAGTACAATATTCACATAAATATGAATTTTAAAATCCTACTACAGTATCATTTTCCTCGTATACCCAATAATCAAATTAAAAAAATTAATATCAATAGGCACTAAATTTTGATTCAAAGTATTTTCTTCTTAGTTAAAACTCCCTCACTTGTCCAAATCCTTGTGGCACGTTGACACATTTAGATCCTGTGATTCCCTCGTAGTGACCGAAGTTTTGGTTGTAAAGAGTCTTAGAATGTTTATGTAGTCCCTTCCATACCACGGTCAGGTAATTGTTCACCTTAAATCTGTGGTATCGATGCCGGGCTTTCTGTGTGTAGGAGAACGTTAATTTATAGGGTTTTCCTGCAAGTTTACAAAAATTACATAATTTTACAACCGTGTGAACACCTTCAAACATCTTTGATAAATTAATACTGATGTTTTTGTTTTTTATCAGAAATGTACATGATTTTGATTAAATATTTTGTGCATCATAAGACAGTCCCTAACCTAAATATAGGTCCTCACTGGTTACGCGGATTGTCTTACTATATTTGGCTCTCGCAGCAAGAAAGTGATGTTGCTGAAAAATAATCCAGTTTATTTTTTACTCTTTGTAAATATGGACAATAGATGAATTTAACTGAAATAATAAAAAAAAAATTAACAAATATTTGGAATCTTACAAATTTTAAGGCCCAGTATCCGGTGGTAAGATCTACATGTGTTGGCTTCAGGAAGCAGTCGGTGTAGTGGGAATACCCGCAGTTATCTCCTACAAAAGATAAAATGCTACATTCGATACTCATATTCAACAAGACAAATTGAGGCCTATAAAGTTCTTGTTGATTTCCCCCCTTTGAATCTCTTACCAATAGCGTAGGGGTGAATTAATTTATGCTTGTGAGATTTAACTCTAAATAATACTTACTTCACGAGAAAAAAAACCCAGAACTTTTCAAAAAGCAGACATTTAAGGAAAAATAGGTTTTATTTGCACCAAGTTACCTGTTGCGATGCAGAAATTCTTGAACTACTATTGAAAGGGAGAATTACTATTTATCCATTGCAGAAATTTGTCGAGAAACACCAATTTAAAATGTTTCGCCCAATAGAGAGAGCTTGCTTATTACGATTTCTTGAATGCATCTTCCCACTTACGCGTAAGTTTTGTGTTCAAAAAAATTGAACTTCTTTCTTGATTTTACAAAAGCAAAAATCTACCTTTACAGTGTTTTCTCACAATTAACATGATCGGAAAAATCTCCATGAAATCTTAATAATGAAGAGAATTTTCCCCTTAAGTCTTTATAATGAAGAGAATTTTGTAAGTATATACCGGTATCTACCTCTATACTGGCAGTTGTATCCAACGTAACTTCCGGTACAGGAACAAACGCATTGTCCTCTTTCTATCACCACACTCCCCCCGTGCTCACAGACGACGCCTTTACATCGACCTGTAACAATACACATCTCTTACTAAAGTCTGGCCATTCCCTCCTCGAATAACTGTATCTCTTCGTAATACCCCCCCCCCCCGCATTAGAATAAAAAGGAAATCATAATTATCTTCTGAATTTTAATCTGTATTTATGAATTGTTCTCTATGCTGTTCTATATCCCATTAAATGATTTTTGATATCATTACCTAGCAATATCACCTACTTCTTCTGCTTTGCTGAATGGCCTTGTGTCTTTCTTCTGCGTTGTCCTCTCCGTCTGAATAATCGGTCAGAGAATGAATCTCGTGTATCTCATGCACATCTACTCCATGATAGCCATGCTACAAGAAATTAAATTATTAAAAATTATTGTAATGAATTATTAAAACAATGAAGGAGTACCTTTGCATAACAGGAGGCCCATGGGCCATATCGCTCGCCTGAGTAACTTGACCATGCTGTTCTTAACCAGGTTCCCCCTTATAATACCTACTGTGACCCGACCCTATCCCCAGGGGTCATGTTTTGGACAATTTAGAATCTGCACTACCCCAGGATATTTCCACATACGTTTCAGCTTTTCTGGCCCAGTGGTTCTTGAGATTATTAAAGATTTTTCCTATATACATGTATTTCAATGTAAAACTTGGAATCCCTATTGAGGTCATGATTTGGACAATTTTGAATCTATGTACACTACCCCCAAGATGCTTTTACATAAGTTTCAGCTTTTCTGGCCCAGTGGTTCTTGAGAAGAAGATTTTTTTTCCTATATATTCCAAAGTAAAATTTGGATTTTTTTTTGGCCCAGTGGTTCTTGAGGAGATTTTTTGATGACCCCACCCTTTTTATATTTTTATGATTATCGCCCCTTGTAAAGAAACTTGTTCCTTCATTTTTGCAAATTAAAGTCCATTTTACACAAGGATGCTTTGTACTAAGTTTGATTAAAATTGTCCCATGGGTTTTGAGAAGAAGTTGAAAATGTGAAAAGTTTACAGACGGACGGACAATGGGTGATAAGAAAGATAACTTCAGCTTTCAGCACAGGTGAGCTAAAATGGAAATGGGGAGAAAAAACGTTTCTATTCAGATTTTGACTTTAAGTTTTCAGTTATATGGTCACAAGTATCGATGCAAAAATCAGAAAACATCTGGAAACCATTTAATGCAAGGTTAAATCTTCTGGTCTTTACCTTTGTATCTCAAAATCAGTTGGGTCTTCTTTAAGTCGTAGAGAGCAATGATATAAAATTTTATTGCAAAAATTACAAAAGAAATAAGATCATAGTGTCGTTATCATATCATCTGGAAACCATCTTGTGCAAGTTACGAATTTGTGACCATGACGTTTGACTGGTACATGCATCTCAAAAAGTCCAGGGTATGCAATAAAATTTTATATTTTGAGATTAAAATCTCAAAGGTCTAAATTTTAAATACTGCAGAAAAATATATTCAATATTCTTTAGGGTTTTTCAATGAAATTATATATACTCTTTCCTATGACAAAAGTGTTATTCACAGACAGACAGACGATTGAACACATTCAACAGTCCCAAATACATGTTAGCATAAAAGTAAGGATAGCTACATGGCACAATCTGTAGTTAAAATACATTTTTGCTAACTATGACCCATTGCTCCCCCCTAACAAAATCTTTATCATCGGAAACAAAACTTGATTTCAAATCACTTACTCGTGTTAGTCTTAATTAAAAATACTATATTTCAAAGTTATTTATCAAAATATTTACCTCTATGCCCTGCCCTTGGTTTCTAGCAGCATAGTAAATTGCCGAATTGAGTTGTTGTATAGTCTGGTCTTTCTTTTCTGGTGGATTTAGAATATCTCTAAGTTGCTTGCTGATGTAGGAAGCTTCAAACTTTGGCATGAAAATGTACAGCATAAAAATGCCTAAAATAATATTACTTTTAGACGGCATTTTCTAACATCTGAAAAAAATACATATGACAAATCTTTAATCAGAGATTAAAAACACAGCGGTTTATTTCAAACTCGCTTAAATTATGAATAACTTGCTTACAAAATATCTCCGTCTCCAGATACCTCCTGACTTGTATGTTTTACGGAGAATGACATATTGTACACAGTTCTCTATGGTAAATATCCACGTTATTCGCACAATTAAACACAACAGGTAGAATTGTAGATCGGTAATACTGAAACATATAAATACTGGGGTAAATATAATCTTCTATATGTTTTATCCCTTTGTGTTAAAACATGTAGAAATAAATGAATTACTGTGGTACATTAACGCGGGGATTATCAAGACTTTAAAAAGGGTTTTCCAGCGAAATCAATTTTTTGATCGTTCAGGACAATCCGAAAATAGAATAGAATAGAATACTGTAACGCACATATTTTCGAAGGGTCAATTTTTCGTGGTTTGAGGAAAATATATTGGTTCATGGGGATTCGATTTCGTGGTTGAAGAATCTTTCAGTACACTAGTAATTACATGTAATTATATATGTGAAACATTGCATTGTGGTGGACATTAATTCGTGGGTCTTTTCATACCTTGAAAACCACGAAAAATAAACTCCCATGAAAATTAGTGATATCACAGAATTTATTCAACTAATTTGGGCCTATTCGAATGAGTGGTATCACCTATTTAATTTGAATAAGTGATATAACTTACTCGAATAAGTGATATCACGAATTCAAATTGAGTAGGTGATATTACCTATTCAAATAAGTGATACCACCTATTCGAATAAGTTTTATCACTTTTACGAATAGGTGATATCACCAATTCAAATCAAATAGGTGATATCACCTATATTTGAAAAGGTGATACAGGCGCGGATCCAGAAAATTTTTCCAGGGGGGGGGTCCACCCCAGTCAAAAGAAAAATCCAATCCCAGAAATTTCTTGACAAGCCAAAAAAAAAAAAAAAAAAAAAAAAACTCGCCCAAACGTCAAAAACCTATTTCGTGGTGGTGGTGGTGGTGGGGGGATGTAGTCTATGACTTCTATTCCCTCAAATCTTTCACTTTTCGTACCCATTTCACACATATTCGCATTTACCAGGGGGGGGGAGGGTGTCAGCGTTTTCCAAGGGGGGTCCATAGTAACTTTTTTCTTGCTTTAGTATATAATAACATTTTTTTAACCTTGTAAATTCCGGGGGGGGGGGTCTGTCCCCCCGACCCCCCCCCCCCCCTCCAGATCCGCGCATGTGATATCACTTTTTTGAATAGCTGATATCACCTTTTCGAATAGGTGATATCACTTTTTGGCTGTAAATACCAAAACGGTGCCTCATACAACAAACTAAGAATCTTCATTTGACATAAAAAATCCATGAATCACTTTAATGCGGACATTATAGCAAAAAAAAAAATGCAATTTATCCTCAGTCGGACTTGAGCTCAGGTGCAGTAACGACAGAATCTCTCAGTAAGTACTGCGGAGAATTTCATCATAGTGCCCCAAATCAATTTAAACGATGAATGCGTTTCATGGAGCACTATAGTTAACTAGCCGAGACTCGTAACACCTGATTCAAAAGTGGGGAGGGGGGGCAATTAACTTCCCAGAAAATCTGACAAGCAGAAAAAACACTTATTAACTGTCCCAGATCCTGAAATTTGTCAGTAAAAATGACAAAAAAGCGACAAAAGGGGGGCTAGCATCTGAAGGAAAATACTATGCTCAGAAAAAAAGGGGGCGGACCCCATGTATCTTCCTTTGTTCCTGAGGAGCCTGGGGCCCGTTTTATAAAAGAATTTACGACAAAGACCAATAACTGTATTGTTGAATTTTTGCAATATTCATTATTTTGTTCCAAAAAAGTTATCATTAGATTTGAATGTTTGTCGTAGACATAAGTTCTTTTGTAAAACGGGTCTTACGTTTACTCTTTGGAAAACATGGATCCACGCCTGTCCGTCCAATTGAAACCGAAAGTAGAGTGGTTTTAGATCAGATACGCAAATCAACAGGAAGATCTTTAGATGTAGGCATTAGCTGACTTTTAAATGCATATAAAGGTAAATAATTTCAATTTGCAGTAATTTTAAAAGTACATAACCAATCATGTTCGTGTTTTGTGGGAATTTCTGAAAACGCACATGACAAAAATACCACGTCAGGCACGTGATACCGTAATCACAACAGAAAACACTTTCTGACTGACCTGAGAAAGATGAAGGTGCTAGCCCTGATCCTGGCATATTGTGTGGGGATAGCAGTGTCCATCCCCAGAGACGTAGTGTTCCCACCCCTAGAGGAAGGCGGGAAGAACTGGGCACTACTGGTGGCAGGTTCAAATGGCTGGGGGAATTACAGACATCAGGTGTTGTAATGTTTATTTATTGTTCCCTTTTTCTTTGTCTTTTTCATTTCCCATTTCTCCCTAAATGTTTACTGCGTGTTATTTTCATTCAGTTGAGCAAAGAAAAAGGAATTTTAAAAAAGCCTGACAGCAATTAATAATTTTGAGTTCTCTTTTGACTGAAAATGTATCGGGCCTATTCTGATTTTAAGTTCTTTTTTCATGTACATGGAGCAGGACCTATACATGCCTTTTAAGGATTTATTGATTTAGGCCTATATGACAACTCAAAGACAAATACTCAAATATTTAAATATATTTAAAGAAAGGTAATTATAGTACATTACTTGTCTGATGCATATTATTTTTTTCTACCATTCATCTTTGCGGTCATCATACTCACACATAAAAAGACATTATACTGATTATACATGTTTTACATGTCTAAAACAAATCAAAAATGTAAAGCAAGGAGGAATGGGTTGAGATACATATTGATCAGTAATCTTAAAAGAGCAGTCAGTTGAAATCATGCATTAAATATCTATAGTCTCCTATCATGTGAATTTAATTGGAAAATAATTTTTTTAAAAAATGGTTTAACTATAGTTGATTTTTCACTCATTTTAAAAAACATGCTGTCGTAAAATGAAGTTGTCCTAAAAAATTGTTAGTGAAATATAAATGTTTTTGCAGTATTATTTATGTATTCTGGATAAATTTTAGTCTAAGAACAAACACTATGCATGTAATATCCCTTATCTGAGTCATAAGATAAAGATACACAGACTGAAGATTAATTTTATGCAAAACTTCTGATAAACCTATCCCAGTACCTGTTACAAGGTTAATAAATATCTTATCGTTCCAATGTGTGATGAAAACTGATACGTACTGTTAACCTTCTATGCTAATGAAGGAACCATATAAAATATAGCATGTGATATTGTTTTTAGTACAAGTTCAATATCAAAATTAATTCAAGAGCATAATAAATGCATGATTTAAACTGACAGAGACATAACAATGATGTGAAGGCTATTTATAGTTTGTTGAAGAGTATTTACTGGAATATTAAAAAGGCATTTGGTAAGAAAGGTGCACCTCAATACATTTCTATAATTGCATACCGTATATACTCGCCTATAAGTCGGTCCGCCTATAAGTCGGTTGTATTTAATAAGCTTTCATTTCAGATGGACTGATCTCATATAAAACCTTACTTTTGATAGCTCGCCTATAAGTCGGACAATGAGTTTAAGACCAGAGATTAACTCCCAAAAAACCGACTTATAGGCGAGTATATACGGTACTTTAACTGCAATAACAAGAAGGAAATAAAACAGTCCAATGCACATCATACTTGAACAAAAGTTTGATACCCCAAAAGCTATATCCTAAATACACTTTTACATGAGGATGTTGCTAAAAGCTTTCAATTAAAAAAAAAAAGAGATTTCCTGACTTTCTTTCTTTACTTTCCTGTTCTTTCCTCTCTGTACTTTTCTCCCAACTCTCCACCACTTTTCTTTTCTGAGGCACACCCTCTTCAAGAGTTCTAGCTGTTTCCCTGCCCTCCTTCCCTCTTAACTTTTTTCACTCCATTAAAGACCATTCCTTTATTTCGTTTTGAAAATTTAAAAATTTCAGCTTACAGGCTTATACATGTTTGGCATGAAATTTATGTAACTTGGTGGATCAAATCAAAATTTTTCTTAGAAATACCATATAATCGCTATTTACCACCCTGAACACTTACAAAAATGCGAAAAGGGGGAGGTTATTTTGGTTTTCTAGTTACAATTTTTATGTCATATTTTTACTTCGAAAAATCTTTTGAAAAAAAAAAATAAATTAGAGGCTGACTAAAAGATTGTCTAACTTTTCTGTAAGTTAAAATAATCCTCAAAATTATGCTATATGATTCATTTTTTTCTCCAAGTAATTAGAGACTACACAAGGAAAACAAATTTTTTAGGTAACTTTCACTTTCAGAAATATACTCAGAGACTTCAAAAACGCCTATATGAATTATAAAACAAATTCACAGCTTTGATTATCTAATATTTTGCCTAATAGATATATTGTGTTTTAAACATTTTGGCATGTATCCATATCATCGATAAACGAAATCACTCATCCGTAACTCAGCCCGTCTCACCCGTGCTCACTTTACTTAAAGCTGAACACTACTCGTAAAAACGCATAGTCCGCCATATTTCCTGTTCTTCAACGCTCTCCCTACAACCCGTATATAAGAAGCAGATCGCTTATCAGTTCAATGTATTTCACTGTAGAGATCTGACGAGTTTAGACGTACTTCTTTCACTGCCATGCTACTCGGATGCGAGAAAAATAATCAGAAATTATCAAATTTTTTCTAACAGGATAAAGGTATCATGAAAAATACAGGTCAATACATTACTTACAAACAGAAAATGCACTTAAAAACAAGAAATAAACGCAAAAAATATAAGACCACGAAAGGAGTACTTCATGTAGGCCACGAGTCTCGAGTGTGCAAGCGGGTGTAACGACATTGAACGGTTTATATACCCGTCTGACAGCGCCTATTTATGAGAAGGGTTCAGCTTTAAAGCCGTGCGCATAACAAACAGATGTCAAGATGTCTTCATTAGGCAATATCATCTTCATGCCAGGTTTATGACGTCTGCTTCAAAGTCAAAAAATGTTATAGGGCGTCATGGGAGACATATCCATCCCAGAACTGTGAGACGACGATTGAAAGAACAAGGAAAATTGTGTCAACGTCCATTGAAATGTAATGTCCTTACTCATACTTATGGCTGTTAGAGTGTCCCTCAAAATAATCAAGGATAACTTGATATTATGATTGATTGCTCCCCACACCATAACGCCACCTCCACCGAATCTGCCATGCTGAATGACACAGTTTGCAGCGTGACATTCATGTCGCCGCCTGTAAACCCGTTGTCTGCCATCAGCATGGGATAAGTTGAATTTCTGTTCATCGCTGAACACTACATCACACCAGTTTTGATGATTCGCAAACATATTCCATGCCCATATGATGCGCAATCCTGTAGACTACAAGCGGGTTGGCATTGACGTCTTTTAACCATCTTTCCAGCTCGTCCCAGACGTGTTCAATGGGATAAGGTCGGGAGATCGAGCTGGGAAAAAATGATTTTTAATATATTTCCTACATTATGAAACATAATGTACCAATGACAATAAAAACAATTTCAATAGGCGTTTTTAAAGTCCCCGAGTATACATACTGATTAGGTCATTCTTAAAATCTTATACTTTCAGAAATACTTTACATACGAGTTAACCAATAACCAGCTTTGATTTTCACTTTATTCAAATTATAGTGCAATTTCGATTTCCCGAGAACTGAAAAAGGCTGAGGGGGGCGCTTATAGGGGCAGGGGCGGTTAATAGTGATTATACGGTATAAACTTTAAAATGTTTGGTTTCTTGTTTTCATGTACATGTAGTTCAAGATTTGAGAAGCAGCACTGTAAGGTGTCACTGTAAGCAAAATAAGAGAGATATGAATTGAAACATAATCAACAACAACAAAAAAATATTGTGCGAACACATTTTAAATGTACTTTTTTCAGTCTGATGTTTGTCATGCATACCAAATCCTGAAAAATCATGGAATTCCTGATGAACAAATTGTTGTCATGATGGTAGACGACATAGCAGATAATAAAGAGTAAGCGTTAGTTAACAAGAAAGACACCATAATATCCATGAAATTGGCAACATGCAAACATAAACATTTTTACTTACAAACATCATTCAATTAAAGCAAGCTTACATGTATATATACATTTATAAACAACTTCATGCTAGTACGAAAGTTATGGAAATAACATGTCACTGAAGTAATGTCATGCTGTTAAATGATTCATCTTTATTAAATAATGAAAGGAATAATTAATTTCAGAAACCCTACCCCTGGTAAGATTATAAACAGACCCGATGGAGATGACGTCTATCATGGAGTCCCTAAAGACTACACGGGGTTGGAGGTAAGGTATATTATGGACATCTACATTATTGTCTTGGATATTGATTATTTGGGGGACATATTTTAGGTAATTTTTGTGTCAAACTTGGTCTGCCTAAAAATATCCTGAGAATTTCCACTTCTTTCAGGAAGTAGTTCCAGATGTGTTCTTTAAGGTGCTACAAGGCCAGAAGGATGAACTCCTAGCTAGTGGTATTGGTTCTGGAAAAGTTATTGATAGGTGAGTGAAGATTTTTGCCCCCTGTGAGGTCTGTCTTTCTGTTTAGCTGTATTTCTGTCTGTCTGTAACACTTTTGTTTCCGAGTGACATCTGGAGAAGCTTCGAGCTTTTGTAATGAAATTTTACACAGCAACTCCCTATGGCCTATGGGCCTATTGATTTTGAGGTCAAAGGTCAAGGTAATAAATTCTGTCTGTTTTAACACGTTTGTGCAATATCTCAAGAAGCTTTTGAGCTTCTGCAGGGAAATTTTATACCCTAAAATCTTGAAAATAAGCCGCGGCTTATTTTAAGTTTTGGTAAGAAAGTGGGGGCTTATTTTCAAGACCGGCTTATTTTCAAATTGCGGCTTATTATCAATGCAAAAAACTGGTAAGAGAAGAGAGCAGTCTTGTATTCATTGGCGTTTCCCGGTGTACGTTCTTTTAGGATCATCTACTTTATATTTTGAGAATGCCGATCCCGAAAAGTTAATTTCATTGTATACAGCATATGAATTTACATGAAATATAGACTTGTTTTAAAAAAGTAAAAATAATATATAAGATATCCGCTTGCAATTGAATTACTTGATAAATTAATCAAACAAACACATATTTAAACAACTCAATTTTACGGTACATTGAAATGTAATTACTACCAAGCCCTGCCGATCAGCAGGTTCTTGCCTCGGGCAGTATTACCTGGCAGTTAAATGCTTTACAAACAAAAACTTCCTTTTATCCATTTACTTATTTAATCATTACCACCTTATAACACATCGTTAGCTTGTACAGGTCTAGATGAGATAATTATTGTTTTGACAATTTCATGAAAAAAAATCACCATTTTAGCTGGTTCCGCAATTAAGTTTTTTAGCCAGTAAAAATTGGTAAAGGTTAAATGAATTAAAGAAAGATAACGTTTTATTTTGCACAGTAAATAAATATCGTCAACGTTTTCACTCTTCAAATTTTTAAGACGAGCAAATCGTCTTTCCTAAATGGCATTGTCATGACCGGCTTATTTTTCAAAACAGGCTTATTTTCGAGTAATTTTTAATGTAAGAAATAGATGGCTTATTTTCAAAACCGGCTTATTATTAAATCCGTCTTATTTTCAAGATTTTAGGGTATCTATGGCCTAAGGATGACCCCTTTTTATTTTGAGATCAAAAGGTTAAGACTCAAGACTTATACATTCTTTGTGGGTGTAAAACTTTCATTTCTGGTCGATATCTCAATTAAGGGAAGAGCTTTTAAGCTTTGCCATGAAATTTTGTATTTTAACTCCCTATGGCCTGTGTGTCCTTATTAAAGTGTCTGCCCCCCTCCCCTCCCACTTTGAACCCCCCACCCCCTAGGTTCTTGAAATCAACTTGTTTGGTTTGAATTTTGACCTTGCATTTATCAAACATTTACTTGCTACAGTGATATGTGTATTGAGATTTTAGGAAAAAAAATGTTTTAAGATGTAAAGTTTTCTTTGTAATATGCTAATTGATTCATTGATTCTGATGTTGTAGTGGCCCAAAGGACAATGTCTTTGTTAACTTTGTAGACCACGGTGGTCCTGGTATTATTGCATTTGGACGCAAATTTGTAAGTGCATATAGGACTTTAACATACTATTTTTTTTCCATTTTTTTTTCTACATAAATGTAATATAATAATTGAAGTGTTTGAGAACTGTACATGTATATGACTAGCATATTTTAATTTCAAAATGGGTAAACTCACTTGCTAAGTCAGATAAGAGATATATGCTATTTGTAAAATTAATTATTTATCACTGTCTGATATGGAAAAAAAGAACAACTGTATAGCATTGAGTGTATTTGAAAAAAAAAACCCATTAATGTGTTGATTACTGTAACATTATAGCTTCATGCCATGGACCTCATAGAAACCTTGGATAACATGCATAAAGAGAAAAAGTTTGCAAAGGTATTTTGAAGGATTTTCTAACTGGTTTATCTTGTGTTTCAATACTGTTATGTAATTTGTATTTCAATACTATTATGTAATGAATTTAGAATGTTTTGGTTATATGTTTACCATCTTACAAGAAATTGTTGTTCCCACAGATAATATATTAACAGTGATGACACTGAAAAATGAGTAAAGAAGTGGGGTTGATTGTTATTTTGGATTTCTTCATGTATATCCAGTTTTAAAAGTATTTTAAGTGAACAATGGTTTTATTGTTAGTGAAGAAGGTGGTTATAAAATGAGATGTAGCAAATTAATTGAATCTTAAAAGTCTGTAATGCAAAGGTAAAAATGATTGCTATTTAAAACTTTATAGTCTGGGAAATCACATTTTTCATGGGCAGTTCTTTGCTGTTTTTGGTGATAAATTCCTGTCCTCCACAAATTATTCAAGTTTTAGACTATCAAGTTTGTCTGCCAACCCCAAATGAACGAAATTCTGAAGATTTTTTTTCAATATTTTTCTTTAAACCACAGCATCGATGAAAGATACTAAAAATATAACTTCTTAATTTGCACACATTTTGTACTTGCTTTCAGCTGCTGTTTTACTTAGAAGCCTGTGAATCAGGCTCTATGTTCCAGTATCTACTGCCTAAAAATAAAAACAGTAAGTGACCAGCAATTTTTTTTAATCATATTGTTTGTAGAATTTTTCTAAGCACTTGGCAGCTGTCTACCTGTAAATTAAGCTAAACTTTATAAATTATTGTTGAAATATATCTAAACATGCCTCCTTCTCTCTCTCTCTCTCTCTCTTGATCTCCCTGTTCATTCCATGTATCTCGCTCTTTCATTTTTTGCCCTCTTTCTTATTTCTTAATGTCTGTCCTTTTGTTGGTTCCTCCTTGCATTTCTTCCTCTCCCTATCTCTGACCTGCCTTTCACTATCTCTGTGTTAATGTTATTACAGTTCTGGCTGTGACAGCCTCTAATGCCACTACCTCATCCTATGCCTGTTACTTTGATAAGACAAGGAAGACCTTTCTGGGGGATGTTTTTAGTGTTAAATGGATGGAAGACTCTGATAAGGTCAGTTTACTTTCTCTTCACAGGTTCTTGAAGAAAATATTTGAAGCTTAAGAAGCACCCTAGTGCTTACATATTTATTTTCAAGAGTTGAAAGATGAAGATAAATTTGAATTGATAATATTCAATGTTAGTCAGGATAGGAGAATTTATCATCAGATTTCCTCAAAGCTTCCCCTTGGCTAGTTCAAGCTCAATTCATACAGGCTACATGTCATCTTCATGATTAGAACTAGGAAAAAAAATAGTTCTCTATCAGATTTTTAATTTCCTGTTTGTCTAATGATGTTTTGACAGGAAAATCTAAACAAGGAGACAATTGAAAAGCAGTTCAAGATTGTCAAGAAGGAGACTAATACCAGTACTGTCTGTCAGTATGGAGACCTGGTAATAATGCTCACTTAATACATATACAATGTACACGTTTAGGAAGATAAAGATAAGAACTCAGCCAAATATAGATAGTCTGTATTAGTAAATATTGATTGAAATCACATGAAAAAAAACCACAAACAGTACTTTGTAAATGGTTTGCAAATCTAGGTCTCAGTGTCCCGATTCATACATATAAAATCTACATTTAAATTTTTTATAGAGCAGAACAGAACCTGCTTCATGGTCAGTGAATCACACAGCTCACCAGAATGATGTTCACTAAAAGCTCCATATTTTATAGATGGTTTAAGAAATAATGAATTGAAAAAAAATCAAAATGGAACAAAAATGGACTTATTTAGGAAATAAATATACAAGAAAGGCATACTACAATGTACATTGTAATTAGTGTTTATGATGTTGAATCCATGGATATAATGATCCTTCTGTTGCTCTTTCAGAAAATGGACTCTTTAATGGTGGCAGAATTTCAGGGATCAGGCCAGTCCAATCAAGTTGTTTTACCCATTCCTGACCCAAATGTAGGTCAAAAGTAAACATAGAATGAACATTGGAAATGTTTGCTTAAAATGTCCACATTTACAAAACTGTTTCTTTATTCCAAGGTTGGAGCAGTACCTTCAGAAGATGTTGATCTGCATATCAATATGAACTTGTTCAAACTGGCAACAACAACTGAAGAGAGAAAATACTACTCCGAAAAAATAGCCCAGGAATCCATAGTAAGTCGATGGAGACCTGAGTGTTTTGCCTCCTTTTTATCTATTAATCAAATACATGTAATGGTTTTACTTTGCATTTACATAAATATATTGTATGCATATACATAAAAAAAATATAAATGACTCTTAATGCTACCATTTTGTTTGGAAGACAAGTTTATGGCATAAATTACTATTTCTATAGAGACGAGGAAAAGTTGCACCCCTTATACAGAAGATTGTTTCCATAGCAACAAACAATAACAACAAACAGGTTGAGAGGATCCTGAAGGCGCGGATGGGTTTGTTTAGGAATGAGTGTTATAAGGCAGTGGTAGAGCATCTGGCTGACACCTGTCCCCAGCTAGAACTGAGAGAGGTGGGTCCGCATTACACAGAAGTGTATCCAGCTTCAGCAGTTTTTGTTTTTAAAGATTTGTAAATAATCACAAAAAACCTTGTTCTCCTCCTTATGCACCCATCTTAAGTTGTAATAAGTGGCATACATTTGAAGACAAGGGATTTGTCTATAAGTACATGTAAGTGCAGATATAGAGTTTGATGGTCTGGAAAAAATTGGGATGGATGACCAGAGAGCTGAGGTGCCATCTGTTGAAAAAGTGTTCATTTATTGTGAACAAAGATGTGCGCTGTTTCTCCATTGTTTCTCAGTATTATTAAGCTGCCATCTCAGAATGCTACATGTACTAACTTTGTGATTTGATCATATTACCACCCGCTTGAAAAGTGGGTGGGTATATAGTAATCGGGATGTCCACCTGTCCATCTGTTATGCTTTGGGGTACCCATCTCTTATCCGCAACTCCTCTCATACCACTGAATGAAATTTGATGAGACTTTCAAAGAATCTTTAGTACATATTGCAATTGTGCACCTATTTTACTTTTTGATCCAACACATATTTTGGGTTTCCCATAGCAAAACATGGACACTGCCATTATATTCATATGGGAGGCATAGGGTATCATTTAGTAAGCTCATTGCTCACAGTACTTCTAGTTTTTTTTTACGACTTTCATAACATTTCCCACAGAATCTACATTTACATGTAAGAATATGGCTTGCCAAATTGTCTTTCAGTCCAAAATGACAATATCATTAGACAAAAGTTTTTATGGTCATAATTTCAGGCTCAATAGGACAATTAAAACAATTGTGGGGAATGTTTATTGTGGGAATAGTAAATAAAATGTTGCAGGAGAACAGAGTAAGTAAAAATTTGAGATGACAACTTAAATACATGTATATTGGGATAAATCATGAAAAGGGCACTTACTTTTGTGTGCAATAAATATGTACCTTTTCTCTTGTTGGCACTGTAGCTGTCTGATTGTTCATCCCATATTTTCAGACCAATGAGCTACAGACCTATGGCTAGTTCCTAAGAAGTTCATTTCCAACTCCATGCTTCTCCCAATCCCATCATTTAAGATTTTGCATTTTGGTTCTCTTTTGCTTCTGAAACACTTTTAGGAATATTTGTGAAGTTTTTTTTTTCAATTCTTCTATTTTAGCAATTTGGATATGCTCTCAAACACCTGTATGCCTTTGTGAACCTATGTGAAGAGAGTGTGCCAACTGACACCATTCTGGAAGCCATCACAAAGGGATGCAGCCAATAAACATTGCCGATTCTCCTGCTGAATATTCAGACATTCCAGTCCACAAAAAACGTGCTAATCAAAAATTGTATCATGTTTGTATCGTAACTTGTGACTTAAGCTTCTGTGATAAAAGAAATGTCTGTATTTAATCAGAGTGATATATTTTTAATTCAAACCACATTATTGCTTCTGTATTGTTATTTAAGTTTAAGTGATGGTTGTTATATTTTGTAGACTACTTTTTCTTCAGTGTTTGCAAAATACAGTGCAATTTTTAGTGCTAGCTGAATACATATATTTCCCGGTTATTTCATGATTGTTGATTTGTTGCCAAGGCTTAATGTAGTTGTGAACCTTCTCAAGTTAAATAAATATTTTACAGTAAGATCAGTTTTGTTTGTTTTCAGGTCAAGAATTGAAAAACATCATGGATCGAAAATATTATTGTGAACTATATTTAACTCAGAATAACTTAATTTTGCAAACCATGACATTATTTTTTTAAACAACAGAATTAAAACAAAACCAGTGAATTTTAATAGTAAATTAAAGGTTATTTTTCACAGGTAATTAATGGCAATGTAGTTTGTCCCTTCATTAATGGGCTGGAAGGGAAGACGGGCTTCTGTGGTTGTTGAAATAATTTACAGAACTTTTATAATCCTAAACAAAAATTATATTATGATGGCAAAGCATAATGAACAGTTCGTAATATTGTATAAACATTAATATGTAAAGTTAACAAATGACTTCCTTAATAAGTGATTCAATTAATGCACTGTAGCTCATTATTCTTACTGATATGGAGAGGCACATACAGAGTTGATGTAGGCTTTAGCTATCCATATCTCTAAGAATGTATATTCTCTAAGGATGTAGGCTATGCCTTTCCACATTTCTTAGGATGTAGGGTTTCCACATTTCTTAGGATGTAGACTATGCCTTTCCACAACTCTAATGATGTAGGCTATGCCTATCCATACCTCCAAAGTCTATGTCTATCCACATCTCTAAGAATTAGGTGATATCTGTCTGTAAGGATGTAGACTACGCCTGTCCATATATCTAATGATGGAGGCTATGTCTATCCACATCTCAAGGAAAGTAAACAATGACTATCCACATCTCTAAGAATGTAGATTATACCTGTCCACATCTCTAATGAAGTAGGCTATATCTTTCCACATTTCTAAGGATGTAGCCTATGTCTTTCCACATCTCTAAGGATGTAGGTTATGTCTGTCCACATCTCTAAGGATGTAGACTACACCTTTCCACATCTCTAAGATGTTAGCTGCAGATCTGTAGTGTGATGGTTTTATATATTTGTCTTTGACCATAACGCTACAGATCCCGTAATGCAAAAAGGTGCAATTTACGGCGCAATATTTTTTGGGGAGATTTTCTTCACTTTTCAGCATCGGTCAATCAACTACCTTTCACTCCCTAATTTTAGACACATTCTGTAGCCAATATGTATATTTTATCCACCTCCCAACCATTTATAGTTGTCTCTACAGGCAATAAACTCGCTTGAAAAGAATATTCAGCAATCTAACAAATAATTTTAATCAATCGAGTTTATCACCTGTAGAGACGACTATTAAGGATTGGGAGGTGAATAAAATTATACAGATTAGTTAAATAATGTGCATAGAATTAGGGAGTGAAAGGTAGTTAATTGACCGATGCTGGAAAGTGGAGAAATTCCCCCCAAAAATGCGTAAAAAATATTGCGCCGTAAATTGCACCTTTTTTGCATTACGGGATCTGTAGCGTTATGGTCAAAGACAAATACATAAAAACCATAACGATGCAGATCTGCAGCTATAAGGGTGTAGGCTATGTCTGTTCACATCTCTAAGGAAGTAGTCTATGTATTTTCACATCTCTAAGGATGTAGGCTATGTCTGTCCACATCTCTAAGTATGTAGACTATGTATTTCCACATCTCTAAGGATGTAGGCTATGTCTGTCCACATCTCTAAGTATGTAGGCTACGTCTTTCCACATCTCTAAGGATGTAGGCTACGTCTGTCTACATCTCTAAGGATGTAGGCTATGGATATAGGCTATTTTTTCCACATCTCTAAGGATGTAGGCTACGCCTTTCCACATCTCTTAGAGTGTAGGATATGTCTATCCACATCTTTAGGATGTAGGATAATCTTTTCCCCATCTCTGAAAATGAAAACTATCCCTCCACATCTCTAATAATGTAGGCTATGCCAGTCCCTATCTCTAATAATATAAACTATGTTTATCCACATCTCTAATAATGTAGGCTACACTGGTCCCCATTTCTAAGGATGAAGGCTATGCCTTTCCACATCCCTTAAGAATGTAGACTTTACCTGTTACCTACACCAGACTACATCTCTATGGATGCAGTCTATGCCTGTCTATATCTCTTAAGACATAGGCTATGTCTATCTACATATCTAAGAATGTAGTCGATACCAGCATAGATGTAGACTATGCCTGTCAATATATCTAATAATGGAGGCTATGTCTATCCACTTCTTGATGAAAGTAAACAATGCCTATCCACGTCTCTAATGAAGAATATACCTGCATGCATGTCCACATCTGAAAGTCAACATGATGTAGGCTATGCCTGTCCAGATTTCTAAGAACGTAGAACTGCCTGTTCACACCTCAAATGATATAGGCTATCCCTATCCACATCTCTTAGAATATAGGCTATAACTGATCATATCTAAAGATGTAGACTATGTTTATCCACATCTCTAAGGATGACGGCTATGCTTGTCCATATCTCTAAGGATGTTGACTATGTCTATCTACCTCTCTAAGGATGTGGGATCTCAAAGCATGTTGAACTGCCTGTATACACCTCTAATGATATAGGCTATGCCTATCCAGGTCTCTTAAAATATAGGCTATGCCTTACCGTATCTCTAAAGATGTAGGCTATGTCTATCCACATAGTCTCTAAGCTATCCACATCTCTAATAATGTAAGCTATGCCTACCTATCTTCCTCTCGAAGGATACAGACTATGCCTGACAACATCTTTACGGATGTAGCTATGCCTGTCCAAATTTCTAAGGATGTTGGATATGACTATATACCTTTTTAAGGATGTAGGCTATGCCTTTTCACATCTCTTAAAATGTAGCACTGCCTGTACACACATCTAATGATACAGGGTATCCCTATCCACTTCCCTTAGGATATAGGTCATGCCTGATCATATCTTTAAAGATGTAGGCTATGTCTATCCATATCTCTAAGGATGTAGGCTTTGCCTGTCCATATCTTTAAGGATGTTGGCTATGCTTGTCGATATGTCGAAGGACATAGGTTATGCCTTTCCATATCTCAAGAATGTAGGCTATGCCTTTCCACGTCTCTAAAGATGTCTTTCTATATTTCTTAGAATGTAGGATATGTTTTTGTATATCTCTAAGGACGTAGACCGTGTCTTTCTGCATCTCTAAGGATTTAAGATATTTCTATATGTCTGTTCATCTTTTCGAATGTAGGCTATGCCTTAATTTCCACATCTCTAAGGATGTAGGCTATGTCTATGTCCATTTCTTAACTATTTAAGGTACATTATCCCGCTTCAGACAAATTTGTCGATTACTGATTGGATAAAAGCTAATCACGTGACGCCCTGAAATTTTCCGTATTACGTCTCCGTCGAGGCGTAATATGAAAATCGGGCACGCGATTCCGTTCGAAGCGTTGTTATTGTAAATAAAAATGGCGGCTAAGAAACGGTTAACGTAGGTAGTTTAGTTAAATTTCTTGTTACGATATTTTATGTTGATTGTTATTGGATTAAAACTAATATTTTCATAATGTGCACAAATATTTTTGTTTATATTGAAAAAGGTCTTCAGCGGGATAAATTCGTTACAAAGTCAGTTAGTGACCTAATACGGATTCATACAGGGTGTGAAATGGAAATCCGTATTGGGACTGTGTAACTAATAATATATTTTTGCCAAAATTAATCTGGAACCACAACTGTAAATTAGTTTTGTTTTTCAAGTAGATCTATAATATACACTGACAAAATTATTGGCCAGGGTTCACAGCTCAGTTACATTAAGCATTTTCCAGCACTTAAGATAACTTTTAAACACTATTGGACAATACAATCATGCCAAGAAAATATTAAACAAAAATATTGACTGGAGCGTCCAAATTAGGAGTGTCTGTCTGTAACCTTTAAAAGGCTAATCAACAAAAAAAAAAATCCGTAATATCTTTATAAAATTCAAAACACTTATTTTTATTAAATGATACAAGATACGAGAAGGTAGATATTATGAAAGCTAAATAGGTACTTCTAGTCGCATTCTCTGAAATCTTGTGCGAGAGAGAGAGAAAGAGAAAGAAAGAGGGGGAATGAGAGAGAAGAGTCTATTACAGTGCGACATTTAACTCCGGACACGACATTTGTTCGGACTTTCGCCAACCACTTTTCCAAAGATACATGGAAACCATTTATGTCATCTGGTGGAATTTTTTTAATTGCACAACATGGACTAACCTTTACACGTGAATATCTTCTAGTTTAAAAGATAATATGTTTTACGGTGTGACCGTTGGGGCGAGCGCAGTTGTACCATCAAAAACACTTGAGATCAGCCACTTCGAACGTCAAGCCGCACGAGATATCTTGACTACCTGTGACGTCATACGACGTCACAAAGCTCGTCGGGGCTTACGGAGTCTGCCGAGCGTCTGTTTGAAACTATAGAACAAGTGCAATTTTTGTCGAAAAACATTGCAGAGTTATTTCTTGTTTCTTTGAAAGATTTCTACAAACTGAAAGTCTGATATATGCTTTACGTTATTATTTATTTATTTATTCGGCAATATTCGCGCAAAGGACATTGGGTAGTGCAGGAATTCTGGGAATGTTGCACAGAGAAATTTGGCTGACGTATGTACAGATTTCAATCCGAATTTCCTCTGTTCTTACACGTTAGTCTATTGAGCTCGCTTCGCGACGCTCGCTGCGATCGCTATTACACCTGCAAACAAGAAATCCCATGGGATCATGGTGGGATTTTCTCTCCTAACCAATATCCCACCATTATTCTATGGGAGAAAAATGAGTTCTGTGGGATTTTTTCTCCTACAGAATCAAAACTCCCATTTTTAACCTTACATGGGATTTTTTATCCCATAATTTGTGAAATGGGACAAGAAGTTCTATAATTGTCACAACTAGGATTAAAAGTTCTCTATCAAAATGATTTATAGAAGATTTTATCCTACAGGAAAATGGAAATTGTTTTTATCTCTTTAATTTTTCCCTTTGACAATTTCAGTCCTAGCTCTTTCAATTTATCATTTGACGTTTAGAAAGTACTTGCTATTGCAAGCAAAATAATAGCAGTATATAGATGGAAACAATGTACAGAAAAATTATACAGAAGATTTCGTTATCCTCTCTTTACCTTAAAGTTGTATCTAGGGCCTTTACATTATGAATTTTATTTTGTTTTTAGTTAAATGAGACGATAAGGGTAATAAAACGTGCCGACAAGTGTTATCATCTCTTTGGGTAATGATGTAGATGGGCATTAAATCGGAGTTTATTAGTATTCAAGAGTAAGGCCCGCATGGTACACATGATAAGTAGAATACTAAAGCTAACGCTCAGGTACAACACATACAATCATGGCTCGGTGGATAGTTTTGTTTCTCTGTTTCGGTGAGTTGAATTTCTTAAAACAGTTAAAAGTAATCAAATTTTTGCAAATTAGAAATCGTGATTTCAAATGCAAAGTGTTAACGCTCTTTTTTTTTAGAGGGGGGGGGGGTGGTTACTTTATCTCAATATTTTTAATTATGAAAATATTGTCATAAATAATAAAGTTTAAAATTTAATTAATTAATCTATGTAGTATTTTCTTTCTAATTAAAAGGTTTAGGTGAATGTGTTTACAAGCGATGGCTGTCCAATACAAACTTTGGGAACCCTGCTAACTGGAACGCCGGTCGTCCGCCGTGTGGTAACGATGTGGCGGTCATACACGAAGAGAGTGCCGCAGTGTTCCTGCAAGTGAACACCACAGTTAAACAACTGGTAAATGATTTACGAATTGTGATATAAACCGATTTTTTGATAAAATAGAAGAATTTTGTTCTTTGCGACTTTAAAATGAATATTGTAAAATTTCTGACGCTAAAATACATATAATTTTTTTTAAGACAAACATGTTAAAAAATATCAGAACTTCAAATATTTCCGTTTCCGTTCAGGTGATGCCTATGAACGGCGAGGTAGTGTTCGGATCAAATGCTATTTTAGGATTTAGTGAGCAGCCAGATCACAGCGCCAGCTGTACGCCCTATAGTTCCGGTATGGTTCAGAATCTATGTGATGTTGTAACTGTCATTTTATGTTTCCAATTTATTTAGTGATTCCATTTTAAAAAGTTCGTAGGGAACTGGTCGTTTGGTCGTTCAGACTTTATGCTTATTGTAATAATTTTTTGTTTAAATTAAGTCAAACATGAAAGTCAAGCTCAAGGGTAAAAAATTATAGCATGCTCGGAAACATCTTGTTACAGGCGATGTTGATTAAAAAAAATATGAAAGCCATATCTCTTCTCTATCAAAAGTTATAAGGAAAGATAGCATTTTTGAAAAGTAGGTCAAATTCAAAGTTAAGGTAAAGGGGCAGAAAATCATAGTGTAGAAAATTTAGAAAGGTTCTGTACATGTAACTGGTAATACACGTGAGATAATTATATGAAAGCCCTATCTCTTCTCATTCCGAAGTTATGACGAAGGTTAATCTTTTTAGAAGTAGGTCAACTTCAAGGTCAAAGTCATGGACTAAAAAATCCTAGGTAGAGTTTTTAGAAAGGTCTTGTCACAGGTAAAACACATATGAAAAATAAAAACCCTATCTTCTTTAATTCAAAAGTTATGACCAAGGTTAAAGTTTTTGAAAAGTAGGTCACACTTCAAGGTGAAGTCACGGGATCAAAATCATAGTGTATTTAGAAAGGTCTTGCTACAAGTAATGTATAAGCCTACTTTTTCTTTTTTCAAAGTTATGGCATATTTAAAGTTATGTTTTTAAAAATGCAAATTAGGTAAAACTTCAAGGTCAAGGGGTCAGAAATCATATATATTTGTAAAGGTCTTGTCACAGTCAATGTACTCGTATATGTATGACATGAAAGCCCTATCGTTTCTCATTCAAAAGTTATGACCAAGATTAAATTTTTGAATTGTAGACCAAGCTTCAAGGTCATAGAGTAAAAAATCCTAGTGTATTTAGTAAGATCTTGTCTCAGGTAGTACACATATGAAATATGATTTTAAGCCCTATCTTTTTTCAATCATAAGTTAAGACTAAGGTTAAGTTTTTGAACAATAGGTCAAATTCCAAAGTCAAGGTTACGGGGTAAAAAATCGTAGTTTTTTTTTTTTTTAGAAAGGCCTTGTCACATGTTTTACACATGAAAGCCCTTCCTTATTTCCATCTAATCGTGATTAATTATAAAATTAATGTTTTTTTTTTTTAGATGTTGAGTTTAATGTTACATACCCCAGAGACTGGTTAGATTCAAACAACTGGTGTGAAACAGACTCAGAAACGGGTAACTGTAAAACAACCCCTCGACTGGATTCCGAAAAAGTGCCATGCATGAATGATGATGTTGTTTTTCCGTCTGGAAACTCTTTCTACGTTAATGTGGAGACAGGACTAGATATCAAAATTAACACTCTAAAAATCACAGGAAAGGTAGTAATCTTTCTTGGTATCTTATATGTACACGATTTTTACATGAAACTTGTATGTTATGTATATACATTTAAAATTCTTTTATTTTTAGGCATACACAACGACAACTTTTCAATCTTTTTTGTCCACAAACCAAGGAAAAGGGATGTTTCCACCGCCCCCAAACAACGCCCAGAGATCGACCGTCACTATTCAGAGGCGCCCATGTACGGACCCCACAGGCTGTCTCTGCGGAAACAATCAGGAAGAGGTTATTATTAAATATCTGCCAAGTGTGAGACTGAAATGTTTATTGATACTTTAGCACTTACAACGGTTTTGACCTTTACCCATAGACCTTTTGACCTCCAATTAGGAAGCACGTTTCTCTGGTCACCTCCCATCTCTTTCTCAAGTCTGCATAAGAAAGGCGAAATGGTACCAAAAACTCACAGTAACTAGTCTTGAAAATTAAAATTTATCCTAGAGCTAGCATAAATAGCATCCATCATCTCTCAGATTGCGAGTTTGAGATTAAATACACTATCAAGGTCGCAAAAAATGTAAAGAATATATTAGTAGCTATAATGTTAAATTTATAGTGACTAATTGTTATATTTGTTGTCAGTCGTTATCTTTTACCTTTTCTATTTTTCAAAGTGTAGATTATAACTCCTGAATTCATGGCTTGATTTTTTCTTATAAATAGATGCTGAATCGTATTTGTGCAATACAACAAAAGAGATGCTCCAAAGCTCAATGCCGAACGCCATTGCGGCCACTAGGACATTGTTGCGACATGTGTGGTTCGTACTCAGATTTTCAACTCCTTTTCATGCGATTCGTAAAGATGCTTTATGAAAATTAATGAAACATTCATTGAAAATTATCATCAACATAATTGTTATTGTCATCTTTCCCGGTTGTCCTTTACTTTAAGGTGGAGTTGCCGTCATGAAATACGGAACTGGCTTCCGGTTCACTACTCTAGTAAATGGTATTCACAGAAACGTTATTGACAGAAAGTCCGAGTATAAAGACATTACAATCATCACTTTCAAAGTTTATGAAGGCGGTGTTCAAATGGTTTTAATGGATGATGACGGCGTGAAAGCATCTCAGCTAGCACAAGAAATCAACACGGAGATACAGAATGGTATGGTAAATAACATCAGTAAAATAAGTATATGTATTTGCAAATTCGGTTCCCAATGCTCAGTTGAATACTCTATTTTGTGTAAAACTCTGCCTAGCTTATTTTTCACTTTCAACGGAGTTGTAGGGATATAGAACTAACGCAATGGTGTGTGTGTTTGTTTGTGGTGAATGAGTAAGTGCAGTGCAAAACGGAAGTGACGTAATTTGCTTTGGAATCGATGCTGAATGCTGCATTGGTTCATAGATATACATATGCTCTTTGCGAAGAGATGCTCCACTTTGTGGTGCCCTTGTTTTTGTTATATCTTACTTGTGTTAATGTGCTTTGGACAAGAATAGTAAAAATATGGAATATATAGAGGATATTCAATGTTTTGTAGTTGAATATGGAATTTATTTCACGAGGGGATGCTCCCCTTTGTTGTGTCCTTGTTTTTGTAACATTTTTAAAAAAAATTCTTTGATTTTTTCCTATGCCTTGTCTTTTTGTTACAGTCGCTTTCATAGTTGAGCGGTTGAATAATAATAAAACACTGTAAACATGGATTTAGCAATATATTTTTGGTAATTTTGACAGTTTTATTCGCTGTCAGAATGGTTTTTTTTATTTCCATCCTATAAAAGGAAGATTTTTTTTACAGCAATCTTTAAGGGAAATGTGTTGAAGACACACAGGATAAAATTTTGATATCCTTTCACACTGTGAATTAAAAAATAAAAAATTTTAAAAATGTAATAAATCGGGACGATCATACATTGACATACAACTTTGAATACTATAAAGGGTAATTTATGTGTTGAAACAAAGATCAAATTTGCTAGGGGCTTTGTGCCTGGAATTAAAATTTAAAACATTTGGTATCTTGATTCTTTTTTTGTCCCCCGCTTGAAAAGTGGGGGATATTAATTTGGGTTTGTCCGTCCGTCCGTCTTTCTGTCTGTCTGTAACGCTTTCGTTTCCACACGAATCATCCCTTTGAGCTTTTGCACTGAAATTTTGCATAGCAACTCCATTTTTTTGATTTTCAAAAGGTCAAAGGTCATTTTAAGCAAAGTCTGTTATAACACTTTCGCATTTTACATTTGAGCTATTTGCAATTTTTGCATAACTCCCTTGGCCTAATGCGATTTTCATAATTCAAGTAAATTTATACATTCTGTTTGTTTTTAACACTATCATTTTCGGGCGATATTTCAAGAAGATTTTAAGCTTATCAATGTAGTTTTATACCAAAACTCCCTAGGACCTCTCTCACCCCTCTCAAAGCGCACACACACAGGGGCATAGAGAGTTATGAAAAACAGGTCATTCGTAACAATTAGAACTGTTTAATAAAGGCTAAATTTCAAACACCATGGATTGTGTAAAATTTATTCTATTATATACGTATATGTGAAAAACAAAAGACATTTTCATAGTTTTTATATGTGAATTCTTAATCTAATTTTTCAAATTAATTAAAAATGAAAAATGAAAAAATCATTTACAGTGTGATAAATATTCCATATAAATTTGTTAAAGAATAAGCAATCAAATCTTTATATGCATATTGACATACATGTATTTTATTTGCTTCAGTATACATGTATACCTTTAATAATTCTACAAATTCAGTCAAAGCGGGGGACACGAATTCTCTGAATTAGCTTGTTTTTTAAATTGCTTTGTCTGATATTTACGCTTTTCTATCTATACGTTCGTTTTTAGCATCACTACAAGTCCTCTCCGTACTTTGATTTTTGATGTGTTCGGCGTCCCAGGTTAAGTTTTTTGGAGGTTTTCTAAGTTTTTTTATTTGATTAGACATGCATGAAAGATGCTTCTAATGTGTTTCACTGTACCAGTCAAAGTTTCAAAGTTTCACAGGAATGACATAATGTTTTTGGAGCAGGTTAACATTTTTGGTGCAGTTTTTGGTGTACGGAACTATAAACCCTATGTTGACCAAACTTGCATGGATGGTACATCTAAGGATGCACATAACCAGGCTTGGGCCTGCCACATTTTCCGGTTGAGTGAACATGTTAATTTTTTGTATTTTAATGTGCTTTTCAAAACTGAAAATTAGTCACTACAACTCTACATTTTTAAAACATGTTAATGTTTTTGGTACAGTGAAATCCATAAAAGCAATTTAATTGCATGTTAATAAACGTACAAGCTTCGGAAAGTTTTCTGTTGAGATATAATGTTTTTGGTGCAACCAATGAAATATTGAGAAATTTATAATTTCCTTTGAAATATATTGAACAGGTCATTTTTCAGCGGAACCGATGCCTATAATGGCTAGAAATAGCCGGTTTGGTAGACTTGGCGGATGCTGAATCTGATACATTTTCTGGTGGTCAGGTTAAAGTTTTTGATGCAGTTCATTTTAAGTAACTATGAGCTCTTTAATGACCAAACTTGCATGGATGATACATAAGGTTGAAATGGCTTCAGATGCTGTTGTCCCGTAAAATCGTGGTTTCATTTCTAATTAACTATTAGCCCTATATTGTGCAAAAAATAAACATCACTGGACTTGTTGCTGAAATTTTCACTATTAAAAAGTTTAGTACATATTTTAAGGCTTAATATACCAAACTTGCAAATTTCAAGGGATAAATATATGCTGGATTTGAAATTTTTGTGATGAAACAAAAGTTTTTATATAGTGATTTCAAAGTATGCCAAAATTTCATAAATGTTGCATTTTTAGATGTACACTTTTTGTTGGGTAATTGTGTGACTTTGCCTTATGGATTATAACGTCAACCTATGTTTTGTTTTCATGAAACAGCGTCACGTTTTATCTTTGCGATTTTCATAATGTAATATTAATATACGTATTTAGCAAAAAGAATGTTTAAGACCCCCTCCCCCGCGCACACACACTCATAGAAATGAAAAATCATTCGTAACAATGTGCAATTTTCTTGATTTATTCAATTTATCTATATGTAAAAACAAAAGACATTTCATAGTTTTTATAGTGAATTCTAATCTAATTTCAAATTAATTAAATTGAAATTTATTTTTATTAAATTTGTTGGTCCAACGAACAGCCTTGCTCTGTAAAAATCACTCCAGTCCATTTAGTTTTGATATTACCGAACTCAACTTTTTAGCCTACTACAAGTCCTCTCCGTACTTTGATTTTCTAAGGGTTGAGTTTAATTAAGGTTTTTATTTTTTTTTTTCAGATATAAATGCAGGAGGTTTTAAATACAGCATAATGAGCGTCATAACGGATACTTCATCTGGCGGTCATTCAACTTTTCAAAAGAAAATATCATATCCTAGATACATTTTTAAAACGAAAAGTGAAATCCATAAAAGCAATTAAATTCGTTAATAAGCGTACAAGAAAGTTGCTGAGATATAACAACCAATAAAATATTGAGAAATTTAGAAATTCCTTTAAATATATTCATCATTTTCAGCGGAACCGATGCCAAAGGGAGAAATAGCCGGTTTGGTAGTGGGCGGGGCAGTGATACTGGTGGTCGTTGCTCTCGCAGTCATTTTAATCTATAGACGGAAAAAGAGGTAAATAATTGAAATCTACTCAATATATAACTACTTAGCTTAATAATTTATTACATTCAAATATTTACATTCCATGCATTTTTCCTTATGAAATTCATTAGAAATCCACGACATTCAAATTTCTATAACACTCATTTCACCGTATATTTACAGTAGGAACTATATGCATTTTCTATAATCTGGGAACACCAAAATGCACAATGTTTGGATTTTAATTAAAAATTATAATCCTGTTTTTAAAAATACTACAAATGTGCTTTTAAAATTATTTTGTCACTTTTTTCCTCGCAATGTTTGTTTGCGTTATTTAAATTTGCAACGTCATCTGACGTCACAAACGGCTCTTACGTCTATTAACCGCGTCAGTTTTGAAGGGCGTTAAATTCACATTTTAAAAAAGAAGGAAAATTAGAGAATGTAAATATACGGAACATATTTTTGGCTGTCTTCCCTATAACACACCTGGCCGTTTATCATAAAACGCGCGGTATTCAATTTGTCGGCGCCATGTTTTCGTGTTAAATGTTGTAATGTTGATTTAATACAAAGAAAAAAATATTATCTTTTACCACTCATTTCGAATGCTCGTCCGTCGAAACTGCCAAAAATTAAGCAAATGGTCGTAAACTTTTGAATTTTCATTTTCTCTGCAACCACTGAACCAATTTCAATCAAATTTGGCACAAAATTGATTGTGAAATTGAATGGGGGTGGGGCCAAAACCAAAAATTAATGCAATCTTATATATTTACTAAGCAAATGATTGTAATTAGCATTATTTGTGAAATTCATGGCCCTGGGGTCAAACTTGTGCTAGGGCGGGGCTTCTATTATAAAAAAGCATTATTTCTTTGAAAATCTTTTTTGCTCCTGTGTATTAAATAAACTAACTAAGTACATAGTTATGATGAGCAAGAGTGCCTCTACCAAAATTGTGAATTTTAGCACATTCAAGCATAATATAAAAATACTTTCTTTGATTTTTCTCTGCTCCTATATTTTAAATAAACAAAAAAATAGTATCATGCACTTGTGAAATATGATATATATATACATGAATTCTTTGAAATTTTTCTCTGCTCCTGTGTATTAAATAAACTAACTAAGTACATAGTTATGATGAGCAATAGTGCCTCTACCAAAATTGTGAATTTTAGGGCCCCAGGGTCAGGGTTTCTAGTGTTAGGGCTGGGCTCTATTGATTATATAGTGAAAATACATGAATTCTTTGAAAATCTTCTTCTCTGCTCCTATGTTTTAAATAAACTAACTAAGAACATAGTTATGATGAGCAAGAGTACCTCTACCAAAATTGTGAATTTTATGGCCCCAGGGTCAGGGGTTCTGGTGTTAGGGCGGGGCTCTATTGATTATATAGTGAAAATACATGAATTCTTTGAAAATCTTCTTCTCTGCTCCTGTGTATTAAATAAACTAACTAAGTACATAGTTATGATGAAAAAAAATTGTGAATTTTATGGCCCTAGGGTCAGGGGTTCTGGTGTTAGGGCGGGGCTCTATTGATTATATAGTGAAAATACATGAATTCTTTGAAAATCTTCTTCTCTGCTCCTATGTTTTAAATAAACTAACTAAGAACATAGTTATGATGAGCAAGAGAATTGTTTTTGTCAGGGGTTCTGGTGTTAGGGCGGGGCTCTATTGATTACACATGTATAGTAAAAAACATCTTTGATTTTTCTTCTTGTGCTGTGTATTAAGCAGATGAACTACCTATATAGTTATGAGCAAAGGCCCTAATCTTCAAGAATTGTGAATTTCAAAGCCCCAGGGGCAGAGGTACCATGGAGGGGTGTGGGGGCTGTACTTATATACTGAAAATGAATGAATTGTTTGAAATCTGCTCCTTGGTATTTATCAAATATTTTTGAAAAGCAAGGATTTTTTAAAAATTGTGCAAGATTCAAGGGTTCATGTGTGGTAGAGTCACTACTGATTATTGCTGAGTATTACTGTTTGTTGAAATGCATTTTTTGTTCCCTTACCCTGCCTATGGGTATATCATTAGCAATAATGTATAGTTATGATGATCAAAATTGTAAATGCTAAAATAGCATCTGGCTTAAAACATGTCAGATTCAATCACTGCAGGAAAGTTGTTGCATAATGCTCAGGTGACCTATAAGGCCCATGGGCCTCTTGTTATTACATATGAATAATTTTGAGGTTGGGTATACATGTATGTGCACTAGCGACCCTATTTTGATCAGCAGATTTTAAACCTGTGCTATAATACAGTTAAATCTCTAGGAAAAATCTTCCGAAAAAAAGTTATTGTAACAACACATCCTGATTCAACAATAATGTATAATTAGAAATTTTGAAAGCATTTAAGTGTATTTGGTCGTTGGTTTAAAATTTAACTTTCATTATTTATTCTTTCAGTATACCTGATGATTTAGGATTTAAAGTGTTCGACAAAATCAGTTTTAAAAAACCTAATTTTCGAAAGCCTCGTGTTGAAGTTCCGCCTTCCTTTGGCTTCCGGTTTGGTGGACCGGAAAACGTGGGACCATCTCAGGGCTTTGACAACCCTATGTATGGAAATAATCCACTTGAGGTACATATATATGCAACTGGCATTTAAGTGAGACAAAAAGGGCATTAAAAAAAGACAGTTAAATATTGATCTTAGATTTTTATGAAATATAGCTCAGTCTGTAATATGAGACACTAGTAATTTATTTGATGGCGTTTAATATCCATATGACAGTCTACACCTTTGTTCTTCTGCAAATAGTAAAGGACTTTTGAATTTAATGTTGAGCACACCAATAAGTACAATTTTAAAAAGTTATTTGTTGAAATATACTTTGATTTTGTTTTCAGAACGAGAAGCCAATAGACCTGGAAATGATGCCGAGTTCCGTGCCTCTGGAACAAGAGGAACAGCCTACGTTCGATTCCTCCCGGGGATTTGACAACCCACTGTATGACACCGGGCCTCTAAATGTACGACAGTATTATATAATCCATATACATTGTAATGGGATCAAAATAATGAATGGTTTAAATAACCACTGTTACATCCACAGGCATTTGTTTGGGAAATAAATTTCAACCCATAGTCTAATTTTTATACAATCATGTACATGTACTATGGGTTAAAATTTATTTCCGAAATAAGTGCTGTGGTTACATCTTCTGAATTTGGTCATAGTGAAACAGTATTCATCCGGTTGGAGATTACCCAGTATTGTACACATTAGATCATGTTAGGTAGAGTTTACCACTTAAATATGAACCTAAATTAGCATCTTTCCCCTGGGTTTGTCATTACTTTACCTTGATTTCAGGAGTCAATGTTCACGGATCCATCCGTGGTGGAAAAAAGCTCAACAGACAAGGAATCCACACCCACAAGTTTTGTCAATCCTATTGCCATGATGGAGGAAAAAACAGAGAAATGACACAACAGAGAAAAAGTGCAAAAAAATGCAAAAGAATTAAGAAATGCTATCTCTAAAAGACATCAAAATTGAAATATATTTAGAATAACTAAAATATTAATTTAGGCGTATATATCTGTGTGCATGGCATTTATTTTTAAAATTAAAGAGTATATTAGGCTAAGAATTTTACGATTTTTTTGTTCTTGTTTATTGTTATTATTCATTTATTTTACTCATTTATACAATAGAATTATTGACACTAAGTTGAATTGTTGACATTGAGTTCTCCAGTGTTTGAAACATGTCGATATTCTCTTCCTATATATTCACAAACAGGCGATCCGCCCATCAGAAATGGAAAGTCGTCTCTGATTCTCGGATTTTCTTCCGTCTGTACCATTTTCCCGTGAAGTGTCTGAACTACAGGAGAAGAAAGCTGGTCATCCAGAGAGGATTGTAATTTGTCAATGTCTTCTTTGATTCCAGACTCCGTTGTCTGGGTCTCTCTCTCCTCATTTATAGAAGACCCCGAGGAGGTGTCTTCCCAATAAAGGTCAAAACTATCAGTTGAAGATGAGAGTATACATGTGGTGGAGTTTTCAGCATCAAAAGAAACTTGAGAGTTAATTAGTTCAACACTTTCCGTGGCGTTTGGATTTTTATTCTGAAAATCGCCTTCATTATTATCACCAATATCCTTATCAATATCGTCTGTTTGTGGAATGTCCGTAAAATTATCGTTACTTAGTTCCTCTTCATTGTCATCATCAGATAAAGATGTAGACGATAATTTTGTATCATCGTCATCTTCATCATTTTTGAAATTACAAAATAAACGAATTAATGTCTGAAATTAAATGAAATTAAAATTTAATGTTTGAAAAAAATAGAACATAATATAATTAACATTCTTATAAGACAAAATAAAACGTTAGCTTGTAAAAGTAATGTCATACGTTTAAAATGCAATAATTTCCCTTACCCTTGTAAACGAAATATATTTCCTTTTGTGAAGAAACCAAAAGAATGCTACTGTGGTAAGACCAGTCGCCCATATCAAAAGTTTTGTAGGCCTAGATCTCATTTTGAAAAGAATGTATAATGACGTCACAAAGCAGTGACGTAAAGAATAAACGCATATTTGACTTTCCTATAGGTCATAATGTGAATAATCGTAAAATTATGCCGGCTGATTTTTTTAGTGTCTTAATATTTTTGTTAACTTATGAAATCAAAATATACATTTGTTTTTGTTTTACTGATTTTCAAGCGTTTGGTAGAAACAATTTGGTCACAAAGTGGTGTGTGGGTTTTGTGGATTTAGGGGGGGGCTCCCCTTTTCTGTGCAAAATATACATAAGATGTAAAAGAAATAGGTTTATGTGTGACTGTGGGCCCCTACCCCTATCCCGACCCCCATCCCTCCTTTCAAGATTTCTAGAACCACCATTGCTTGGAAATTGATTGTCCAAATATTTTCAGCAGACAGCATGGGATATAAGGGTAAGAAGATAAAGGCATTTCCTCGAAAGACGCTGAATTGGTAGGTCATTCTTTGACCTCTTTTATCATGCAGTTTCTGTTTGCAGGTATATAGTTTCTTGCAAATATGATCATATATACACACATGTAATTTTTACATCCTTTAGGCTTACTTAACAAGTGGTTTTTAACTACTATGTTTTTCTTGGCTATTGTTACCCAGAAAACTATGTCCCCTCCCCTCTCTGAAAAAAAGATGACCTGTACTAGATGAAAAGAGTTAATGATGGATTTTGATTCTTTTTTCTGCATTTTTGTCGTTATATTAGTAAGTGACACCAAGTCCTTTTTCCTCTGTCAAAAATAGCTTTTGGGTTACATTACGTATCACGAAATATTTAAGTTAGTTTTCTTTGGTTTTCAGAAGGTAATATTAAATTCTTATTCTTTGAACATTTTTTGTAAATTTTATTATTTTGAAGCCAATCTATTAAGAATACATGCAACATAATAAGTGATGCAATTAAAAAGGCCTTGACAGTTTTTAGTGAGCATTTGGCAGTGCAAGGTAATAAGCTCACAGTATAAAGCACTTAGCTGTCGTACATGTAACAAACAAACAACAAACAACATAGAAATCAAGAACCTTTGTCGTGATTGGAGCATTTTTATAGACTTATTTTTAAATCAATGATCCTCTTTAAAAAAAATCTCATTAATTCATAAACAACAGAGAAAAAGAGCAAGAAAGAGTTCGATCCAGAACAATAATTGTCCGGGATTTTCTGTGTACATGTATGTGATGGAAACAAATGATATTAGAAAAGCAGAGAAGTATCAACAGAATATTTATAAACACTGTTTATTTCTTAGATATTACGCAGTTTTTTTAATGAATAGAATAAAACCATTGAATTCCTTAAGAGAATGGATTTTTATTTTGCCTCTCTCTCTCTCGTAAGGACATTGCAATTTTAAAATGGAGACAAAGTTGAAGCGATCGTGAGAAGTCGAGGATATCGTCTTTCTGTACAGAACCAACAATATTTTTTTCCTAAGGACATTCGAAACTTTTAAAAGCTATAAATGAATAATGGATACTTTTTTTTCAAATAAAAGCAATTATGCACAGCTCAGCTGTGAAGAACATTAATTTAGTCCGAATTTTCCGAAACTTCCAAATAGCTTAAAATTATCATTTCAGAAAAAAAAATTGTGAATCATTTTCCTGCTAAATAGTATTAAAATCCTCTCAGTCGACTACATAAATATTCAAAAATCATCTAAGCATAAATCAGTCAATTTCGATTAATTTAGGTCGGTTTAAAATCGACGATTTTATTAAAGCAAAAAGTCATTTCTGACTGCCTCTTTTCACGACTCCACTGATGCGATAACGTCTACTGATTCTCTCCTATAGAAATAGCCGATAAATATAAATAATACAACATTACAATGTCACCGATCATGCTTGCTTTCCTTTTTTACATACACCGAACCAAACGCAAGAACAGGTAGCAGAGTATCTGAATGGCAATGTAACCTGAATCGAGGAACATATTTGTTACTCATTGGCCTATAGAACTCAAAATCGCACTACAAGTCAAACTGTATTTTGTGAAACAAATAAAAATAGCTTTTTAAAGTTATAACGCACCCTTTCGGAAGTAATCACAAAACATAAATAGTAAGTCGCCCGCGTGGCATTGCGGTTACATGTACAGAGTGCGAATTAAGTGAGGAGTAAATTAATTGGTTGAACCGTACTGCGGGACGTTCAGACTGGTCTATTGGATGAATCCGTATAAACCGAGGTTTCGTGTCGCGGAGAGTGCTGGTACGAAATAGATTTCTCACTGCCCAGAGGCCCTGAGTGTGGAATTTAGGTCTAGTACATGTATTTGCAGCTTTCCACCGGCAAGCGGATTTACCACGTCTAAGTGTGAGTGAAAAAAAATTCTATTAAATTAAACAAAAACAAAACATACAAAAAAATGAACAAATGAAGTCATTATCATTAATTTTTTTAAAAACATTTTTTTGAAATTGATAACAAAAGAGATGATGGTCTGACTGTCCAAGAATACTCATTAAAATCTATAATGTACATGTATTTAGATTCTTATGATCTATGCTGCATATTTAGGTTTGTCAAAACTCATGTACATGTATACATGTTTTAAAGTTTTATACCTACATTAAGAAAACACAGACTTTTTCTACTTTTTATTTTAAACCCTTAAAATACTCTTCTTATAATGATGGCCTACTCCGCAATGTTGCGTTGGACTCGGTGATTAGTCTGTGCGAAAAAGTGTACGAAAGACGGGAACAGCAGCAAATATAAAAATGGACTACGACGATCTAATCAAGAAACTTGGCAACTTTGGAAAATTTCATTTTCGACTTTATGTTGTGCTTTTCTTTCCCGTTCTTTTCAATTCTTTCAGCACCCCCATTATTGTATTTTTTCTGGGTGACCAGTCATACAGGTACGTATTTTCACCATCACTGTTTGATTGCTGAATATTCACAGAATGTATTATAAAACACAATGTGTAAAGCAGTTTTTTTAAATATACAAAACAGTTGATGTTGAGTAAAAAAAGCTTGTATTCATCTCTTTCTAATGCATTTTTGTTTTTTTCTTAAAAAATCGAATTAAATTAGCATTTTTTACTGATCTGACTACACTGGTTTGCTATTGTTTTAAAAGATTATCCTTTTGAGTGACACAAAAAAGAACACAATGCTTGAAACGGTATTAATACGATTTTTCTTTATTCAGTTATTTCAGATACCTCTACTAAAAAGGAAGAAAAATCTTGAGCTGAAAAATTCTAATTCATTATTTTTAATTTTTTTTTTAATTATAACATCACGCATTTTATGTGTATCTTTCAAACAACTCAGCATTAGTCTGCTGCATGGGATAGAAGATTTTTTTTACAAGGATCAATCTCTTGGGTTAGGGTTAGCGTTAGAGTCAAAAACTGATCCGTAAAGTTCCTTTTCTACCATTTATATTTTTCAACGTGGGGGTGGGGTGGTCATCTTTCAACGGCGAAAAATAGTTTTCGGTCATTTCTCTTACATCGGCAAGTTAAAAATGTGTAAAATATATTGCATATGCTTTCATAGGGTGGCCAGATATAATTAAAAAAATATCTTTTTATTCTGTAAACTCTCATTTTTTTAACCTGAACTAAATGATAAAAATAGAAAGCAGTTAATATGGAATCTATTTTTCCTTTCTTGTGACTTTTTTGTACTAAATGATCATGGAGATTTAAGTTTGAAAATCGTCTTACCCACACATTCCCATTTATATATTTTACAATGCAGATGTAGATAAATAGCCCAAATAGTGGGTATAAGACCGTGGTATCCCTTTATCAAATACACTGCCAATTTTCTCCAGCTTTCAGGTTCAATGATTTCCCGATCAAAAGATAACACTCACTGGAATAAACTTTATTCCTTGTTTATAAAGCTGTAAAATAAAAACCCCGCAAGAAATCTGGCGAAATTGCTTGTATTTTAAATATAATTTGGATTTCGTTAAGAAAAATTATTTGCTTTCAAACCAAAGTTTTAAATACGTGAACAGCTGGACGAGATCATCCAAGACACTCACTCAGGTGATCTATAGCTATTCATCAGTATTTATTCATGTGTTCTCTGATGTCGTGCGTTGGTCGAAAACGTTCAACTTTTCAATAATATTGGCTGCTGCTCTTGAACTGCTGAACCAATTTTAGCCAGTTTTAGTATTTATTTAACATCAATACAGGAAGGGGTGAATTTCATGACCCCTACCTTCCTTGGAAATGAAAGATGGGACTAAAGCAATGAAAAGTAATCGATGCTAATTTTTAAAAAGCTTCTTCTTTACTCTGAGATAAAGTTGTATTACTAGTATTTGCATGTTTGCAATAAGGATTTAGCCTTGTTCCAAAAAAAAAAAAAAAAAATGTCCTCGGAGTGAGGGGTTTTGATGTAGCTTTTTTCGATTATATATCGAAATTTTTCGTCAGAAAGACTTCATCACTAGCTAGAAAGCCATGAAGGGTCATGGGGATTTTCAAAAATGTATAAAAGTAAACCAAATTATACAATCCGTTCTCTCGAAATGACAATCTGTTATAACGAATAACCAATTCCAATTCGTTCTCACAGATTATCAATGAGTTCCCTCAAATTGCACAATCCGTTATCTCTAATTCATTCTCTCAGTTTAAACAATTCTTTCCCTGGATTATTGAATTCGAGATCTCGAATTATAAATAAGGGAACGGATTGATAATCTGTGGGAACGAATTAGAAATCTCGTACCAATTTTTACTTTTTTTTTTGAGAAATCGACGTGTCCCTTCAGGGCTTTCGTAATAAACTAACATATTGCATAGTTTATAAAACAAAATGTGCGTCTTCCAAAATTGTGAATTTGGTGGCGCCAGGGTAAGGAATTCTGGCGTTAGGTGGGACTGAATTGAATTTAGTATAATTCTCAGTTAATTAAACTTGGACTTTCAGTAAGGCGTGGCATTCTCGACGTTACAAAATTACCGTCTGAAATTTACACAGCTTTCATTCACTGTTGAAAAATCAAAGAGTGAAGAAATTAACCAATACAGCGTCTCCTACGGCAAACAGGTTGGGCTTCAGTCGTCTCATCGTTGTCAACAACAATTTAAAGTTCCTGATGTTTCTTAACCAATGACAATCTATTCGTCATTTGACAGACGCTTATTACATAGCTCCGAGAATGCCACGCCTTACTGAAAGACCAAGGTTAACTGAGAATTCTACCATAGTGTATAATGAAATGCATAATTATTTAGGTAACTTCCTTGATCCGCGGCAAGGCCTATTGTAAAAAAAAAAAATAATAATAAGAGAGGTCAATTTAGAGCCCACTGTGAAATGGTCTTCTGTACTCATTAAATATGGTAATATGATGAGTGTAAGGGGACGATTTATGAAAATTTCGAACAGTAAACAAGCTCAAAAATCCTTTCAAACAGTACAAATCAGAAGCTGAGCAAATACAAACCTCAGAAAACATTAGAGGTGGGATCAGGTGCCAGGTAAGGATCCTCTGTTTAATATCGGCAATATAGGTCTTATCATTAATCATGTCTGAATGCTTCAAAATAGAGAAGTATCTTAGTACAACAATTTTCAAGAACATTTTAAAATTTTTCGCATTAGCTGTAATTTATATAAAAGAGAAGTGTAAAAGTTCTGTTTTCTTAATTTAGCACGTTTGTAAGTTGTTGACTTCATGCGCGGATCTAGAGGGGGTCGGGGTGGGGTGGGTGGAGTTCAGGACCCCCTCCCCCTGGAATTTGCAGCGATATCAAATTGATACACTAAACCAAGTAAGAAGTGACCTTGCCCCCCCCCCCTCCCCGAAAACGGAGATCCCTCTTGAAAACGCGGACCTTTGGTAAGTTGTTATGAAAAGTAATAGGTAAAATTCTGTGTTGGATTTTTTTTTTTGACTGGGGTGGAACCCCCCCCTGAAAAAAAATTCCTGAATCTGCGCCTGAACTTACACCATAACCATAAAGTACTGTCTTCTATATTAAAGCAATATGAGCTGCATTTTTGAGAAATTTATTTTGATGGCAAAATATGTTATTTTGATTAATGTGTATGTACTTTAAACCCTTATAATCAATAGAGCCAGAATCAAGTTTAGAAATGTTTCAGAAGAAATATTTTTGTACAATTAATTACAAATTTAAATTTACAACAAAATTTTCCCACGTCAAAAATGCAGCTCATATTGCTTTAAACAATAACTTTCAGGTGTAAACTTCCGGACTGGCCAAATGACACGTATGCTGTACAAAATGAATACCACCAGGGTATTATAAATTCATCTATACCTACAACGTCTGATGGTAAATATAAAGAATGTGAAATCATCAGGAATGGGACGGCTGGAAGGTGTACAGAGTGGGTCTACGACATATCAACATTTTCCAACACTATTGTCTCACAGGTATAATATGATAATTGATGAAATACATGTATATGAAGATAACGGTCGAACATTACCGGTATTCAAGCTCAAAAGTCCATTCACAAAATACGTATCAGGAGCAGAGCAAATTTATACGGACCTCCAAAAAATCAGTGGTGGGATCAGTTGCCGACCGTGCGCTCCTTGTCATGATCGTGAAATAACGGGGAAATCCGTCGACAATTCTGTGTAAATAATGCCCTAACGTGCAATTAGAAAGAAAAAATAGTACGTCAGCGTTTGACTCAATGATAGATAAATTGTATTTTAATACAAGGTCAACGACCGCAGAACTTACTTAATGACGACTTCTAACAAGACCTTCGATATTCTTGTTTCTTCGACTTGTTTGTCAATAACTTACAGGATCCTCTTTTTAGAAAATTTTCATAAGAATAGAGCATGCTGTTGTGTATCGCCTCAATTGAGTGATATATACTCTTGACATATACATATGATAAGGGCCGGTATATTGCTGCATAAGTAAGGAGAGTTACCAATTGAAAAGTTTAAGTCACGTTTATCATAAAACTTGATTGTTAGATTAGTAAGATTACCATTATTTTTTTTCCTAGTAAAATATCCAAATATGGAACAGATGTGTAAGACTCTGAGGTATCTTTTTTTACATGCTCACTAGGATATATCGAGTCGAAATATGAATGGAAATAACTATTCTTATGAAAATACGTCATAGATATATATATATATATCTACATGTCGATTTGAAAGCCACAGCAAGTCTTCTTCTCATGTATACTTGATGTCTCTGCCCGAAGTCTGTTCGAAAGAAAATCTTCCGGAATTTGTCTGCGCGATAGGTGTTGAAAAATGGCTTGTATTTCTTGATATTCAAAATAATTAATGACAGTGCGACATTTAACTATGATTGTATACAATTTCAGTTAGAAGTACTATGTTATACGCCATGAAAATAAAATAATACTGTATTCTCAAGTAAATTCTGTAAAATAGGGGCGGGAAAAGGGACCATGCTACTATACTTAAGTGGAAAACTATACACTAACCCACAGGCACCTGAAGTTACTTATTTTTCTTTTGATAAAAAAATATACCCTAGGTTTATTATTAGGTAAGGATATATCTTTTTATTAAAAGAAAAATAAGTAACGCCAGGTGCCTGTGCACTAACCGTCTGATTTAGCTTAGAGGGAGTTATCATCTTAAATATTATAGCTAATACGTCATGGTGTAAAAATAAGATCTATTAATATAATGAATCATTTACATTAAATATATATCACTTAATATCAATACATGAATACAGTTATTATATTTTCACCCCTTCAGTTTAACCTGGTGTGTGACAGAACTATGATCCGCCCCCATGCTATGATGACTTATTTCATTGGTTATGCTTCATCAACGGTTTTCTTGTCCATAGTTGGAGATATGTGAGTATATAAAAATATACAATTCTTCAAAGGGAGATACAATGAAGATAAGATAGTAGAAATGAATTTAATAATGACATTTTGAAATATGAGGAGAATACAGGGGAGTAGAATTTTAGGGACAAGAACACCAAAGATATAAAGATATAAAGAGAAATAAGGCCTTATTTTAAAGTAAATGTAGTGCAGTGAATATATTCTAAATCATTACCTAAAAATCATGGACAAGTTTTTTGTCTATTTGTTGGTGAACACCACCCTCATGAAATTTTCACCAGTGGCGTAGCATCGTTTTTGAAAGTGGGGGGGGGGGCCAGCCAGAGAAAAAAAAAACTAAAACCTACTTGAAAAAACTTGACAAGGAAAAAAAGGTAGAAATTGTCTAAAATCGAAAATCCTATTTCGTGGGGGTGGGGGGGGGGTTAGGTAGACTTTTTCTTTTTCTCAGTGTCAACTACTTTTAGTACCAATTCTAATACTACATTTTCGGTACATCACTAAAAGTGGGGGGCCAACCAGGCTTTCAATTAACATTTCCTCTAGTATAAGTAAGGTTGGGAAAAAAAGTGGGGGGGCAGGCCCCCCTGCCCCCCCCCCCGGTTGCTACGCCCCTGTTCACAAACATGGAGACACCACCACTTGCCGGTGGATGGCTGCAAATTTAGATCTTCACTTGGTGCTATTGAGTAGCGAGTAGCTATTGAGTTTTCTTGTCAACACCTACTGCGAAATTGGACCATGATTTATACCGTCTCATTCTAAGGACCGGTCTCCACGTCCCATAGTGTGATTCAAACCCGCGACTCTATAGCCAATGCTCTAACCACTGCACCATGCTGATAAATCAATAAAAAATAATAAAGCAGCTGAATATCAGCTTATAAAGGCTCACATCTCATAAAGAAAACTACAGGACATGTAAATACAAATTATGACTTCACAATTTAAAAAAATACATTTGTAGTTAGAAAATTTTATTATAGATTCTTATGTACCACGCAGGAGCGTCAAATAAACGTGAAAGCTTAAAGAAACGAAGATTGTTTTTAATATATGCAATAAGACCTTTTATTCCAATCAAGAAATATTTTATTTCATGTACAAGGATATTGAAGATGCACTTCATTATTCCCTTGCAGGAGAGACAAAACATGATCTTAAATCACTTTGTCACAACTGGGAAGGGGGAGGGGTTATCGTTCATATTCTGCATTTTTTTCTTAATTTCAGATTTCTTTGTGATTAAATTTAAACTTATAACATCGACAAAGGTAAGATTAATAAGGTTTTAAATTATCTTAATGAAAATTTAGCAGTTCAGTTTTTCAAAATAACAAAAATACATGTATTGTGTTCCTTGTATAAACTCTAATGTTACCTCTGCTATTTAGGACCAGAAGAGCCCTAGAGATTGGAAGGTGTCTGTCGTCTGTCCGATTTTTTTTTTCAAAATGCCTTTCCTGCCAAAAATTTCCTTTTCACTTAGCTGCAAAATTAGAGTCCTCCTATCTATTTACTGGTCCTTAATTTTGATGAAAAGTGTGCCTATGTATATAGAAAAATCTGCACAAAATTCTTTGACTTTACTCTCAAAATTCCCTCCTACATATTTGGTTCATTTTCAGTACGACTTGGTATCTAGGTAGGATATAATAAGATATAAAATTTCAATCTTTGAATTGATTGCTGATTTCATGACATCATTCTATAAACAGAAACCTCCTACTGCTTTAATTTGATCATTTTTTTCCCTTAAAACCTATATAAATGTACTAAGAATAGGGATTATAATGCTTTTCTCGATGATGCAACAACGATGTACTGAAAATGACCATCATATTGTAATATATCACTTGATTTGTAAACGTAATATTATGCGGTCGTCCAGTTCTCATTCTTGTTAAATCTATGTTCAACATGTGCCTGCCAGGAAAGTTGTTCGTTTATGATTTTATTGGAAATAATATGTCAGCTTATCTAGATACGATTTTAGTAATAGCTATTATCATCATAATTTACCTGTTGTCGCTTCATGTAATATCGTAGGAGTTATAATATCGGGGAATAGAGGGTGGATTTTACTTTTCATGTTTTGGAAGCCATCATACTTTACTCGGATCGTCATTTCCGGTTTGGTGACCTATATGTATTTACTAGTAATGCATTGTTCTATTGAAGTTATGAATATGGGATCGTATTCTACTTTTTAGTTTGAGTTGTTTTGTGATTTGAAGCTACAAGTTGTTATTTATTGTTAGCATTCACTTTATAATCAGTAGGGCTGAAACGATTCACCGAAATATCGATATTGTTCGATATAAGTGCTCGGTTCAATTTTCGATTCACCATCTCGATTTTCGGTTCGATACGTTTTTTTTATAATCGGGTTTGGTTAACTCTTTGAAATAGATCGGGTTCGACCTTATTTTAACAGTTTGACACACACGAGGGAGAAAATTGGGACGGTAAAGTTTCAGAGTAGGATGCCTCTGCTATTATTTATACGAATAAAGTGTTCTTAATCAACAGAACCACAAGTATCAGAGATGTGCAATTAACAAATTAGTAAATTCGGGCTAGTAAAAATTAAAACTACGCATGTAATACTTAAAGTACAAACGGTATTTTACTCATTTTTTGCTATCAAATTCCCAACCAGTGAATATTTTCCAGGCAACATGCTCCTACTGTCAATAAATCTCCATAATTTTCTCCATTTTTCAGTACTAACTTCCTGACTTATTTACTTCAAAAACGATCTTTTTTTTTCCTAATCCGAATTTCCTACGTTTATTGTAAATACATGCAGATATTTCATAAAATTATTTACGATCACTCAATCAACTGAAAGATCAGTGTGATTCACATGAAATATATTTCTAGTGTATTTAAGGATTTAATATGAAAACAAAATGAATTTATTTTCATTCTAATGAGCTAGTGCAAAATAATCAGAAAAGGAAAGATCTTCAGATATTTTTTTAAAATTCATTTTTATTTTCTGTCATAATCATTAATTTTATATGATTTAATTTTAATAGTAAGAATAAAATTTTAATTTTCAAAAGATTGACCTTAGTACCCTGACATTTTCAATGATTAATTTTTTTTTCAACATTTGTTTTATTTTAATTTTTGTTCCTATATTTGGGCTAATAACTTTTTACTGTGGGCTGGTAACTTTATTGCTGCCACTAGCCCGTGGGCTAGTACTTGAGTTTTTAAATTGCAAAACACTGGTAGTATATTTCTATTGTATCACCACCTTTTACTCTTTGTTTTGTAAATCTGAATACGTTTTCTTTAACCTTATGAATAGTTTCGTTCTTAAATTGTATCGTATTGAAAAAATTGAATTGTGACACAAGTATTGCAATACATATCGTATCGTGGAGGGGGCGTATCGTTTCAGCCCTAATAATCAGTCAGCTTTATCGGGACTACATTTGTGTACGCTAGTGTCGGTAGTTACGATATTCCTACGCTACATTGTTCTGCATATATTGTACAGTCTAGGGATGTTTTATAAACATTGAAGGAATTTATTAATTCGTCTAGTCAAGCTTATTTTATGTGTTATATTTCCACTTGTTAATTTTACATAGTTTAACTAGTTACGATGTTGTACGGTAGCTTGTGTGGCAGAAGTAGTTCTGTGTGGGAACTTGTGTGGGAACTCAGCCTCCCGTACAAGCTTTTGATTGGTTAATAGTTCGTACGGCATAATTTTATTGGATAATTCGAGTCATGTGACAGGGAATAGGAGGTTATATAAGCAAGCGCGTACTACGTTACGACAGATTTCAGCTAGTTGTATGGCGGCTATATTTGAAAGTTAAAATGAAGAAAACAAAAACGGTGAGATACTTATAATGTTATTTACGTATATTTAGCCTAGTTAGAAATCTCCTACCACACTGGACGACCTAAACTTGTGTTTCTGAAGAATCAGCTGTTTTATATTGATGTTTATATATTGTATTGTTATGATTATGAGATGCTGCACATACAATAAATGCTGAGTATGACTGATCAACCATCTTGAGTATCATTCAACAAAGAATCTACACAGAGTGGTGCCTGGTTGTTTAATTTATATTACAACAAATTTAATTACTGGTACATCCTGACAAAAGATGATTTATTTAGAAGATAAACTATGGCCTATATAGATGCTGAGGAATCAGAAATACTAGCCACCCCTGGGGTAGCTTACAATATTATAATATTTCAAAACCCTTTTCTGTAAAAGCGCTTCTCCTACTCTTTTGATTTGATTCCTGGGTCAGAGTGCATGTTTCTGTGCGTGTCAAACTGAAAAAAATATGTTTCACTCCAGATGTTGTTTATATTCTAGATAGATTTTACAAATCCGTAGAGCTACAGTTTCACCAGAGACTTGTGGTATTTTACAGAATTGGACGACGTCTGGAGTGTTGTTTATGTCTGACGTTCATGTTCCTGACCAATATCACCATGCCGTTCTCTACCTCCGTCTACATGTTTGCTGCCCTCCGCTTCTTTGACGGATTTTGTGGTGCTACCATATATCGGACAACTTTTATACTGGGTATACAAAACTCATAATACTTTTGTTTCCCTCGTCATAGATAGTTTAATATTATGATACATAATGGTATGAAAAATGATATCTTTGTCCTTCTTTCTAATGTGTTTCTCCCAGGTTCTCAGTTTTCAGTTAATAACAAATCTAAAGTGGGTTTGCTATGTTGGGAGAGTATTGTGTTATAAAAAGGCTTTGAAAATATATTATATGCCAGGCTTTGAAAATATATCAGTAGAAACACTAAATTTTATGGATAAGGAATTTCTTTCGTGAGCTTCACAACGGTGCCAGAATTTGGAGATAAATGTTAATACAAAGGATAAATTTGAAATGATTAAAACAAAAAGAAATTTTAAATATTTACGTTTTTTTCTTTTCCTGAGTAGAGTGAACAAATAAAAGTGTTTTACTTAAGTCAGGAACTTATGGTTTTTTTCCACGCCAGGGTTGGAGTTTGTTCCCCCACACTTACGTCTGATATCCGGTACACTGATAGTCCTAGTTTACTGTGGAGGAGCCTATATCCTGGTGCTTATCGCTTATTTCATCAGAGACTGGAGATGGTTACAGTTAACAGTTGCCACCCCAATGGCGATACCCCTCATCTACTGGTGGTACGTTACTTCTTCTACAGTAGACCTCAATTTAACATATTATAGGAACATTTTCTACGTTGAACCAAATGTTGAAACTTGATCGGGAAATTCTTTCCTCGTCAACCAAAACTAAAACAATGTAAAAGTGTTTCATTTAACGTCAGTGCTCTTCATACTAGTTTTTAAAAAGCCTTTTTGATTTCAACATAAAATGAAATGATCATGGTCTAGTATTGCCATAAACTGAAGTTCATAAAAACTTCCCAGATCTCAATCTTTTCGACCTTCTTTGGCTCTTAGATCAGTTTAAAGTTTCTTGAATTTGATAACAATAGATTTATTTCAATAATTCAATAAGAGTCGTTTGATGACAGAAAAGTCAGGGTTAAATAAGGAGATAACGAGCAGTAATCAAGCTGAAAAGGTCATTGAAACAATACCAATCAGGAAAAGAGCGAACACGGACCTCTTAAAATCAGGGGTTGGATCAGGTGCTATGGAGGAATGAGAATTCCCTGCCGACCGGTCACACCCGCCGTGTGCTCCTTGTCATGATCAGTGTGAATCTCCGAACACAATAAGTATGAAGAATTTTATCAGGATTTGACTTCAATTTCATTTGCTTACAATTCAAAGCCCTTCTTTCCACCATAGAACTTGCGAAAAATGATTTTGAAGGAGACTGTTGATATTCTTGTCTCATCAACTAATCAAGTAATTCAGGAATTGTTCCTATTTTTATTCTAATTTCGCAAATAATGCTATAAATGGATGGATGACTTGATTTGAAAAACCTCTGCTTAGATGGAGTTGACCTGTAATATAGCATTTTCACCAAGAAATACATTAAATTGCCAAAAATGAATTAATATACCTAGGCCAAGAATTTATCCAGAATCTCCAAGATGGTTGTTATCTCGTGGAAGGCACAAGGAGGCAATGGAAATCTTAAAGCACGCGGCCAAGATCAACAATACGCCACTGGATGAGGATATCACGTTGTTGAAAGTCAAACTAGAAAAAGAGGAAGATAAGGGAATCCTTCACATTCTGAAGATGCTTATTAGTTCCCGCAAACTGGTCATTCGTTGGCTCATTGTTACGGCCAACTGGTAAGTGTCCAGTGATACATCTTACCTATTGATGTATTTAAGTGAGGGAAACATCGCGTTTATAAAACTTTGAAGTTTTATTACAAATGAGGGTTGATAAAAAAGTGCTATGAAATTGTTCGAAATAAATACCACCAACGCCTTCTAGCAAAATGAAAATTAAATATAAGCATGCGAGAATATGACTTGCAAAAATATTATCGACGTTGTGATATATCTATCTTGTATTTTTATTACTGGATAAAATTTTTTAAAAGGCAAACATCAAAACAGATTAGAGGATTTGTCGTATGAAAAAAATGATGATATCATTTGATTATTAAAGGGACATGGACACAGTTTCAACTAAATTTTTTAATCCAATTTTAATGATTACAATTCCTACTTAAGGATCATCTATTGATTAGCAAAAATTTGGACATCATTTGTTGATTAACAAACAAGATACAGAAATTAAAGTTCTTCATAATGTAAACAAGGCTCGTGCCTTGTTTTTGTTTACATATAGAAAATATTTTATAAGTACACATTTTATAAGTAAACCTTCGTTTGTGATTTCTTTAGATGTCTACATTGAAGTGTATGAAGGAGTAATAGGCAATTTCTTTTCTAGCTGAACGTAAACATACGATAGCACTTTGCTAATATTTCTTAAACCAGGTTTTCTTAACTGATGTGATTTGAACATATTTAATCGTAATATAATTACGAAGGGATTGGGCACAAGTTCTGAAGTTTCTTAACTAAATTTGAGGACAGTGATGGTGTTGTCTCCTATAAAATTTATTGCATAGACATAGCATATTAGATGTACATGTAATTAAATATTAAATAAAACAATATTGAAATATTATTGGAAAACGACATTTTTAAAATATTATCTTCTTCATCTTGTCTTTGTTAAAAACAGGTTTGCCATTGCCTTTATCTACTACGGTCTAACTGTAAATCTGGGAAAACTCGGTGGGGATTTGTTCTCAAACTTCACGATGTCAAACACAGCTGAAGTACTTGGATACTTAACGTGCTTTCTCCTGGATAAAACAGGAAGGAAGCCTATGCACCTGGTTGTCCTTTTCGGTAGTTCTGTGGCTTGTCTCCTCACCCTGATACCGATTCTACTGCTGGACGAATGTAAGTCTAATCACCTTCATTACTTACACTTTAATATTATTGATTTTCTCCACCAAATACACTATCATGAAAAATGTGAGTTTGATGTCCAGGATTCTAATCTAAACAGTTCATGTATTTTCTAAAGTAATTTAAAATGTAAAATGAAAACTGCTGATATATACATGTTTATATATAAATCTGTCTAGAAGTTTCGTCTCAGATGTAGGCGGATCCATCAATTATTTGGATATAAGTATGTACCTTATCTGGATAAAGGGGATTTTTTTTTCATTAAAAGGTACTTTCCCTTAAAAAAAAAGACACAAAATAACCTTGTATGCGGAAAAAATGCATCATGCTCAGGACACAATGAAACTCATGACATCTTAACCTTGAAATGCAAATCTAATTTTAATTTCAGATTGTTCTTCATAGTGAGGGGGAAAGTGTAAATGCATGCAACATTTTGGACATTCATCAGAGAAAACATTAAAAAAAATATAGCTGACATGTATTTCACTTTTTTCAGCATATAATTGGCTTTTGATCACTTTTGCTATGATTGGGAAGTTTGGAGTATCAGCAGGATTTGGGGAGATCTTTATATACACTGGAGAAATGTTTCCCACTGTAGTCCGGAGCTTAAGTCTGGGTCTGTCTGGGGCAGGGTCAAGAGTTGGAAGCATTATATCTCCGTACATGTTTTTTCTGGTAACAATTTATCAATGACAGCTTTATTATTATTCATTATTAATAACTGCAAAAGTTAAAATGATAAATTTCAATAGTATAATTACATTTATGGAGAGAACGATCATAGGCATTTATGCCTGCTGTTCAATAGCTTATAATTACATGTAGTTGAACGCTGCTCTATATACATGAATATGATTTTAAACAGCAGTTTTTAAGTTATAAGCTGCCTTATTAATCGGCTGTTTTTTTTAATCAGGCGGAAGGGACGTTTGGGAAGGTATTGCCTTTCCTGCTCTTTGGCTCCTTGACGTTCTGTGTTGCGCTTCTTTCCCTGAAACTCCCAGAGACCAGAATGATAAAACTGCCACAGCAAGTAGAGGACGTCAATGAAGAAGACAATAATCGTCCTCCTCTGTTCGTACTATTACTGATTAAATCAATTTTCTGTTTAACTTAGTTTTTAAAAAGTCACACAAATTTGTTCTCTGTGAACGTTTGAACATGTCTCATTTATTTTTAATATAACAAAATTCTTTTTTTAGAAGCAAAGAAGCAGAAAATACAGATGAAGTGGAAAAATTTATGGAAGATGGACTGTGAATATCATTTATAGTATCGATGCTTTTATCCAAAACTTTCTGTAATAAAATAAAAATGTCATCATATTGGTTATTAACAAAACTATATGTACATGTATCAACTACAATATATGAAAATAAAAAATATTTTATCATCTTTATAAAAAGTGATTCCTTTCTTTAAAAATAAATTGGATACTCGGAACTTTAAGAACTGGTTTCAACAAGTACGTTGATAGCTTATTTGTTTTTACCTGAACATGCCTCTAGATTGCAAGAAGCATATTGGTAATGAAGACCGTCACAAAATGTTGCGTTCTGGCCTTGGCATGTTCTGAACCTGTACTTCCGACCAGCTCCACAAGGTTTGGAACATGGAGTATATGGCCCCCAAGAACCCCAACCTATAAAAAAGTTTATTCGTACCATGTTTTGTTTGTTAAAGTTCTAGCATGTAAAACAATGTTAATCAAAAGTTAATGAAAAATCAATGAGCATTAAATGAAAGTACTTTATTATAAGCTGTGACATCTTAAAATTAAAAAAATAACAAAAACTTATCTATTGGAAGTATCTTTACTGCAACCTTCTTGGTGTTGAAAGAGCTATGACTTTGATTTGAATTATCTGGACATACCTTTACTAAATACTCTCTAATGCATAAAAAACCCTTTCTACTCTTTAGTTATATAAAGTTCATTGCCTGGACAGATTGAGGTGTTGCATGTTTCAGACATTGTGGAATTTCCAGTACAATCTCGACCGCCATTGGAAGGCTCAGGGTTATTACATGTCCGATTTCTTTCTCTGTTTCCGCCGCCACAGGACACGCTACAAGTGCTATACCTGGACCATGCACTCCACGCACCGTCAACTTAAATAAAAATAGGGATTAGATACCAAGATGTATGTATTACAACGTCAATAAAATTGAAACATTGAATGAGTATTAGTTAGCAGTAATTAATTGTAGTGTAAAACATTCTGAAATATACAATGTAAATGCAGTACTAGGACAAGGTTTATTTAAACACAGGATTCCCTCCTCGTCTAGTCCCACACAGTCCCCTCCACCTCCGCTAGGTGGCGGGTTTGTACAATTCCTCCTTCTTAGTTTCCAACCAGTACCACACGTGACATCACAATGTGAGTAGCTTCCCCATCCTGACCAATTTCCGTCCACTTAAAACAAAATATTTAATCAATTCTAGTGAAGTAAAGATTATGATAATGTATTTTCTCAAACAATGACTAACATTGGAGTGAATAATTAAAAATATATATTTCAATAAATGGAGACGAAAAAAGGCAATATTTATAATGCATTAGGAAAAACAAAATATTTCAAGAATATATCGAAATTTAAACATTTGCCTGGATTATTAAACAAAAGGACTCGCCTGCACACTGCTTTTCTCGGCATATTTCTGCCTGTTGGTCATGTCCAGGACAAGCTGATCCGCCATCTGATGGTACTGGATTGCTACAGGTTCTTGTTTTTGTTTTGATTCCAGTACCACAAGTTACACTACAGGCGCCAAAACTAGTCCATGCCGACCAACTGCCACTGACTTGAGAAAAAATAAGAAAAAGTAAGAGATCATTAAGGAACACGAACAAAGGGTATAACTTTTTTGAGTTAACTATTGAATTAATGCCATAGACAAATAAATACCAGGAACAGGACAATTTTGCGTATTACAGGTAGAGGACTGAATGGAATTTCCGATACAAAAAGAACCATTTACTGCTGAGCAATTCCTGGATCTTATTTGAAATCCACCACCACAGGTAGCAGTGCAAGATGAATATGCACCCCAGTTATTCCAGTTTCCTTAATAACAGAAAAAAGAAATATTCAATGTCTTGATTACACGTCGAACTGTAGCTGTCTATGAAAAGAATGTCAGATTTTAATTTGTAAAACAAATTGCTATGTTTCTTTATGAATTAGATGATTTCTACTTAAAACACGTAAACAATTTATTATAACAACTGCAAAGAACTATATAAGAAATTAAACTGAAGCTGAAAAAAACTCATTTTCACCATATCTGGGTACATTACACATGGACACACATTTATTTCTTGTTCACACCTGGACACACTTTCATTTCTGTACATGGCTGTACATCTGTTGAATTTCCATGACAAGCAGCTCCATGTGGACCTACACAGCTCCTTTGTCTCGTGTGATTTCCCTCACCACACGTTACACTGCAGAGAGACCAGGAACCCCAAGGAGTCCAGTCAGCAGTTACTGTTAAAAGGATCAACCATGTGTGTAGTTTTTGTTTTGACAAAATAATCAATGACTTACAATTACAAGATATTCTCAAAACTATTCAAATCTTACATGGAACGCATTCGCAATGCAATGTTGAATTGCTTGTTGAAGTAAATTGACATTTTTGATGTAATCCACTTGAGCAGGATAGCGCTTCTGGAAAAGAAAATAAACCAAAATATTGGAATCACATGAAAAAAATTTAAGCACTACTTTCAATCATTTTGGTTTAGGTTCCAAGATTAAGATAGTTTTTCCAAAGACCTATTTTTTTCAAACATTTTTACATTGCAGGCCGGGTTTCAAATATAGTAAATTTAGTCTGAGGATGCTAAAATATACTTAAGCTGTAAAAGCATGCTCTCTTTTGTACTTTTACATTTCATATTTAATTTTTAGGAATCAAATAAAAAGTTTAAAAAAGACTTATAGCTTACCTCAATTAATACTTTGCTTTTCAAAAAGCTGAAATGCTTTCATAAGGAATGGAAAATGAAAAACGTTTATTCAATTATCAATTTTAGTTGCAATTTATAAGTTCCTTTTAAAGAGAAAGATTGAATTCTGATAATTCAACTGAGTCCAATATTTGACTATTTATTGATGTTTTGACCAAATTTACGCCAGAATTTTTCGAAATTGTTAAGACATCATCAATGTAATTAAAAAAATCCTTACAGTGCTATTATACCTGAGAATTTGCTCAATCTTAGAAATTGGGTCAACTAGTGTTAAACATGACCAAAACGTGTCCCTCAAAATCTGTTCACTAATGGTCTGCTGATAAATCCTAGTTTACACTAACACTAAAATCTGTTACAATCATAACGTACGTCTGCGTCTGTAAATGTTATTAAAAGCTTTACTTTTTTCTTTCAAAACTCAAAAATATTTGCAAGATAATTATTGTTTACTGTGTATAAATACTAGTGATTTGTGGGAGTAAAAAAATTATCAACTTACTCTTGGCGAAGATATGAACGTGTGCATCAAAGCAGTTTCTCTTCTCAAACTCCTATATGCTGAAGAAATTTTACTTAAATCAAATCTTTGGATTTTCTATTACAGCTAAACTTTTCTTTAACATTATAGGAATATGAACTAACTCTTTTTGATTTTAAGATCAAGATTAAAAAATCGTGTTTATATACATTTTACGCAGTAAAAACCAATGCCTCATGAGAAGTAAATACTACAGTGGGTATCCAAGAAAAAAAGTGGGTACAAAAAATGTACATACTTGTTCCTCTGGCATCCAAAATAAATGTATATAACAAGAGTAATAGTGAAGTGTTCATAATACAATGTATATTGACCTTAAGAACAAATCGCTTATCGCATGACAGCAAGACCAAAGAAACAAACGTGTACACTGACAAAAACGTAGGATATTTTCTAAACTAAGAAAAAAAAAGAATACCCTAAAATGATACAAAACACAAGGCATTGTACTTCAGGTACAGGTTTTAAAGTTAAAGATTCTTTTATCTACTTTAGTGAAGGTTATTGGTGTTTTACTAAATCAGATACATACCATAAAAATATGACTGCGGGCAAGTCAGATTGATATGCACTTAAAGAACCTTCACAAACTTAATTGCAACTCTTATGTTTTACATCTGTTTAACAAATATTAAAACGCCATAAAATGATACAAAACACAAGGCATTGTACTTCAGTTACATATTTTATAGTTAAAGATTAAATATTAAAACGCCATTTTATTACTGTTGTAAAGATGGGTTCTTTAATTTTATATACTTAAAACATTTAGCATTTAAATCATCAGAATTTTTACGTATTATTGTTATTTATGTGTAAATACAATTAATTATTATAAAAAATTCATTATCTAATGAATTTGCTCTCACTTCACTTTATTATTATACTTATTTAATGAATTTACTCTCAGTTCAAAATTATTTGTACGGCGGGATTTTTGTTCTAAAAAAAGCCCGAAGAAGAGCTGACTTATCAGCAAGTACAATCTGTCATTCAGTCGAATGCTTACTGACGTTCTCCAAACCAATTGCTAGACCATTGTTTACACATCAAATTGTCTTCAGATTTCCCCCGTTTGACATGGAACACATGGAAGATGTGACCGGTAGGGAGGGAATGCTTACTCCTCCATGGCACCTTATCCACCTTTAACGATTTGGAGGTCCTTTATTACTCTGCCCCCGATTTGTATTGTTTCCATGGACCTTTGAGCTTTGATCACTGTTCTTCATTTCAAGATTTCACTTGATTATTAAAACTATTAAAAAAAAACAAAAAAAAAAAAAAACAAAAACAGAGCGGATACATTTTGCACTGTCGGAAAAGATTATATCTTCGTATGATCCGTGCAATGTATGTGGGCGATGTGTTGACACTTCACTCTATAGTACATAATCTTTTGGTATTTATTCCGTGTTAATATTCATGTCGGTATTTGTACGAAATGAACTCCAAAAAGTATTGGTGTATCCAGTCCTCAGGAATCACTCTAGATATTCTTTCCTTGTCTTGATATCGATAAGTTTTCCGACTGTATTTCAATTTCTTTGAACAAGATTTAAAAAAAATTAAAAAATATTCTCAAATGATAAAAATTATATAAGATATCGTGATTGGTAGAAGTGATATCATAATCTTTAATTTTGTTGGTTGTTGGGATTTTAAAGTATTATCTTAAAGTTTACCTTGATTCAGAATTCAAAGAATGAATAATTTACCCTCCAAATGATCAAAATAGTCAGTAGTTTTTCATCAAGGTTGACATTCATTTCAGTGCAAAATTATGTAATTAGAATACATAAATTAGTAGAAAAACTTATTAATTCTACATTATTAATAAATTTTCGTGCTTTGAGAAAAAATAAGGGATTGTGAGATAAAACTTTGTAGTTGAAGAAGCATTAAGTTGTTAAAGTAAATATGAAAATAATTATATAATAGTGTTGCATTATGCATGTACTATGCCTAAATAGTAGGCAGGGTTTGACACATGGTGCACGAGCCGGAGGCGAGTGCACTATGTGTCAAACCCTGCCTACTATTTAGGCATAGTACATGCATAATGCAACACTATTGTTATTATTATGCTGACTGTTGTAATTATTTATGCGGTAATCCATTTGATTTTTTCCTGAAAATATCGGTGCTTAAACAGCGCACTTGCAAGAACTCATTCAAAATATTCATGCTAAAATTGTTTGCATGCTTAGTTATTTTGGTTACTAGTATTTTCTCTAAATAAGTGATTTTCTGTCCCAAAGCAACACATCTTTATTTTCTGTTATGTTAGTAAGCCTTATTTGTTTGCAGACGTCGATTCTCATTGATAATTTTCTTTTACATCCTTCAATCAAGCGTCATATAAAAAAGCGTTTTAATGACCCTATAAAATCAGTTCATCTAACGATCTGTATGTAATTAGTTTGAAAGTTTGTTGTACACATTAATCTAAAGTTCCTTGGAATAATATAACTGTTTTCAAATAATATTTGTCTATTTTCTCCTTCTTGTGTCAATTGTGTAAATTAAGTTTATATATTTAATAAAATTGCATCAATCAGTGATCGTCTCTATGGCGTAATCGATAAGGCATCGGACTGTCAATCTCATGGTCGTGAGTTCGATCCCCGGCATGTGCATGGAAGAATTTTATTCAGTAAATAAAGCCGTGCACTATTTCGGCATAGTATGTTCACGCTATATAAATCCTTAATATGCGAGAATAAATGGGTTATATAGAGACAAACAGGAAGCATAATAATGAACAATAACCAAGCTCATCTGTCGATTGAAACAATACATAAAATTATTAAAAGTACAGTAAAGACGCGGATCTTTTAAAGATCAGAGGTGGGACCAGCTCCCGTGGAAGAGTAAGCATTCCATGCCGACCGGAAAGCGCTTTTTTTCCCCGAGAAAAATATCCAAATATGAACCAAATGTGTTTTTTACAATCCGTGATTGATATTATATCTTGGTCTCTTTACACCACAAAACTAGGAAAGTTACTGAATGTCAATAAGGGAAAAATTTAGGCACGTATATATGACTATATGTAGTATTTGATACCACACTCTAAAATGCACAAAAAAAGTATATGGATACAAGAGATAAGTTTCTGTCAATTCTCAAAAGATTGGAGAATACGATGTGATGTGTATGAGAATGCCTTGCACATACATTGGTTTTTAAACTGGTCAGAAATTTTGTTTTTATCAACGTATCAAACGATTTTTTTATATTCATTTTTCATACTTAAGCAACCTCCCTCGTCCAAATTAAACTTGAGTGACCTATCAGATCTTCTTTTAAGGAATGAATCACTGCATTTCAGAAGCAATAGGTGTAATAAAGATATCAATAATCTTATGGCCGGAAGTGCACAAAGTGCAACAGCATCTTTACAAAACGAGTTCTGTAACTATGCTTTGATAGACCACTTCACTTTTATCTATTTCACTCAGTTTAGTTGAATCTACCTCATGATCAAAGTTATCAATACTCGTGATAGAAAAATGTTACCATTGTGCAAGTGTTGGAAGTCCTATAAATACACAAACCTGTTCATATTGCTTCATTTTTACAACTTCCAAATTCAATTCTTCTGCCAACATTGATATTAGAAGCCATTATGCGTTTGATTTTCGTCATTTTCATTTTGTACAATTTTGTTTTGGTTGTATCTCGTAAGTTTTTTGCTCAATTATTAATTGTTAATTATTTCATATTTACATGCATTATGCTTGCTAAAAAATAAAAAAGAAACTTTTTATTTATTTACGTTTGGTAAATGTTGAAGTAATTACACATTTAATTTTTTAAAATTCCTAATTGATTTATCAGAATTTTTAACATTTTAAATTTGAATTGTAAACAAACACTGTAAACTTTCTATAGGTTTTAAGGAATTTTTATGAAAGCAATATGAGTTGCATTTTTCAGAATTTAATTTTGCTATTAAAATGTGTCTGTCATTATGATAAACCTTTAGGATCAAATACACTAAAATGAATTATTGAATTGTTCCAAGAGAAAGATCTCTGTACAATCAAATATTTAGTATTATTTAAGAAAACGATATTGTACAATACAACAATAATGTAATTTTGCATCATGAAGAGCTTGTTAATAGTTCCTCTATCACAAATACGAACAACAAAAGTTTATAAATGTTCTTTTTCTCTGTCTTGAAATAGTTAATGACAATTTTGCAACAGAAAATTTTGACATCAAAGTTGCAGCTCATATTGCTTTAAATAAAAAAAAACAATCCGTTTAATTGAATACGTACAGTTTTAATTGAAACAGTGGAAATGTTTTCTTATGGAAAAGTAAAACTAAATAAAGACTAGATCGGTAAATAAGAAATGAGGTTAAGGGGCTGAATAACATTACAAAATGAAATAAAACCATAATACAATGAAGCGCATTGAAGTGGTAAAATTTTCCATTTGGATGAAACATTCTGAGTCATGTTTTGAACGTCAATTATAACGTAACGACACGCCCATTTCTTTAGAAACGAGAAAGAATTATTCGTCGTAATGTTTTAGGTCACCCCACTTTCCGCGACAAGCAACATGAGTTACACTAAAATGAAGATTTTTAAATAAGAGAAAACTATATACAGAGTCCCCACTTTTGTAAAAGACGCACTGCAACGAATTTGTACATAATTATGATTTTATCATGTTTATTGGAGTTAGCATAACACATGTATCAGTCGAACACGTGCTTACTCGCTGTTTATGTAGACCGTCAATTTGATTGGCTATTATATTTATGGAATACCTGTTCTACAGGTATTCGATTAAATCATTTGACCGATTTTTCTTTTCTAAAAAAATGGGCGTGTCGAAAGAAACTCAAAACGTTCCATCCAAACGGAAAATTTTACCACTTCAATGCGCTTCATTGTAGCTTTTAAGTTTTCCAACGTAGGGTTAGTTTGATTGAGTGGTGTTCAAAATGTCAAAATCGTAAGTGTTCTACATGGAATTACAGGGTTTTTGAAGGAATAAATGGGCTGATATTTTCCTAAAAGGAAGTGCCAACAAGAATTTGTTTGTATTTAGTAAATTAGGTCATCAACTAGCTTGATTGAAGTTCTCTTAAACATTGAGTCAACATTAAGGGTTGGAAAAGGTCTATCCGGAGATTATCAGTAAAAATGGAGTCATTTCAGTGTTCCTGTCCAGCAAAGTTAATTATAATCTTTTCCTTTTTAACTAACAAGACAATGGCGGGTGGTCTCAGTGGTCGTCGTTTGGGAGATGTACCAGTGTGTGTGGGAAAGGTTACCGTTTAAGAACAAGAAGTTGCAGTGACCCAGAACCAACAAATGGCGGTTCTTTCTGCCCGGGTCCAGCTACTAACAAATCGAATGCTTTGAAAAGCCTTGTGGAGGTAAGCATATGCTTAATTATTTAGTTTTATTCTTTAATATTTATATTATTGCTAATATGCCAATAGAATTGCAAAAAATATCTTTTACCTTAGAAAGTCATCTATCAATACATGTAAATAGAACTTGAAATGCAAATGGGATTTTATATAAACCAACACCCTATCTATCTCTGTTGTTCCTTTAAGCAGAAAAATTGCACATAATCATTCTCTCATCCTAAGCCATAATACTGAGCATATGTATGTTACTTGAAATAAATTTAGTAAACAAAATTTGCTGTAGAAAGTCCCACATGTGTATTCACTTAATCAAAATTTCGAAAGAAAGTATAACGAAGAATGTATCAAACCAGAATGCAGAATATTACCAGGAAAAATTGGAAATGCTAGTATGCAGCTTACGTGATTTCAGTCAGTTTCAGTCAAAATATTTTAGGATAAATAAAGATATGGGAGGATGGAATTCGACAGGGGCGTCTTATAGGATTAAAATTCCAGTGCGAAGTTAATTTCAAACCATCAAAGATATTTTCATAAGCAACGAATAAATGTTTTCTTGAAATTACAAATAATTTCAACTCCAGAATAAATACGTTAAGAGTTCTTTTTTTTTTAAAGTTACAAATAATTTCAACCCTAGAATAAATGTAGTTTCAAATAATGTATATAGATGTATATTTAATAAGACACTCATTAAAATATAAATTTTAAAATATTAGGAAATTGAAGTTATCTGTCTTTTGACTCAAAGATTCATAAAATATACTTTGTGAAAGAAATAAAAACCTGGGTAGATTGATAATCAATTTCGAGTTAGAATTTTAATACAATATCACTTAGACCCCTGGATTGTATTGTACCCGCCCTTTTCATTATCATCACATGTTTTGACTGAAACAAACGCTAGCTGTGTATTTCCAACTTTGTAAATGCTACGTCCCTTCTGGCGATGTGTATTTTGATCACACATTATCAAACCTAAACACCTGTAAGCTAGGAGACGGTCAATAAGTGAATCATATACTGTATACTTTTACTACACATTTTTCTCAACAGACATGATTGCTGTATGGACTACTTGGTCAGGCTTTAGTCAGTGCTCGCGTACCTGTGGACAAGGAACCCAAACAAGAACTCGTCAAATGAACTGCACAGGAATAGTTTCTACATCCAGTGTATGTCTAGACAAACAGATTGAGAGCAAGGACTGCAACAGCATTCCCTGTGATAAAATTCCACGTAAGATGAATACAGCAGAAAATGTAGCAAGATTTTGAGGAACTTAAAAATACCAAAAGGCTTGTTTGAAGTTATTAAAGATAAAAAGAAATTAGTGTCGATATATTTCATCTTTTATTATAGTGAATGGCGGCTGGAGTAGCTGGAAAGAAATGGTGAAGTGCTCTAAATCTTGCGGAGGAGGAATGCGGATTAGATACAGAACCTGTAGCAACCCTATTCCTGCCAATGGTGGGCAATTTTGTGTCGGCGCTTCAGTTAAAACGACTTTATGTAACGATCAACCGTGTCCAGGTACCTATGTGTAGTGTATTTTGTAATTATGATAAAAAAAAATTGAAATGAATCATGACAGGTCATTTTAAGATAAAATATGGACTCGGTGTTAAATTTGTGTTTCTTGCACGTTTAACCACGGATTCGCGTACCCTCTAGTCAATCATGGCGATTTCAAGATGTGATCTGTGTTGTGTAATGTTCATCATGCCCAAGTTCAAATAATAAAGGAGCCATTTCAACCTGCTTTCATCGATATTTTTTACGTTTTAGCTAAAACAACACAAGGTTCCTTTGTAACCTTACCACGTAATTTGTGGGTCACCTTAAAAAGGGTAACTTCCTTTATGACACACTACTCAATATGAATTTCTGATTGAAGAAAACAATAACAAAGATAGTAATGATGAAATATATCTTTTCTTTTGAGCAGCATTCTACACGGATAAGTTAACATCTGGATTTATCAAAAAGAAGTGGAGCCCAACAGAATACACATTTCCGAAGTGGGAAGCTTTACAATAGAACACAGAGAGAAAATAAAACTTTTAAACTTATTCAGCTCACGTGAGCTGAAAGCTTAATTAGCTTTTCTGACATTTGATGTCCGGTGTCCGTGTGTCGTCTGTAAACTTTCAAATTTTCGACTTCACTCTCTCAAGACTCAATGGGTCAACCATCTTTGACACATAATTTCTTTAGGCGAATGAAATAAATTCTTTCTATGTGAGCGAACCATCGTTATTCAAATTCGTGTTCCTAAAGCGAGGGTTGGGCCCAATTATGCGATCTAAGTTGTGCATAGAAAAATTGAGAAAGATCTTTTAAAATTTTCTCAAGGACAGTATATTGGACTTCTGCCAGAAACGTTGACTTTTACAATAGACTGAAAGGTATGGAGATAACGAACAGTATTCAATCTCAAAGTCCATAACACAATGCAAAATAGGAGCAGAGCAAACACGGACCTCCGAAACATCAGAGGTGGGATCAGGCGCCATGGAGGAGTGAGCATCCCCTGCTGACCATTCACTCTCCCTTGTGCTCCTTGTCATGATCGGGAAATAACGGAAAAATCCGTCGTCAATTCAGTGTATAAATAATGGACCAACAATTAGTATGAAAAACTTCAGTCAGCATTTGACTCAATGATAAAATGTATTTGCTGACAAGGTCATTATATCGACCATAGACTATAGAAATGATGACTTTTAACGAGAATATTCTTGTTTCATCAGCTTGCTTGTCAATAATTTACCTCGTTTTAGAAATTGTTCATGCGTAGAGCATGCTCTTGCGTATCGAATCAACTGAGATATATAGACTCTGTATGCAGGTGATGAAGGTATATTGCTGCATAAGTTAAGGAAAGTTGACGATAGAAAAGTTAAAGTCATCACGTTTATCATATAGCTTGGTTGTTAGATTACAATTAACGTCCTTTTCAAGTAAAATATCCAAGTATGAAACAGATGTGTCAGACTCTGTGGTATCTTTTATCTCAAGCTCAGCAGGATAAATCGTATCGACGTAGGAATGGAAATTACCATTGTTAACTGACAATACGTCGTCGATATATCTAAATGTCGAGTTGAAGGCCACAGCAAGTGTTTTCTTCTTTTCACGCATAAGATTTTGCACAAATTCTGCTTCATATCAATATAAAAATATTTAGGTTTGCTAATAACGGAGCGCAATTGGTACCCATGGGAATTCCAATAGATTGTGGGAATACCTGGCCTCCAAAAACCACATAGATATTGTCAATCAGAAACTCAAGCATCTCTTTGATGTCAGCTTCAGAGTACATGTACTTGTGTGTGCAATCAGAATGTGTTTTAACAAAATAATTTTGCAAATAACCAATGACCAGGTAAGTAAATTTACGAGTTCCATTTTTATTGAAAAAGCAGCTGTCAATGATATCAAAAAGTCTGGACTTTAATTTATCGTTGGGAATGGTTGTGTATAAAGTTGAAACGTCGTAAGTTTTTAAGCTGTTGATTTTGGAAAAATCTTGTGATTTCAAATTGTCCAAAAGTTCTTTGGAATTTTTGAGTATCCACATCTGATTCACACCATTTCTTAAATATATTGTTGCACAGTACTCTTGAAGTTTTTCCTTAACAACTGTCAATATCTTGATGAGAAGTAATGAAAGAGGCTTGGTTGAACTGGAACCCGCAATGTATCTTTGTTTGTAAGGATTTTTATGAAGTTTCGGAATCCAATATATATAGGGTAGTTCAAATTCGTTTTGGCTCTGTGGAATATTAAAAATATTTAAAACTGACATATGACTTCGAAGAATTTCTTCCTAAGAAAGGGAGGTATGAGTATAAGTAGGATTGTTACTTGTAGAATTAAATCCAAGTTCTTCTAAAAAACAATTTATATAATGAGCCTTACAAACGAAGACAATGTTGTTACCTGCTTTGTCGGCAGGGACCAGTACGTACTGATCATGTAATCTATCTAATTCTTTTTTCACTTCTGGATTATTGAACACAGAAGGATAGATGGTTTTCATATTGCCCATCAGTCTTTTAATACGTGACTTTACCATGGATCTGATACATTTAATCCATTCTGACAAGGTGTCAACGTCTTCTTTTTCATATCTGGCCCATCGTCTGGCGTAATTTTCAACAGAATCCATAATTAGATGAAATTCCGACGCCAGTTGGTTTTAGGACCTTTTAAAATAAGTGATCTAAGACTGTTTACTTTCAATTACCATTTCTTTACCTCCATATATACATGTATAATGCTGATGTAATTGTAAAAGTAAACCATCATCTGTAAAAGTCAGATCCAATTATCAAGCCATGACAGATTACATTAATATGGAACCAAGGAGCATCCTCATTTGGTATAAAATCAAGCTTATTCAAATCAATACCTCGGAGGGTAGGGGGACACAATAACATCTATCTTTTACATGGGAATATATATGAAAAAGTCTATTAAAATCTTTTTAAAGCTATTATGAATTATATTAAAATAGAACTATCTAACGTAGATACAAACTTGTTTATGAGCGCCTTCCTGGACAGGATTGGACCGCTTCTCAATACTGAAGTGATTTCTGCTTTTATTCTAACCAATGCTAATCAGGAGAGCGATGTGGTCCATGAGCCTCTTGTTCTTCCCAATTTATTTAAAAAAAGAATACTCTTTGAAAAATCCTCCCTGATATATTTTTTTTGTTATTTGCCAAATTTTTTGCAATACAGTATTTCATTATTATTATTGACATAAATACATTTGCTGATGTGGATATCTTTGTAGTTTTATTCTAAAAAGATTAAATGATAGTGTATATCTGCTCTTTGACAGGACACCGGTCAATACTGATTTCTCATTTCTTAATGCAACGTTTCGTTGAATGAAGGAACAAATTTGATTATCTCGCTAGTGGAAATCCTTTAAGATGTATCTTTTAAAACAATGATTCACAATTGCAATTAGATAAATGTATTTAAGCGATGGGTTTTCTTTTTAAAATTTCGAGTAAATATTGAATTAATTATGCAATTGTGAATGTTAATTCATCAAAGTACAAGTCAGGATTTGTGTTTTAACAGCCTTATAATTATTTAAATAAAACAATTTATTGTTTAAGATATATTATTTCTTTATTATATTACTCAGTCATATAGCTTTCCATTTTACTCAGGCATATAGCTTTCCATTTTAATGATGTACATCTCTTTTTCTCTGAAATTAAAACGCACAACGTCACATTTTTCTCAAAATGAAGAAGAAGAAAAAAAAACAAAGTAAATGCTGAAAGAACTTTACTTAAAAACATAAATAAGAAACAGACATTTACCACAATTCATCGAATATCTTTTCTAGAAAAAAAAATCTTTTTAGATTTTACACCAATTGAATTTAACTGTTACAGAAAGGTTTTATTCATAGAAAACACCCTCTGTAAAATTTCGTAATAAACAGAAAGTATTTGTGTTTTACTCATTAATTGGTAAATACCACGTGTTATCATGTTCTATTCCCCAGTTTTAATCAATGCATGAATACTAATACACAACATTCAAAATCTACAAACCCATAGATACTATCATAATATCATGACCCAAATCTAACATCAACAGCGTGAGCTGTACATGTTTGGTGCCCACGCCCCCCAAATGATTCTATACAATAGAGAATGCTCTGGATACGATCAATAAAACAGAGGCCAGCTTCTGACAAATAAGTTGGTGTAACAAAGATTTCATTAACCCCTTTAGAAGTCAGCTTTACACGAATTTTACAATTGTCATAAATACCTTATTAGTAAATATAATCTATCATCGGATCGTATTTTGTCTGCCTGTTCCGCGGCACTTTTTCGACATTGCTTTAATTGATTGCAAAAAAATGACTACAATTCTTTGTCTGCCTGAAACATGTTATGTATCGGAGGACAGTGGGTCTGGCTGGTCAACATGGGGTTGCTTACTCCCCTTGACCACCTGCATGATACCACTTATGAAGTTTCAAAGGATACCTGCTTTCTCTGCTGTTTATGATTCCTTTTACTTACACTTACTGAATCTATGAGATGGATTCCTGTCCGCGCCTATTATTGATTTACCTAAAGTCCACTTACCCGTTTCCCAAGTGTTACCAATTGATTAGTTGGCACTGTTACCCAATGTAGGGGATCTGAAAAGGAAGATTGAGAATGAGAATTAGTATGTAAAAAAAAGTTTCTTTACGTACAAACATTTCAGCATTTTCAGTCACTTGCATTCAATATTGATGGAATTTCCCGTTTCTTAATAATTGAATTGAATTTGATCGTAAACTAAAAATAACAGAAGATCTGCAAAATGATTTTTCTGTATCTCCTTTGGAGTGAATAAGGCAGATTAACTTTGGTAGGTTGTAAAGCATAAGATTATTAAAAAGACCAGAAATTAAGTTAATTAAGACAACCAAAATTGTTTTTACAATACCCGGACATGGTTTTACTTCACATTCTACAGTTTCTTGGTAATCCCCAACACAGACCAATCCGCCATTGGACGGCGCTGGGTTAGAACAAGTCCTTTGACGTCTTTGAGAACCTTTTCCGCACGTTTTGCTACACTCACTAAAAAGACTCCAATCGCTCCAATGGCCGTCAACTTAATGTTGAATTATATTTATTTACTATCGAACTGCAATTTATCATCACTAAACATATCAAGACAAAGTTGTTAATAAATTCTATTTCATATTGACCCTCTTGTTTCATTTTAAACGCTTTGACTTATATGGCGAAGTGACATCTCTTTGGTTGATGGTAAACCCTAATAAAATGTAACTTACCTGGGCAATTAGATTTAGTACAATTTTGGATTTCTGTTGATCTCCCAACACAATCTGTACCGCCATGTGCAGGGGGAGGTTCTGTACAAGTTCTCTCCCTTTCCTGTATTCCTTCGCCACATGTGACTGAACAACTACTGTAATCAGTCCAAGTACTCCAACTACCATCAACTAGAAAATCGACCATCATTCTATATTATGTCAAGAAAATTGATTTAAAGATTCCAAAAAATTTCTCTTTGTCTTTTTCAACTTTTTTTATGAAGAAGTTTAGTCAGAGATCAATTAAACATATATTTTGATTAAAAGATTCATCATATTGCTTAAGGGCTTCACAATTTTTTTTCGGAAGGGGAGGGGGGGTAACTTTTTTACTTGAAATACTAACATTGAAGTTAGATTTACTTTTTTGAAAATACAGACATCCTCATAATAGCGTTACAGATCAAATTACCAGGACATGGTGTGCTGTTACATTGCTCAGTCTCTGAATTATTCCCAGAACAATCTTTTCCGCCATTTAACGGAGCTGGACTCGAACATAATCTTTGTCTTGTTTTAGAACCATTTCCACATGTCTTGGTACATTCACTATATTGACCCCATGTACTCCATTGGCCATTCACTCAAAAGAAACAAAACCATTCTTCACTGATATTTCCATGACTGACTTAACTGAATGAAATATCGAAATAAAATCATGCTTTTCTCTCGCTGAATTCTTTCTCTGTTCCAATAATTGGTATACATTAATTTTACCGTACATTGAATAGGCTAAGCCTGTAGACTTATCAATCATGCTACATTTTTGTTTATTTCTTCATATGTATCAAACATTATAATTTTGAAAAAAAAAATTGTTGGCTGTATCACGCTAAATTGTAACAATATTTATATTCAACTTTTCAAAAACTTTTTTAAAACGACATTTAGAATAAATAGTGCAGTGCAATTATGTTTTGTTTTTTAAGTCACAGTTTATGAAAATGCATACACCTACATACGGATTCAAAAAAGATATATACATACATGTTCATCATTTATAAATGATACATATAATTTTAAATAAATATCATTCTACCTGGGCAACCGTTTTCTGAGCATTTTTGTGTTTCATTGGCGTAACCTTTACAATTAGCCCCTCCATGTAAAGGTCTTGGATGAGTACATGTACGGGTTCGAACCTGAGTCCCTCCGCCACAAGATGTCGTGCATTGACTGTACTGACTCCAACTGCTCCACTCTCCATTCACTTTACATTAAGTATAAGCCAAATGTCATCTTAAGATTCAATAATTTTAGATGTTCAATGCAATTAAAATGTGAAAAACATTTCCAAAATGCTATAATATCCACCCTAAAGGTAAATAAAAATTGATTTATAATTAAAAAATCCTTTTCCTTCTAGTCATAATTTGGATCAAATCAAATATTGTTCGTTTTTCACAACGGATTATTTATTCCTTACCTGGACACAAATGTTCATTGCAATAATGAGACTCAGTAGATTGTCCTACACAGTCTGCACCATTGTGTGCAGGTGAAGGGTTCGAACACGTTCTAGTTCTTGTCATTGTTCCTCTTCCGCAATGCGCTGAGCAATGACTAAAACTACTCCATGTACTCCATCCTCCATTAACTAGAAAATTAAAACAGACAGATGTCGGGTAAAGTGATCCCTTAGTGCCGCCCTGCTCCGCAGGCGACACAAAAATATTCTATTTATATAATTTATAAGAATTCTATGTAATTTATAGTTCATTTTCAAAATGTATACATATATTCACAGAATTTCAAATGTTTAAACAAAATAAAACCAGCCACTTTAATCTTAACAATTGTATAATCTTTATGATCAAGTTTATTATTATACTTCTGTTGAAACGTTTTATATATAAAGTTAAGGAGGTAAAATGACTATTTTTCATATTCTGAAAATTTCCACGCATTGACAGCTATACCCCGGGGTATAGTTTTTGCTATCCACCCCTGGGAAGATTTTCATGCAATTTTTGCCGCCAATTTTGATTTCCAGCGATAAATCAATAGACTCAGAAACTGTAATATACATCAGTATAATAAAACGCTTATGCACTGGCTGTGAGTAGGATAGCTCTTTTATCAAACCCTTGACAGGAACTATTCCCCTCGGGCAAGCCCTCGGGGAATAGTTCCCTGTCTCGGGTTTGATAAAAGAGCTATCCCACTCACAACCAGTGAATAAGTGTATATTATACCCCCCCGCTTGAAAAGCGGGAGGGTATATAGTGATCGGGATTTCCGTCCGTCCGTCCGTCTGTTACGCTTTTTCTCTTATCCGCAACTCCTCTTATACTACTGAGTGAAATTTAATGAAACTTTCACAGAATCTTTATTACATATTGCCATTGTGTATCTCCTATTTTACTTTTTTTATTCGATACGTATTTTAGGTTTCCCAGAGCAAAACATGGACATTGCCATTTTTTGTTTACCTATGACGTCACATAATAGAAGCTTCTGGATAACATTTGATAGGACGAGTTATTCCTCTTTGCACATTACCGTAAAACAATATATAGCAACACATCGACATTATGGGAGGCGGGGGTATCATTTAGTGAGCTCATTGCTCACAGTACCTCTAGTTTATGTAAGTATTTACCTGGACAACCGTTTTCTGAGCATTTTTGTGTTTCAATAGCATAACCTTTACAATTAGCCCCTCCATGTAAAGGTCTTGGATGAGTACATGTACGGGTTCGAACCTGAGTCCCTCCGCCACAAGATGTCGTACATTGACTGTACTGACTCCAACTGCTCCAACCTCCATTCACTTTACATTAAGTATAAGCTTAATATAATCTTAAAACACATTTCTTAAAATGCAATAAATTAAAGAATAGTTTATAATAAAAAAAAAATCATTTTCCTTAGGGTCATAACTTGCAATAAGATGTAAATGTATATATACGGTTTTCAATTCGAATTGTTCAATTGTTTTTATAACATATTGTTAACTCTTTACCTGGACACAAATGTCCATTGCAATGATGAGTTTCCATTGCATGACCAACACAGTCTGTACCATTGTGTGCAGGTGTAGGATTCGAACACGTTCTAGTTCTTGTCATTGTTCCTCTTCCGCAATGCACTGAGCAATGGCTAAATTTACTCCATGTACTCCATCCTCCGTTGACTACAAAAAAAATGAATATACATTTTAAATTAGAATGATATGAGAGCAGTTTAACGAGGCCGAGTCTAATTCGAGTGCGCAACACTTTTGCGCAGCTACTTAATTCCATGCAGTCATATGTTCGACAGGACATCTTTCCCAAATATTCTACTTTTTACGACAATAATTAGGAAAAAACGCTGAAATGGCTCTTACGGCGTCACTGTTTTCCGATTTTGTAAGCAATACATGAAGCTGATTTTATATCACTGATATAACCCGAAATATTGCTGTTTAGCATTGGTGACATTGATTTACGAATCAAAGCAAATTTCCCATGGAATCCAAACATTTATTCATTTATTTTTGACTTCAAAATCAAATTCCAAAATTTCTCTACAGTTTTTTATGTGCCCTTATTATGCATTTCGTACGTCATATCTGAAGGTCGCCTGTGTGGCGCAGTGGTTACAGCATTGCCTTAGAGTCGCAGAATAATGAGTTGATTGGGTTAGAATCCCTCTATGGGACGTAGAGACCCCGGTTCTTCGTATGAGACCGTTTAAACTGAGATCCCTCACTGCTCAATGGTTGCAAGTGTATAGATCAGAATTGATAGCCCTCCATCGGCAAGTGGTGACGTCTCCATATGAGTGAAATATTCTCGAGAGGGACGTTAAACAACAAACAATCAATCTATATTTGTTTCCTACTGAATTTGACTACGGAATGCTAAGTCTACATGATCAATATATTGGGTGTTTGGAGGGCGTGACCAGTCAACAGGGGATGCTAACACCTCCAACATGATCAAAAGGTCTGTATTTTTGCCCTCTGTTTTTCTTTTCCCTCCTTATGACAAAAAAAAAAGAAGGGAGAAGTATCGGTATAAACAGTTTGAAATTATCATACAAGTTTGACACAGGTCAAAGATAAATATCGTACCCGGACATAACCGTTCTGAGCAGATGCTGGAATCAACTCTCACTCCTTGACAGTAAGCACCTCCATGCGCAGGCGCAGGGTGTGAGCAAGTCCTCCTTCTGGTTTTCATTCCATATCCACAAGTATGTGAACATTGACTAAAAGTACTCCAACCACTCCAGGAGCCATCAACTGTTATGACATGATGTGTATGGTGTACAGATTTGGAATAATTAACAATTATCTATACACTTTGATATAATACTCCATAAATCAGGTATGTACAATGTAATTAGAAGTTCACTATACTTCCTTTTGATTTTAATCAAAGCATATCAATTATTATATACTTATTTATGTTCCTTTGTTTGTATAACCTTACCAAGGAGACTTAGCTCGTTTTTTTGTTTTTTTGTTTTTTGTTTTTGCCCAGGACAGGTGAAATAAGAACACATGTACAGTATAAGAAAGAATAATGTCATTTATTTTCTAAATGACAAAAAGATATCTACAAAACAGGAGTCATTCATAAACATGTAACTATAGTAATAATGTAACTATAATAATAATACACAAGGTGCTGGATATTATCAGGACCCGTTATAATATTATATATGAAAATAAAATTAATATCTACACAAATCAACTAGATAGGGGGCTAAAGGACTAGAAACATTACTCTTACATGTACAAAAATACACGACAAACCCCCTTCTGTTACCACATATGTAAAATAGGAGCATCAATAAAATGCCTGCCCACAAAAAAGGCGGGATATAATTATTTGTAAATTTATAAACAACCATGCTTTCATTCAGTTTCCTTTCTTTCTTTTTTCTTTTGAAAAAGAGGTTTACATGTTTATCAATATTTGGATTTCTTCTTTATGTTTTCGTTGATCTGAAGCAAAATGTTAATTAAACATTACCTGGACAAGGTTTTTCAGTGCAGTTTAGCACCTCAGAATTTACACCTGTGCAGTCAGCACCACCATGTGCAGGAAATGGGTGGGAACATAACCTCGTTCTGGTTTTTTGTCCTGATCCACACGTCACAGAACAATGACCAAAGGTGCCCCATGTGTTCCAGCCTCCATCAACTGTTCGAGTATGACAAATTTACTTTTGAATTGACGGCGTTTATAAAACTTCAATTTAAGGAGATTGGATCCTGCCGTCAGTAGTCTAACAAATTATTTGTAAAATATATTTCAACAAAGATGACTTAATTAAAAAGAAAAAAAAAGGATCAAATGCTTTACTGTGTTATATAAATGTGATATGACCTTTCTGCGCTACAAATACGACTTGTACAAATATGTCTACTCAAACATTTTTATCCAGAAAAATTAAATGCAGCAAAATACTAGTACTGTCATAAACATTCAATTTTTTGACAGAAAAAATTCAAATATCAGTAGTATCCGCAATATTATTGGGAATGTGACCTCTAAACACTCACAAAATTCCCTTTCTAGCATAAAGACAACTATATCACTAGTTGATGTCTCAAGTTCTTTCACATAATTGTCCAATAGAGATATAACATCTAATTTACACCAATTCTAGAATGTGCTGTAGCAAAGTGGTCTGGGGTTTCTCCTTTAATCGTGAATATTTTTTAAGGAGTAATGATAGGGGGTTGGTCGAGCATTTTCTGAACCTTGAAATAAGGATTCTTATGAAGAGATCAGGGATCAAGTTTAAGTATTGGGGTTGATCAAACTCACCTTGGTTGACTTAAGTGTTAAAAGTTTTAAACACTGATAAGGGATTCTGAAGAATTTTATCATTAGAAAGTAAAGTGTAGTTATAAGACGGAGTTCCAGACGTGTAATCAAAACCAAGTTCTAAAAGACAAATTTAATGATGAGCCCTACAAACAAAGACAATATTGTTACAAGTTAGAACCATGACATTTGATATAGTTTTACCTTCAGTTAAGTGAAAACGGAATGAAATATTGCTTGCTTATTGCTACATACTTTTTAAAGGGATTGTTCAATTTACGAACTCTAGATGTATATAAATAAGCGCACACAATTGTTTTGTGTAATTCTCTTTTTTAAATGATTAGACACATCATTAAATTAGCACAAATTAGCGTCTTTGTTTAAACCACGTGTCTATAAAATAGCTGATATTAACCATCGCAAAAGACCCGGAAGTACTTCATAGTATTCTTAAACATTAAATCCTTACTGACAATGTCTTCGGATCTTCTCCTTCATATTCCCCCCAAACGTCTGGTATAATTTTTGGTAAAATTTGTAAACGAATTGAAGTTCTGTTGCTCGGTTCTCACTGTATTTAGAAACCATTATAATTATTGCTTTAAAGTTTTCATTTTCAACTTTTTTTTTTACATCCACTAAACACTACCTCCATTATTTCTTTAGAAAAATTAATATATGCAGATGATATGGTAAGTATTGTCAGTAAACAACGTTTAGTATATCACCTGTACAGATTTCTTGAGCAATGGTTGTTCCATCAATGAAATGTACGTTATATGACGTTTCCTTTTACGAGTTGTTTTCAGTTTTAAACTCTCTTTAAAAAATGAGAGTTAATGTCATGCCTATTTATTTATCTGTAAATTTCTACATACTTATAGAGTCCTCTTTCTATTTCAAAGTGGTTAATTATGCATAAAGATGATAACAGTATGTTACTATAGCTCTGTTGTTCTTAATTTTCTAATAAAAGTATAACTTATTGGACCTTATGTCCTAACATTACTCTTAAGATTTTAAATTGTTATGATTCGGTAAAATATTATAGATTTTTTTAAAAAAATACATTAAACTCTGAAAAACATGCACCTTTACACTACTTATTGAATAGATAAATAACTCATTAACTCTTTTTACCTGGACAGTGATGTAAATGGCATCTTAGAGTTTCCCTGGATGACCCCTCACATGTAGTGCCACCGTTAGCAGGTGTTGGATGTGTGCATGTTCTAGTCCTTGTCCTAATTCCTGTCCTTCCACACGTAGCAGAACACAGGCTAAAAGGGCTCCAATGGCTCCATCCACCATTTACTACCGTTTGAAGAGCTAAAAGTTAACGCTATGTGGAGCAAAATCACATTAAGTAGTACTCAAGAAGTACATCACTTCCCTACGTGTGATTGATTTTGACAGTTACATTTTGTATTCATTATTTAAGGAATCACTCCTGTATCTTGGATACCTACATTGTATATTTAATATAAAATAAAAAAGGTATACATATGAGTATATTCAGACATGTAATTCTTATTTTGATTGTAGTTGGTCCGGAACAGCACCATTTGAATACCATGCGTAAGCTCGGTCTTATACTTTATCGTCACAGACAAATGCTGTTATGGGACCGGCGACATCCAAAAATGAAAGTTCAATCCCTATATAATTTACATTATTTGATTTACTCTTCAAAATTACTTATTCATTAATAGTTATTATGAATTTTAACGCCTTTCAGACATGGTATGCTTCATAGACGAAAGAACAGTTTGTAACGTAGAAGGTTAAAATGACGCAAGTGAATAGTGTGGAGGAATAAAATGATATGTTTGATTTAAATGCACTATTTTAATAATGTTACAATAATTTACTGGATTTCGTGTGTGTTCAAGGGTAGCAAATGCTATAGATTTTCAATGGATTTCAAAAAGAAGATTAAAATGAATGTTAATATATAGAGAAGGAAAAAGAGAGTGAAAATTCATTTTTGATATTTTTCATATTTGATATATCTGAAGACAAAAATTTTCTATTGCTTTAAACCTAAACTAGAAATAAGAGAAAAATAATTTAATTCTTTACTGTTTGCATCAGTTTTAAACGAAAGGCAGATATAAAGTTTAATTATCAAGATTAGGAACTAGAGACACTGTTTCGAGAAAACCTATAAATATCTGAATTTTACTGATGGACAATTTTTTCTCTCTCCAAAAATAGGCCATTATTTGATTAGATTTGATCTATCATTTTATTAATGGATAGTCGAGTCCTTACCTGGACACGAATGTTCATAGCATGCATGATACTCAGTTGATTGACCTACGCAGTCTGCGCCATTGTTTGCAGGTGAAGGGTTCGAACACGTTCTAGTTCGTGTCCTAGTTCCTCGTCCACATGACACCGAGCAATGGCTTAATCTACTCCAATGACCCCATCCTCCATTGACTACAAAAATATAGGATATTTATTGTCTAATATTTACAGAATTATAATGGTTAGCTTGCCTCTTTCTAATGTTTATTAAGGGGGATGTACGGCCACTTTAAGTGCAGTGAGAGCAAAATGTAAACATATCTTCAAATGGCTAAAATACATTATATTTGGATCAAATTTTAAGTCTTTTTGATAAAGATACAATAAATATGCATAACCGAATGCATGTTGTGCATATATAATCTATACTTTTGCAGAAAAATGCTTTTGATATGCTCCTTAGAACTGCGCAGCTACAGAATTCAGCAGAGCCTTAAAAAATTCAAAAAAATATGCAAACTGTGCGTTAATGTTCTCTCTACAACCATTTGTTGAGAAAATGTCTAAATTTTGCACTTTAAAATGATAATTTCAAGTTCAAAACAAGGTACCATTGTATTCAAAAAGAATGTAAAGAACCATGAAAGTAGTTCATGGATAGCAGCACGTGGTCTATTTTTAGCACAGAATCTTGTTTTCCAGACCTCTTCTTAATATGGAGGGACATAACAATCTTTAAATGTAGAAGAGAATTACAGTTGCAAAATATTTCAAATAATATAAACACTTTTAAAAGAGGAAAGGTGTTATAGTGTGAAGTAATCCATTTAGTATTATTATCAATGCCAAGAAAACCTTAGCATTCTCTCAGTATAGCAAACTCAATAAAAGCCGAATTAACATTAATCTTTGATTCTTCCCCTGGAAGACGTGCGGAAACAATTAATGTCTGCAGTTTTGACGGAGGGATCTTAAAATTTACTGGGTTAAAATTATAGGTAGAATATTAGTTATTTAGAGGCCTTTGCCCCCCCCCCCCCCCCCTTGTCTTTTTCGGGTGGGGGGGGGGGTTAAAATAATAAAAGTAAAGTAATTCTTTAATAAAATAAGCTGCCTTTCAATTTTTTTTTACGTAATTCAATTTCAAAATATTTTTCTCAGTACAAATAAATTGACATCGGGTAGTTGTGGAAGTACCGCGTCAAAAATATAGATAAAAGAGTACCAAATTTCATCATCATTACATCATTTCCTGGTTGAACAAGATGAAGACGAATACTGTTACCCGATTGGCTATGTGTATATTTTCATTTTAAAGTGAATATTTTCTTTTTTTTTCTTATTTTCTTCAGTCCAATATTTTTTTTAAATAAACGTATTTTGAAAATAAAGATATTTGACGGTAACTTTTTAGGGTATTTGTACTACTTCCTGGGGTAGAAGTTTATTTTTTCTTTAACTAAGAAAGCTTAAAACCTAGGATCCACCCCCCAAAAGTCTGCTGTCGTAAATTGTCTTGCTGGCGTTTTGGGAATATGGCTGATTTGCATCAATTATACTTTTATTGACTCCAACGCTGTCGAAATCGGACGAGATTTCTTGGCATGGAACAGCTGTTACATAGTTTACGTATTGATATAAAAAAAATTTAAACTCTTTGATTCCAGGCAAGGAAAAATGAGCACCATCAAAGTTAAAAATTAAGAGTTTGTAAGTTTGCCTCAGATAAATTATATTATCTATTAAAATTTAATTATCTACAATAAAACACAAAGAAATTAGGCACATATGAAATTGATACGAATGACCTTGTTTTAGTACCTACTAGTACGAAGCGTTATCAAAAATTTCGCGAAATATCTCTATATCTACAAAACCACAGTTCAGATTAGATTGCCAAACACAAGTTCTATAAATAGCATACGCTGAAGTTTTGATCCTTGTTTGTGATGTCACAATCTGAAAATGACGTCATTATTCAGGTACTTTTGACAAAAAATGGTTGTCTCAGTGGAACTCGTGGCACATGTATATCTTAGAAATGCCTTTGAAGTAGCGTATAAGAATTTGTTCGTTTTAGTGAAGGAAGGCAGATGGTTAAATATGATACTTGAACGTTGCCCGGTGAAAACAAGTTTGAAAAAGGGATGTGTTTTTAATAAAGCAATATGCTATCAAAGACCTTCAATTAAAATTTTACACTTTGAAAAATACTTGAATATTTCAACAATGATATAAATATTAAATACCTAAGATATTGAATGTTTACTTTTTGATCACCCCTCGTATACTGTGTCAAATCATTACAGAGGAGCAACAGTTGAAAAGGCATGAAATCATTCAGAGTGGGTTAGGAGATTTAATGAATAATTTTTTTTCTATTTTCCCATATTTTCAAAATAACAATTGTACAAAGTAAAGAGAAAAAATCAACCTATAAACATCTTTAAAATGATGTTTGGTGGTCCTCCCAGCTCAGGGAAAAATAATTGGGTCCGTATTTATAGGTGAAAAAAAATCCTTAAAATTTAAACAGAATTGTTGACGGAAGGAAAAGAAAAAAAATATAGTGTAATGGAATGTTAAAGAAATGAGTCGGGCCATTTCTAGGCAGTAGATCGGGAGAGAGGGCAACCAAATATTTTTATAACAAGTGGTATTATAAGGCTAGTACATGTTCCATCACATACTTAGTAATGCAATTTTTTTTAATCTTTGACACTATTTTGAAAAACAAACATAGGATTTTTCGGGGGAAGGGGGGGGGGGGGTTAGCACTCACTTTTTTGTGATGATAGACATAGCATATATGCAATGGACCTTTCTTTGCAAACATTGTGCTCGCTTCTAAATTTCATAGAAACAACTCATTATATTTTATCAAGCTTCGTATGTTCAATGAGCGAGAGCTTACAACGTTGTCAACATAATGAGACATGATGCGTTTTTGTGTCCTAACATTACTCCATACAATGTGTGGGTCATTGCAAACATTCTACCTATTTATGTGAGGTGCCTGAAGGATATTCTATAACTGCCTATTTTTTCTATTTAACTTCTAAACAAAATAGACATATGTACCAACTTTTCGAATGTAAGACATGTAATTACAATTTATTTTTCATGCACTCCATATTGTTTAACATTTTCAAATTAAATGCTAAGCATCCTCCTTGCAGTGCCCCATTTGAAAATAACTTCTATCGCCACAGAAAAAAGACCCGCCGTAAACACATATGTTTAGGACATTTTTATCTTTTTTTCTTGAGTTTTAAAGAAACCAGCAAATTATCAAGACTTGTTCCATGAAAATTAAATATAGTCATGGTAATCAACGGATTTATCCACAGCAGATATATGCACATGCCAACCATGTGCTTAGTGGAATAATATTAACGAGGAATTTCGAGTTGAATACAGAACAGTTTTTCCCGATTTGCTGGAGTGAGGTTAAAATCGCGTTTTTTCATTAATCAAACGATGCGATGCAACAAATAAAAGTAGTAAGTAATATAACCTAATGATTATTACTTAGTAATTTCTTGTCTTGATGTTATTATGGTCGCATTTATTCTAAAATCATTGTTATTCGAACTCTGTGTGACAGAGGAATGGCGGACCAAAATAAACACATGGCCTCAGCAAGACACCCATAAAAAATCAAATTTTCAAGAATTATGGATAATGACAAGAAAAAAAAGAAACAAATGGTTGTAGCCATATTATCAATGAATCAAACTAACTCCATTTTCAATGCATTTTTCGTCTCATGAATGCTGTACCTGCGCAGTTCTAACATGATTAATTTTCTTCTAATTAAGACAAAATAAACTTAATTGTTTACTAATTTTGGTCTCTAACAGTAGGTAATTAGTGCATTAGCACTTTGAGTAACTTTGGGCTAGTTTAGTAGAGTATTTAGCGCATTCTTGGTATTTCTTAGTTTACATCAGACTAGATCCAATATGGCTTGTACATCCCCCTTAATGTTTCCAGTGGTCTATTAAGAGTATGCAGATGCTGCCCAATCTTTAACACTGCTTAAATGTGTAGTGTGCACTCTGTTTACTGTACGTTTTTGCATCATGCATATCTGTATTACATAATATGATATAATAAGATTATATTAAGATATATATGATTTTTATGATGTTTTTGTTATGTTTTGGTTTGGTCACTTTTACAATAAATTAACATATAAATGTACATATTTTAACTGCATTATCATTTATATATAATAAATGATAAATGAAAATTTTTATTTGTGTCAAATAGAGAACCACCACGGGTTTCCATAAGAATATTCAATCCTAATTATAAGTGTTCACTTAAGGTTGATCATCCCTCTGTTTAATCATATTTATTAATGTGTTGCTTTAAATTTTTTCTCAATGGAATGTATTTCAAAATGTCTAGTTGACATTACCAGTGGCAGTATCAGTTCCAGGGCAGTGTCGATCATTGCATTCATACGTCTGTGAAGCCGGACCTACACAATACGCGCCATATTCCCCCGGTGTGGGATGTGTACACGTTCGAGTCCTTGTCCTGATTCCTTGGCCACATGTAGCTGAACATGCGCTCCAGTACCAATGACTCCAACCCCCAGGGGTATCTGCGATAAACGTTAAGTTATCTATTTGGATTTACGTGGGTTACATGAATTTTCCTGGCTTTCCGTATAAGTGAATATCAAAATTAAAGAATATTTGTTTATATCGATGCATATAATCATAAAGAATAGTCACAATTATAATTGTAGAACCTCTCACATTTCAATTTGGAACTGATTCATTGAAAGACGTCTAAATAGATGTAACATCAGTTTGGCATTTATAATAATGTTTGTATTTTTCGAAATCAATATCAGACACATTCAACTTTATTCTTTTCAATTCTTAATTTATTTCATAAGTAATGTTAAGCAAAACTGAATATCACATGACTTTAAAGTTCAAGATTTTCAAATTTTATTGAATGAAAGCTAAAATGAAGAAATAAACGGAATTAACATTTAAAAAGAGGAGTTATTTTTCTCTTAGATTACTACCAAGAGTCGAATTAAGGTGTGAATTTCCCGTTCAATTACAAATTAAGCTTATTTGAAATCAATAGACATCGTAGAATGAAAACTTTGTTAAGGTATTTTTTTTTTTACAAAAAAGTTTATTTTCTTTCACTTAAATATACAAGTAATGATTCTTTACCAGGACATTGCTGCATATGACACCTCCAAGTCTGCGTAACGTGGATCTGTGAATCAAAATGTCTGGTGCGAACCCCCTCTCCACAGGTAACACTGCAAGGACCCCATGCCAGCCACTCTGACGAACATTCTAAAAAAACAACAGGTATGCTGAAATAATTTAAGTCTTTGAGTTTACATACATGTATCTTAGCGTATTTTATTCTTAGGATTCGTTTCATATGTCTGGTACTTCTTCGTAGCTTCATCTGATGTCATTAAATGACATTGCTGATTTAAGTCGTAGATTATAAAGAATTTTAATCTGTAATGAAGTCTAACTTAACTTAAATATCTACTCAATTTTCCTATTAGATATAGATGTACACATGATCTATATGACGTGAAATGATTGTTTTTTTTCTAATTGTCACTTGTTGAACAACCTTGGTTCTTTGTGTTGATTTTAATACTAGTCTACATTTTGGCAAATCTTGAAAACCCAATGGTTGCCACTTCTCTACTCAAAAACACACAGAACATTAATGGGTAAGAATCTTAATCTAGGGTTTTCAAAGGTCTGTTCAAGACTACGATGACCAGACCTCATGTGATGTCCTATTTGATTTTGTTGGTGCAATATTTTCAAATCAAAGTGATTTGGTCCAAATAAAGGTATTCAATAGGAGAAAAATACAGGCATTGAATATTTCTCCATTTAAAGTCAGTCTGAACTTTCCCACACTTGTTTTCCACTTTCACTTTCATGTATTACATGTTTGTCTTCGACTTTATACATATTTTTTTTTGTAAACAAAAATTTAAAAAAAAACATGTACATATCTGTTCATTTAAAAAAAAAGTCATTTCACAAAGTCAATGAAAAGGGTCAAATTTAAAAAAAACTACCTTTCGGCCAGTGGATGTGAATAAGTAGAGTGAAGAGCCTTGAGAATAGTTTGTAATCCATAGTGAACATGTGTTGGAGGTGAAGTGTCTTATCTTTCTAATGTAACAGTGTAACCTTACCTCTGTTTGATTCACGACCTCTCCATACTCCCGTACATTTCAATGCTTCTCAAAGCACTAGATAACATTAATATTATGAAACAATAAATATACTGCCATATGTATCCAGTACTAAAACGCATGGACAACAGAATGCGACAAATCCTGACAAAACAGTCAAGAAACATCAGAATAAATGTTTGGGCAAACAAATACTCATAGTTTAAATAACGAAAGAAATATACTTTATGAAATTAATATTGTAATAAAAAATTACATTTTGACTTCACTTTATTTACTCAAGAGGAAAAGAATGTAGAGAAATAATATGAAACAAAAACTTTCAAATATTTATACTAAAATCTATATTCAAAGGCATGCGACATCGAATCCGTCAAATTTCGTCACTTCTACTTCGCACAAGACCTAAACTTACTAATTCACTTGCCTTCACACAGGCACCCTACAATTTCCCCTTCGATTCCTTTCCTCGGGGATAACTTAATTTTGATGCGTTTCACATTATAATAATCTATACAAATTCATGGGATAGCTTAGAAATATTTATATATTGTTTTTTTAAAAAGAAGCCTTAAAGTGGATAATATGACAATATTTATTTCACAAACTTGTTATATATATATCTATAAAAATGTTCATATTTTTATACCATATACTTGGTATACTTGTATACATGAAGTGTAATCGTTATGATTACATTGCAGTTGGTGGGATTTTTCCGTCTGTAATGGCCACGGGTGAGGGAGAAGTAAAACTGTTCGGTGTCAGCTTTTCTCCAGGATCTGGAAAACGAATAAAAGGTTGTATATCGACGTTCGACTCATTTGTTCATTTTTCATAGATAAAATTTGCTTTTCTTTCGATATCCTGTTGTTGTAAATAACTGTAAAGAATTTTCAGAGCTTATATTGAACTCAAGCAATATTAGGATTTAAAGAATAATGTTTCTTTACATGAACAGAGGTTGCACGTCTTTCTACAGTTCTGTCTCATATAAGCTGCGTATGTGGGGTCTGCACACAGAGACTGACCGAATGATGAACAGTAAGAAATGGCGTCTTCACAGGAAGGTAATGCACCTATGGAAATGACAGAGTACCAACGCTCTTAATATTTTCATAAGTGTCATTATGTTTAATTTATGGATGGGAGAAGTCCTTGGCTCAAAAAATGCGTGCAGCAGTGGGATTCCACTAGGGAAGTCCTACTCTGCGACTCTAGAGCAAAGTTTCTAATCATTGTACAACTGACCCAAGTCGATAAATCAAAGTACTGAAAGTACTCATGGGAGTTGAACAATCTCACAGGAAGTATAGGAACAGTTTCATGCTTTCAGATTCAAGTCAGCTAGAACTGATTTGTTAGAGATACAACACGAAACATTAAAAATAATTTCTGTTGTATTTGAATAGCCAAGATCATGGGACTGCTCTTAAATTAGCTGCAGAACTGTAGCTCTCCGAAAAAAAAAAGATTTTGACAGACCGGAGAACTACAGTGCCATTCATTGAAAAAACTGTATATTTATTGCGCAGGAACAGTTAAGTTTAGTTCTGGATTTATTCTTTCTAATTCTTACCGCAACAATTTGACCAAACCAAACAAACAACCCCCACCACCAAAAAAATAATTTTTCCAAACTCGAAAATACTATTTTGTGGGTAGGTTTCAAACTTCTTTCAGTACCATTTATTACTCAAACTCAAACACTACCCTTATATTTCTGAAGCATTTGAATCAAAACGCCCCCTACTCTCTTTAGAATGTGTACAAGATATTTGGTCCCAAGAAACAAACAAACACTCTTTATATTCGATGTTACCATCACCAGACACTATATTGTCATTTTTCTTCCTCTAATTAAAACAAGTATTTGCTATTCTCTTTTGGGTATGAATGTTTCTTTTCGGACACAATAATTAATTTTTATAGAAGTCCGTGCTTATCTATTTTATCAAACGTACAATAACTTAATCATCAAGTTTTGTTATTCCATAATTTTAAATTTCATTTCAAGTAATTTCTATATAAAAGTAAGTATCTGAATACTTTACATTTTGCTTGTTTTACATTCGATAATTTTTCAGTCATATTGAGACACTACCACTTGTCGATGGAGCTAGCTACATGTAAGTCTACAAATTTTTACCTATACACGGCACTCAAAACCATTGTGTAGTGAGGGATCGTTTTGTGCAAGGCTAGCACATACTGCGACATGGGATTTCGGTTTATATGGTCTCATCAAAAGAGTTAAGAGTTTATCTCCAAATGCATCCCACAGGATTCGAACCTGCGACGTAAGGATCAATTAACAACTTACTTTGAATCTCTAGAGCAAACTATTTTAACAACTGCGCCACGCAGGTGACACTTAAAGTTCGTGACTTTGATTTGATTCAAATGTATTAAAAATCAGACATAGCTACGAGCTACTACAAGGAAAAAAAACCAGTTGTAATCATGAGGAACTTTTCTCCAGTAATCATTGGGATTACAGCGCTATTGTGCCCGTTCATACGCATGTATTCATTAATTTTAACTGTTTTAATTATATAATAAAATCAAATGATACATTTTATAAGGTAATACTGCAATACAAGTACATACACATTTTTAAAGTTCAGATTTGGTGTTGTACACGTGACCAACTGAATGCTGATAAATTCATGAAATTGAGGATGCAAAATTAATGTCATTTGAAATTGTGAGATAGAATATCAACAAACTTTAATGCTATTATTTTTTCCCTTTACCAACGTAAAAAAAAAATGAGTTGCATGTATCTGGTCTGACAAAAATATTCCAGTCTAACAGATCATTTTACTTGTCAGAGCAAATAAATGTCTGTCAGTGATATTTTCCGCAGTATTTTTTAAAAAAAGAAACGTTGTTCTGTCTCTTTATTGCTGAAACAAATTGAAAGAAGTTGGGTTAAACCTTAGCGTTTCTTTGACTTTACATCTTTGTTTGCATCTCTATATTTAGACAATCGCGTCATTGTCAAACCAGTTAGACCAGTTTTTGCTCCTTGGATGACCTCGCACTTTTTGTAATGGAGCGTAGTGGAGTCAACCGAGGATTTCTGAATGATAAATGACGGAAAACTGTGACTATTTTTCATACGGAAATCAAAATTTACGTGTCATTTCTCAAGAGAGATGACAAAAATATGCTATTCAAATTAAGTTAAATAAAATTCTATTTCAATTACTTTCAAATCTTTATGAAAATTAGATTAATTCAGAAAAATGAGATGGACTAAAACCACTTATTGCGGAAGTTTCTTGCAAGTTAATATAGATTGGTACGAGTTTGTATTGAATATCACAGGGGAGTAAATTGGCCGACACAGAAACACCACGACGGCCGCTAAATAATTCATTGTAAAATTACTGTGCTGGAAACTGCGTGACGACCTAGGGAGTCTGAACATAGTTCAACTCCCCAAAAAAATAAGTGGCAACCGTTTCTTTGTCAAGCGCTCGGCACGTTGGAGAAAAAGTTGCAGATCCTTCGGATCGAGACCATTTGTCACGACGGACGTCTCTATATGAGTGAAAAAGTCTTGAATAGGTAGTAATACAACATACAATCAAACAGTCAATTAATCTAATAACTGCGCTAACAGGCACCTCAATTTATATATATTTTTTGGAGAAGATATATATGTAACTGTTTTAATTATAAAATCAAAGGTATAAAATGAAAGATTTTGTTGACAACTGCCAATCTACAAAGACGATAAATCCTTAATATTTATCTCTTTAGTTACCAGGACAATATCCACAGCGATGTGGACAGTATTTCTTGGCCCATGACTCATAAATTCCAGTGCACTGGGCGTCCTCGTAGTACCAACAAGATCCAGAGGGGGCGTGGTCAAAACACCAGGTTGAAACTCTCGTCAATAGAAAATGTTTTAAACAACATATTTTTTTCAGAGTGGATAAATTAATCAATTTTATATTATGCGATTAATAAAAAATTAAGCAAGATTAATAGCGGAAAAAATTTAAAATATATATTCTGTTCTGCTTCATGTCAAACATATTCTTTAGATAGTTTAAAATTCTAATTGTCTTTAAAATAATTAAAAATGCATTTTACCTACTGTCAGTTGTAGATACAGTTGCTAGTGATGTTAAATATTCTGTTGGAACTGAAAAAAAAGAATATACAAATATAAGACGAAAAAGAAACATACTCTAGAAATTAATACTCTGAATTCAACATTTTCCAATACTACAATGTTTCAGCCTCCACATTAATTTACTGAAATATTCCCACATTGTACATGCAATAATAGTTTTGGAATTAAATTTTCTCGATATATTTCAGGGATAAGGTTGATCATCATCATAATTTCCAACATTATCACCAATTTTCTGATTTGACCTACCTCTGCATAAATCACATGTCCTTCTACAGTTTTCTCTCATATATTCCGCATACCTCTCATCACTGCAAAATCTTTCTTCATATTCGTCACAGTATGTTATTTGGTCGACACATGGTAATTTTTCTTTAAATAAATCAATTGAGTTTAAAATTTAATGATATTATTACTATACTTAAAACAACATGACAAAGCAAAAAATTAATCTGAATGTATAGGTTTAAAATACTATCTTAATAAAAGTTTGGCTCTTAAGTGTTTCAGTAGAATTTCATGTGCATATACTAACGTGGGCAGTATCCACATCTAAGTGCACAATGTTCCTTCGCCCACAGAGCATACTTTCCAACACACTGGTCGTCACTGTATTTAAAACAGTCCCTTCCAAGCTTATCATGACATTCTGAATGTTAAAGTCATAAAAGAATTAATAAATATTTTAAAGATTTAGTGCCGATCGTTTACACCTTATCATTAGCCTGATTAAAATGTATTTTTCTTACTTACGAGTATACATGTGTACGGTATCTTATCATACCTATTGTCTGTTCAAGAAATCTTGCCGTTAAGGCCCCGATAGAATATTCAATGACTGTGGAATAAAAAAAGGATTTTTAGTAAATGTATATAATAGATTAAAAACGTTTTTGCATTTAAAACGAAAATGGGGGAATCTAATAAAAGTATTGTTACCTGAAAGGTGTAATAGAAGTGGAAGTACCTTACACTGTGAAATCAAGTTCATTGTAATGTTATTATCTACCTGCATTTACAAAGTCTGGTTTTGTTTCAAATAAGTCACGGTGGGCATTGAGAGCTGTAATCTTGATCCAGTTGATGTGTCACAGAGTACTGTATTCCAGATCCGTAAGGCATTGATAGGGTGAGCTGTTCTTCTAGAGCAGCCAATGATACAGAGCACTGATTTGATAACAGATCATGGAATATCCCTATCCGTTTCATATGTCAATTTCAGTAAAACAAATACAGATCACTCTTTTGTCATTCATTATCCAGTACTAATAAGCACGTTCTTATTACCTCTTTTTGTCCATTCTAATTCTGGTGGGCTTTTCCCGTGTTAATGTTTTGATTTCAGTGTACCAGGTTCTCTATCCTTGTGGTGTAGGTCAGGTTCCAGTAAAATTACATGTATTCTACACAGTAACCATTCGTGGTAAGACTCAATATAACAATAAGTTTACGAGTACTCTGTTTCTGGCTACTGTTCTAGTTGTAGTGTAATAATTTACTGGATGCTGCATTCACTGCTTCGTACCAGTGAAAGAGGTCAGTAAGTTGTCCGTTCTTAAGAAGGTATTTTTCATTCATTTTTACTATAATAAGTGTGAATCAATTAAACGTTTATTTTGGTTTAATTAAGGAACGACTTTTTGGTTTAATGACATGATCAAGCAACTGGCTTGCGTGTATTTGCCTAAACGCTAATCGCTTAATCTTAGTCTAAGGTGTTTATTCAAAATTATTACGCAAGCCAATGGCTTGATCATCATTTTAAAACCGAAAAAAAGAACACCCCCCCCCCCCCAGGTTATTTCTTATATTTGCACATGCTAAATCCAAGCACCGCCCACTTCTCTTTCTCTTCACTCAGTGCCGCACGGACTTTTTTAATGAAGAAATCAAGTTTTAAAAAATCATTTGTAGCTTTATTTCGGACAAAGTAATTTGAAAAGTAAATAATCGGTAATATTCTCAAGTAAACTCAGTTTAAAACGCTGAACTAAGGGGACTAGGATTCTCCAAAATTCGTGTGAATTTCTGTGGAAAGGAAATAGTTCGTAAGATAAGCCTAATATTGTAAAGAATCTTATCCAAGATTTCGTAGAACAATGGTCTACAGGACTGGTCCTGTTTACAATATATCACGAATACAGATACAGAGTTTCTTGTTCCTTCTTATGTTTCAGATTACATAACATAGGTTCCGGAGGCTTTGTGTCTGTACAAGTTTTGAGTCAAAATAATTATTTAAAAAATGACTCTGTTTGCTGCCCCCATAGGCAATTTTTTATCTGTGCTATATTTTGATTGTGTGATTTTTATTATATCTGAGGATTATACAGGAGCAACTTTGAAAATATTATTTAAGGCATTTATTTAACTTGTCAAAATTATTATAAACAATATCCAAAACAGTCACGCAGAATCCTTACTGAAAAGAAAAGTATTTATGATATTTTAATCATTTTTTTTTAAATAAGATGATGCCATGCTGTCAAAACTAAAGTTTTTTATGCTTCAGTATTTGACCAGCATTACATAGACGTATGTTAATTTAAAGAAGCAATGGATACATTTGGCATTAAAAGAAAAGATGGAATTTTTCTTATATAGAGATAATTTATCATGAATAAAACTATCCCTTATACTAGTATATAAAACCTTTTTTACCTCGCTATTATTTGTACTCATTTTTACACCGACTCACTTCAGCCATTTCACTTTCTAATCGTCACAAGGTGAATACCGCGAGAAGGAGTCGTTGTTACTGAATAAAAACCCATACAGAATTGTAAACCTATATATATATAATCAACTGTCAAAATCGTTCTGATCTAATTAAATACTACACTGCAGTTCGTGGTTTTTCTTGTACTTGATTTCTCTAGATCGTAAATAATTTTCCCCCTTATTTCGTATTTTTTAATTTGCGCTCATCAATTCAAGGAAATATTTAACATCTCCTTGATGAGGTCCTACATTTCGTCATTAAAATAATTATATATATTAAGACGTATTCTGTTTACAATGGCAATTTATTGATATGTATACTTTTAAACTCGAAATTAAAAATTTCTTCATTATACATCCTTTTTATATTTAAATTAAAATTTATGGCTAACTGACAACTAAACTTAATGCAAAACGTTATGACTTAAGTTTCAATCCCATATTTATGTCGCAAAATGTCTGCGAGTAGTCAAGTAATCCCTTGTTCCATGCAAGTTTCCTCTTTCAAAAACGAACATTGAAAAAAAAGAAGAAGAATTGATCGATATTTGGAGTTATTTACTTAACATTCATTAAAATACTTAATATTCAATTTTTACTTGATATATTTTATGCATTACCTGGGCATTGTTGGATTTCACAAACTGCTGACTCTTTATCGTCTCCAACACACGTCTTTCCTCCGTTAGATGGCGCTGGGTTAGAGCAGGCCCTGTGTCGTTGTTGTGTTCCTTTTCCACATGTCGTGCTACACTGACTAAACAAACTCCACTTACTCCACTGGCCATCAACTTTAATTATTTAATTATATTTAGATATTAGAAAATGATAAAGATTTTACATACATATTTTTAAAATTTTTAATGAAGAGATAAGTAACAAATTAAACGGTTGTGGTTCTAAGGACACGTTGTACATTAAATGTTATGTGTGTTGACGCAGTCAAGAGGTGAGTCAAAGCAAGAGGTGATGAGCCAGAATATAACTCCATTTGGAGTTACGAAGGTTTGAAAAAAAACCTTTCTTCTTTTTATTCCAATGAAAGAGGTTGACTGTAATTGATTCCCATTTTGACCCTAGGGATTTCTTTACCTTTTTATACGTGCATTATGTAAATACTGATCCGCGATTAACCCAATTCCACCCACAATACTTCATAATTTTAAAAAAAAATTCAAAAAATATATAAGTATTAAATGATTCTTTTGTGGTTCTTTAAACATTTTCGGCCACGTTAGAAATTAAAAAGACTCTTAAGTTGCTCATTGATGAATTTTATGTAGTGTCTTCCAACAAATTGTTGAAATGCTCATTGGCACTAATTGTGTTATTTATTAAAAAAAAACCTGTTTCTTTTCACACCAGGTCAAGCAACAGACATATAGATTCATGTAACAGGAATCTTATGAATTTATTATGAAATTGAATATTAATCTTGTCACATTATACATGTATCTAATCATTTGATAGTATTTTTGCTGATTTGTTCTGACCAATTGTTATTCTTTAGTTTTTATATTAACATGATAATAGAATATTCCCTCAGTCTGATCAATACATAGGGCTCATGGTGGGTGTGACAGGTCTATTTGGGATGCTTACTCTTCATAGGCCCCTGATCCGATTTCATGAATTTCCTATTGGTGTATGTTTTATGCCATGTACAAAGATTTGTATCGTTAATAGATTTTAAGGATTGATCATTTTTCGCTATCTTATTTTTTCTTAAATATTAAAAATTCTCTTAATTTCATGTTGGGGGATGGGGGTGGGGGAATCTATTCAGCATGGATTGAATACACAACTAGAGTTTTGGAGCAATTGTGAGTTATTAAATCTCTCTTAAAAATAAAGGAATATATAATCTATAAAGAAAATCCATTTACTTCAGTTAGTCAGCTCTCATTATACATGTATGAAGCAATATTTCACTATCACCTGCATGTGGTGCTTATGTACTTAAACTTTCCTTGCTACCAAAGAGCCCTGAATAAAATCAGTTTTAACAATATTTGCAAGGCTCTAACATATAAGATAATATTACAGAGATTTCAATTACCTCGTTTTAAGCCAGCGCTTCGTTCATATAATGGTAAGTTATACAGTGAACTTTCTAGTAAATACAGTCTAGCATTTGATGGTATAATAACTGATATATTTATTCACAATGTTGAGTCTTTGTTTTACCCTAAATATCTCTACCGTTTGTTTTGTCTATCTAATACATACAAATTACACCTCTGGAATCATCTCTAGCCGTTTTATGCCCTCCTTTACAGATTTGTAATATATGAGCCTATCTTTGAGGATTTTTGGTAATCTTCATCTTTCCAACCTCAAAACGAATTCCATCTAAGAATCACAAATTTTTAGGATGTATTACCTGGACAATGTTGAATTTCACAAACAGCTGACTCTTTATCGTCTCCAACACACGTCTTTCCTCCGTTAGATGGCGCTGGGTTAGAGCAGGTCCTGTGACGTTGTTGCGTGCCTTTTCCACAAGTCGTGCTACACTGACTAAACAAACTCCATGGACTCCACTGGCCATCAACTTAGTTTTTTAAAATTAGATTTAGGAACAGTTAAAACTGATACGGATACAATTTTTAAAAGAATATTTAATTATTTCAATAAGACAGATCATTACTAACACAAAATTTTTTTTAAAAATCGGATTTGGGAATTAGTGCACATGCTAGATAAATGTTTTATGTGCTAACGCAGCAAACCGACATGAAATTAAAAGAAAAAAAACGATAAGTCAGAATTTTAGCCCAATTGTTTTTATGTGATTTTTGAAAATAACTCCCTCCTTTTTATTCCAAGGAAAATTTGACACTCGTTGATTCCCACCATAAACCTACGGATATCTTCATCTTTGTATGTATGCATGCACTTTATAATCTTTTATCCTTAACTTACCCAATCTAATCCCAAAGATGATTTGATTTATAAATAATATTGACCGAAGTTGATATGGAAAAGACGCTGGAGTTGCTTGTTGATGATTATCCGGCAATTTTTTGAGACTAGGTTTTCAGAGAAGTAGTTGGAATTTCTATGAGAACTTATTGTGTTCCTGTGATTAGCAAGGTAAAAACAAATAAGTTGATGTTACAGGAATTTAACCACCTCGTGTGGAGTTAGGATTTCGTAAATGCAATGGCCATTATAATGACCTTACTTGTTTTCAACACATTCTCTGACATTATGTAAAAGGAATTGGACACAAGTTCCAAAAACTTAGATAGTCTTCTCTGACCTTACTTGTAAATACATCCTATATTTCTCGAACTTTCAAAACAACATTGAATTATAAGGTAACATTTTCCAATTTTTTTTTATCAAAATAGGTTTCCTTGCCAAAGACAAAATTTTATGTAATACCTGCTTGTTTACGACAAGATTTAGTAGCCAAACAGATGTCACTTCTATTGAGAGGGAAACGCCTATTTTAGGAGAAAAAAAATTGTTATTTATCCAAAACTGCATCTTTTTAACCTGAAAACTAATTTGATTTTCAAACAACACAGATTTTATGATAAGTATGGTATTACCTGAACATTGTTGAATTTCACAAACTGCTGACTCTTTATCGTCTCCAATACACGTCTTTCCTCCGTTAGATGGCGCTGGGTTAGAGCATGTCCTGTGACGTTGTTGCGTTCCTTTTCCACATGTCGTGCTACACTGACTAAACAAACTCCACGTACTCCACTGGCCATCAACTTTAACGTTTTGTAAATTAGTCTTACGAACAGTAAAGCAGGGGCAATTTAAAAAGAATATTAAGTTGGTAGAATAAGACAGATAAGTTCCAAATACAATGGATTGAGGAATTAGTGAACATGCTACTGATAAGTGCTTTGAAAGTTGACACAGACAACAAATATGAATGAAAAAAAACAAAAGAGGCGATGAAACTAGAATCTTAACCAATTTGATCTTTAGAATATTTTTGGAAATACTTCTTTGTCTCTTTTTCTTCGAAGAATATCTTTGACTTTATTTGATCCCCATCATAACCCTGCGGATATTAATTTGTCTTTGTATACACGCACTATATATAAACTTTGATCTCCATTAAACCTAATTCAACCCCAGAGATGTTCTGATTCTTAAATGATATTAATTATCGATCTATTTGATATGAAAAAGATGCTTGAGTTGCTCATTGATGATTATCATATAGTCTTCGTCTTTTGAGAGAAGGTTTTCCAAGAAATAGTTGGAATTTCTAACTTTCTCACTGTGTTCCTGTGATAACAAGGTACAGACAATTAAGTTGATGTTACAGGTAATTCAACTACTTCTTGTTGTTAAGAGTTTGTAAATGCAATGGTCAATATATTGACTTTACTTGTAAATACATCCTAAATTTCTCGAACTTTCAAAATAACATTGAAATGTAAGGTAAAACTTTCAATTTTTTTAATCAAATTATGTTTCCTTCACTTCTATTAAGAGAAAGCACCTATCTTAGCACAGATAATTGAATTTTCAGAGAAAAATTATTTATCCAAAATGTATCTTTTTAGCTTAAATTCTAATTTGATTGAAAAAAATAACAATGATTTTTATAATGTCTTACTTGGACAGTGTTGAATTTCACAAACTGCAGTCTCTTTATCGTCTCCAACACACGTCTTTCCTCCGTGAGATGGTGCTGGGTTAGAGCAAGTCCTGTGACGTTGTTGCGTTCCTTTTCCGCATGTCGTGCTACACTGACTAAACAAACTCCATTTACTCCATTGGCCATCAACTTAAAGTTTATTTTTAAATCACTGTAATACAATATAGAACAACTTCAAATGAATGGGTGTTTTTGATAAGAGAAATCGTCCATGAATAAATTGGTTGTGGAAGTGGTACAGATTACAAGTATTTCCAGTTCGTTGAGGTGTGTGTTAGAAATAATTCATACGAAAATATGACGAATTTATATATTCTTAATATTTATTTTAACATCCAAGATATTCATGTCAACAAGCAACATGATAAGTTGCTTGTCAACACTTACATCTGCCATGTTGACAAAATGTAAAGGTAAAAATAACGAACAGCGATCGATTTCTAAAAATCTATAAGGAATTAAAAATATGTAAAACGGACAAAAAACACAGAACCCTGAAAATTCCAGAGGTGGGCTCCGGTGCCTAGGAGAAGTAAGCATCCCCTGTTGACCGGTCCTATCTGTCGTAAGTCCTGTGTATTGATCAGGTAGACGGAACTTTCCATAGTCAAATTCAGAATAAAAACATAACCTTAACAATTTTTATGTTACAAGTTAGCTAAAATTTCGGCCAATTGATAGGTTATATTTGCTAACGATGTCATTAAATTCACATAGAATTTACGAAATTCTAATTTTAATCTAGGATATTAACATCCATGTAAGATAAACTTATCCAGAAGTCGCGCGTCGTCATAATTATCTCGAAGTAAGTTCTGTTGCATTTCGCTTGTATTATGTCGTATTAGCGTGTGGGGCATTTCTGGAAAACCCTTAAGGTTTAAGTCCCTTTGTCTCAGTGGGAATTGGCACGATACTGTTTAATTGCTGTCGGTGCCCAGTAAAATTTGAAATTTGAAATCCTTCAACGGGTATATGATGACGCTTTTAAATGAGTGAGAATTTCTCGAACACATAAAAACGACGATCAATCAATATATTCAAATATAACTAAATAAAGAAAATTCTTATTAAGTTTCAACCTTCAAACAAATTCATGTAGGACCTTTTATCTTTTATTACCTGGACAGTGCTGAATTTCACAAACTGCTGACTCTTTATCGTCTCCTACACACGTCTTTCCTCCGTTAGATGGCGCTGGGTTAGAGCAGGTCCTGTGACGTTGTTGTGTTCCTTTTCCACATGTTGTGCTACACTGACTAAACAAACCCCACTTACTCCATTGGCCATCAACTTTTTGAATTAATGACAAAAGATGTTATTCATATCTCTCTTTATCAAAAGGAAGATCAGCAACATGCAAAATTTCAAATAAAGAAATCTAGATTGATGATTACATGTAGCTGTTATGCATTACTCGCCCTTCACTAAAGAACACAAGTATGATTGTCAATCAAAAGATATTTTCTTCTTCTTTTCTTTTTAGTTCTAATCTTTTTTTAAAAATGTTTCATGTTGAAGACCACAATCACAGTTATTGCAGATATTTAATTACTTAATTAATGAGATGGTAAGAAGCATAAGTAAGGTATAAGGTAAGTTTACAACAATTTTACTTTCGTAGACCTTTTTTATGGTTGAAATAAGTTTACTCAAATGGAATTCTTTCATGGTTTAATTACTAGTAGATTAAAGGTAAACCTCTCAAAATGGATAAATTCAGCCTTTTTAAATAAAACAAAAATTATGGATTTGAAAAAATTAAATAATTAAACTTACGTCAAATGATTTACACCTATCATTAATAGAATTAACCTATGTTCAATTCAAGACAGGTTCATTTTATTTGAAGATAGGTACAATTTATTTAAAGATAGGTACAGTTGAATTGAACGTAGGTAATATTGAAACATACCCACAAAATATCTGAAGATATGTTCAATTCCATCAACCTTAGTTCACTTCTTCTTATGTTTTTTTTTTGAGAATAATGACTACTCCCTCTAAAGCGACTTCATCACAAGCATTTTCATGGGAATAGTTGTTATTGTCAGTATCTTGTTAATTAAAGGTAGGTTCAATTATCTTTAAATCGATTACACCTATCTTTAATTTATGGCATTTGTACCTATCTTCAAATAAATAGTATATATTATTAAATGAATTAAAGGTATAATTGAACTGAACCTATATTTAGTTTATTTAAAGATAGCTAAATAAATAAAATAATTAAATCTAGGTTCAAATGAATTACACCTACCATTAATAGAATTACACCTATCCTCAATTCAATTAAAGATAAGTTCAATTGAATTGTCTCTATCTTACATTCATTTGAAGATAGGTACAATTTATTTAAAGATAGGTACTATGGAATTGAACGCAGGTAATACTGAAACATACCCACAAAAGATCGGAAGATAGGTTTAATTCCATCAACCTAAGTTCACTTCTTTTTCTGTTTTTGAAAATAATGACAACTCCCTCTAAAAGCGACTTCATCACAAGCATTATTTTATGGGAGTAGTTGTTATTGTCAGTATCTTGTTGATTTAAGGTAGGTTCAATTCAATTGCAACAATCTTTAAATCAATTATACCTATCTTTAATTCATGGCATATGTATCTACATGTATCTTCAAATCAACAGTATCGATTATTAAATGAATTAAGGGTACCTGTAAAGTGCGAAACGAAATAGAAACGAAACGAAACGAAACGAACTGAAACGAAACGAAATCTTCCGAAACGAAACGAAATCTACCGAAACGAAACGAAACCTACCGAAACGAAATCAAAACGAAACGAAATCGAAACGAAACCTGCCGAAACGAAACGAAAAAAAAACTTTCGGAATGTTTTTCAAATCAAGGTATACCGGTATACATCAGGTTATATATAATGTGTAACTGCATGTGATCTATTTTTACTTCATATGAAATTTATATACTTAGTTCAAGCACTTGTTAGCACAGGGATTTGTTTCGTATAAGGAGTAGCCTACTTGTTTTTAACACTAGGTACCTAACTCAATTTTAGGCACCCCCGCTTCAAAAAAATTGACATCGTTCACTTCGAGAGACTTTTTTCTTGTCAATTAAATCGTTTTGAACGTTTTTAGTCGACCCTCGACACCTCGGAATGAAATACTCGTAAGTCTCTGGTTTTGAACATTTACAATGTAACTAACACATATGTAACACATATAATCATTTTGATAGATATGATGTATCTAGATAAAGAAGGGATGAAAAATAAGACATAAAAATTAGAAAGACTGCACATATTTAAATTATACATGCACAGTATACTCGCGCATATATATCATACATATAAATACATCATTAGAGAAGGGAGCATAATTGATCGGTATTTAAATTTTATATTAACAAGTGCTTGAACTATATATAAAGGACAAGATAGGGTAACAGTCGAATCTGGTCCCTTTTTTGATGTAAAAATCAAAACAATGATAAAATTGTGGTAGTTTGTAGTTTAGTAGTTAAAATGATGCTTACTTTAAAACAAGCACTAATTTAGCTTCAAAGCTTACATGGATGCCAACATAGATGGTGCAGAAGTTGGACATTTGCTCAATTCTGGTGGAATTTCATAATATTTGAAATACTTTTCTCTTCGGAAAACATAGAGCACAAGCTTGCCTATCTGAGATTTTTACATATAAACTGCATCTGATACTAGTTTATAAAATATATAAATTTGGTAGATAGGCAAGCTTGTGCTCTATGTTTTCCGAAACAAAATGTGCTGTAAAATCGATGAAAATTTGCATAAAAATGAGAAAATTCGAAAATAGACCTATTCCCTGACCTCACTGTGACCTCTGTATATTCTAAATCTTAGAACCAATACTCATTTTGTGGAAGGGGTGACAGCAAGTTTTTATGGATAAACTGTTGGATCATTTTGAAAGACTCCCAAAATCGGGGGCCAAATACTGGTCTTACCCTATCTTGTCCTTTATTTGAAGTAGAAAAAGTCCACATGCAGTTACACATATATAATTATTTACATGTACCTTGATTTGAAAAACATTTTTATAGTTTTGTTTCGTTTCGTTGGGTTTCGTTTTGATTTCGTTTCGTTTCGGTAGGTTTCGTTTCGTTTCGGTAAATTTCGTTTCGTTTCGGCAGATTTCGTTTCGTTTCAGTTCGTTTCGTTTCTGTTTCGTTTCGCACTTTACAGGTACCCATGAATTAAAGGTATAATTGAAATGAAACCTATATTTCATTTATTTAAAGATAGGTATAATTGATTTGAAGATAGGTACAACTGAGTGAAGATAGGTTCATATATTTGAATATATATTAATTTGACGTTCCATATGAGTAAATAATTTTAAGATTTGAAATTATTCTACACACGTATTTTTGTTACATGTACATGTAGTCTTGTAAATAGATTGGTTTACTGATTAATTTACCAGGGCATGGAGCAATGTAACACGGTTTCTTCTCTGAATTACTCCCATAACACGACTTTCCTCGATGTAATGGCGCTGGATTCGAACAAGACCTGTATCGTATTGTTGTACCATATCCACAAGTCGTACTGCAAGTACTGTATGGACTCCAACTACTCCATTGGCCGTCAACTGCATTTAAAGTAACACGTTATTTATTCCTTTAATGTTAAGACACATTGCTTTGTTTGCGTTTGGTATACTATCGTATTTCTTTACCCGTATCAGGGGTTTCGTCAAAAAGAGGTTCTTCATCACCGATTGAAACCTGAATAAGATTCTAAATCCTTCAAAAATTGAAAATATTTTACACAGTATATGTCATTGCATTAGCAAGGAGTCCAGTACTCAGCTCTATCTTTTCACAAAACAACAACGGAAACAAGACTTAATCACAAAACACAACTTTTTTCCTTGTTAAAAAAGTGATATAGCTATATCTTTCTCACCTGGACATTGACGACGATGTCTACAGGCGATGGACTCGGACGACAGACCAACACAATCTGCGCCTCCGTTGACAGGTCTAGGGTTAGAACACGTCCTTGTTCTGTACTTCCTCCCATCTCCACAAGTATTGGAACAGTGGCTAAACGGGCTCCACTGACTCCAGCCACCACTGGCTGCAATCCAAGGATCCAAACAAGGTTATTTAGGGTTTCATCGTGTAAAAGTATAAGAGATTTTATTTTTTAAGTTTCTCAGTCCATAAAATACACATATAAAAATGAAAAACAAATGGGAAAATTTAATTAAAGAGAAGAGAACGTGAGACATAACCCTTGTCTTAATTAATTAAAAAATGTTCTTCGTTAGAAAATTTATAACGATTTTTACAAAACTATGAGCCCATCTTTGCTCCCACTTTACCTCTGTCCTACCTAAAAGCTTTTCCGTATCCACACAAAATTGGAAAACTTCAATATGAATATGACTTAGATGAGCTTTAGAGCCATTTAGAAGAATTTTTGTTTTATTACAATGCCTGCAAAATGCCTAAAATGTTTCCATTGGCTTAAACACCACTTGATCGTGGTTTTATAATTATTTCTTTTCTATGACCATTTATTAAAATGCAAGAATCATAAAATCCCCACTGATTCCAACCTAGATTAAAATACATTAAAATATAATGTGCTTTCCTCAGTTATTTTAGATAAATATAAATCTGTCTCTCTTAACTGTTTAATTATGATATACTGAAGAGTTATTAGTTACATCGTATAAAGTTATATTTGTTTTGAGAGTCAGGAACGAAAGAAGGATGGATAAATGGATGGATGCATAGGTTGAAACTTCTTACTTGGACAGCGGTGATAAGTTGTACAGCTTTGTGTTTCTGTAGATGTTCCTACACAGCTGGCACCGCCATGAGCCGGGCTGGGATTTGTACAAGTTCTTTGTCGTGTCATCGTTCCTCTGCCACACGTCCCAGAACAAGGGCTCCAAAGGTTCCAGTTACTCCAGCCCCCATCGACTACTACACACAAAAAAAACCCAAACGCACCAATCGTTGTATCCTTGCAATGCCAGGGGTCCCGAGGCAACACGTTGCCGTTGGACCCCTGACAAATTACACTTAAGGCTCATGGGCTAACTGCAAAGATATCTTTCGAAAAAATTATAAATCTTGACAGTTTTTTCTTTTCTCTCAATCAATCATATTAAGGCAATCTTTCTATGATAACAGCTTGTAAAAGGTGCATTTTTGAGGGGTCAACTAAATCTTTTCTGTTTATCTAACTATTGATGGACTTTTATTTGATTGGTGCCTCTCAATGAGCGAAGTACATGTACGCCCTAAAATATCAAATGAAATTTGCCAATGGTTCAACGACAACGTGTTTCTCAAATCCCTGAAATTGCAAGGATGCAATCCCTGCAAAAGCAAAAGTAACACTTAGCAAAGTAACATCTGCTATAATTCGACATAGATCATTAAGAAAGGCATTTCCTTTATATGTGGAACAGATTTGAACTAGAGTTGGATTATTTCTCAAATTATAGGAAAACGACTTTTTAACTTCATTTTCATCAACACTGGGTAGGCCCAATTAGATGTGTAGATTGGAAAAGATCAGGGAAATCAAGAAACATGAAAATGAGAAATACTTCAGAGTTAATTCCATGTCACCCAAAGGAATCTGCGTGCTGTCTTACTTTAGAAAAGATAACACCACATTTATTATGCAGACCTTAGGAAAAGTTAACACTCAATATATACAAGACAGGCAAAAGAATCTGTTCTGTTTTACCAAAACAGTAGAATGTCTTTTGTTTCAAATAAAAATCAAAGTTTTACAACCATAATAAACGTCAATTGGGAGCTTATCGAGTCCAAAATCAATTGTCACCTTTCCCACGCCTTCTTATTGAAACCTTTTATCGTCCCCCTCATATTAAACATACTAGTATAAATTAAAGTCAAGCGGAGTAATGCGTTTTTGACGTAACTCATTTTGACATAGACAACTTATGTTATACAATATAAAATAAATCATTAATCCAATCATATGACGTGTTACAACTTAAATTAAATCGTATTTTTATACATGTGTATTTCACTAAAAAGACGTTAATGTTAACCTAACGATAACCTTACAATATGTTGATAAAAGATGCCTTCAATTTCAATCTTCAACTATCACTACTTATGTAGCAATGTCTTCTTATCACCAACATATGTAGTTTATATCGTTCAGTTGATTAATTGCGCAAGAGCATGCTCAACAATTTTTAAAAATATTTTCATTTATATGCCAACAATCTTGAAGCGTTACTTTCCGAATTTCAGAAAGTTGGTATTAATATACGGTAAAATTACATATATTTCAGTTTGGGATTTGATTTTGAGATTTTGGAAAAGTTGAGTAGTAATACTTGTGAAATCTCATATTTTGAGGTGGCCGTAAATTCGAAGGTCTCTCCATACCTCGAAAACGAAAATTTAATTCTCACGAAAAGTAGTGATTTCACAAGAAAGAGGGAGAGGGAGCTTCTTACTTGGACAGTGGTGATAAGTTCTACAGCTTTTTGTTTCTATAGTTGTTCCAACACAGCTGGCACCGCCATGAGCAGGCCTAGGACTTGTACAAGTTCTTTGTCGTGTCATCGTTCCTCTGCCACACGTCCCAGAACAATGGCTCCAAAGGCTCCAGTCACTCCAGCCCCCATTGACTACAACTACAAGAGCTGAAATAGAGTTGAATTAATACTCATATTATAAGGATATAACTTTTTAACTTCACCTTTATCAATACTGGATAGGTCCAATAGGTTTGTAAATTGAAAAAGATTGGGGAAATCAAGAAACATGAAAATGAGAAATAATTCAGAGTTAATTCCATGATAGACAAATTAAGAAATCTGTTCGTTGTCTTACTTTAGAAAAGATATTATTCAGACCTTAGGAAAAGTTAACACTCAATTAAAAGCAAACAGCCCCCAATTCTGTTATGGGTCAGAATAACCCTAAATGCCAGCAAAGATCAATCACACAGTTTAAACTTAACAATAATTTATTTACAGTAATATACAAATCATTAAGTACAAACTTAGCAAAA